TGGTGCAGAAGGAAAACAAAATACATGCCCAAAAAAATAAAAATAAAAATAAAATAAAAATTAGTAAAGATCCACAATATATGTATATCGAAAAGAAAATCACAGGTCGTCAAAAAATAGTACAGCCGAGTAGGGTATTCGGAAAGAGAAAATAGATGCGAGTAACAAAATCATTTAAAAACGGGCTTCCATATACCCGTTTCTTCAGCATTCGTATACGGTAGCATGAGGCATGAGCGCTGACTGCAGTCGATTAATCCGACAAATTCGAATTTACCGTTTCCGCCGTCTGCGGAGGCCCCACCCATCATCATCGTCATCGTGATCGTTATCATTTTTGTACTCGTCCGGTATCCATGAGTCATCCTTCTTATCTTGTCCATCCTCCTCCTCATCATCATCACCGTCATCAAGGATAGGCTTATCCGCTTCGTTGAGGCGCTGAAACTCAGCCTCCCAATTCAGTCCCTCGAAACCATCAGACCCCAGCAAGAACTTGGCCAAAACCATAACCGCATTGAACACCTCCTTCCCAGTGGGAACGATATTTTCCCGCGGCAACAGGAATCCATAGCTGCCTTTATCACGCAGCTTGAGCTGGTAGGAGTATTTAACACCGACGTCATTATAGAACCAGTCAAGGGCACTGCCTCCGGTACTTTCCATACGGGGGAATGTGTCTAATTTGACTTTCTTCTGGGACGCCGTGAATCCCTGGCAGGCAGAGCTTACGGTGTAGGATTGTCTGTTGGTTAGACGAATTGCCTTTGCAATGCCCATGGCTAGCTCTTCAAGATTCTCCAAGTTGGGCGGCCGAGGCAGGCAGGAATACGAGTACGGATAGAGGACTTGTTGAGAGTACGAATGGAGATCCAGGTAGGCAACGAATTTGACGTTATGCTGTTCTGTTTGCTCTTTCACCCATCCTGCTAACTGGCGAGCTTCGGTTCCCGCAAATGGCTCATCTCCACCGTAGCTTTCTGAGCAAGGGTTATCCCCGGTAGCGTTGCCGTTCCATTCGAAGCCCCATGTACGATCCAAGTCCACGCCGGGGCAAAATGGAAGGCTTGTTTCCTGTCGGTTCTTCCGCCACAGGCGATCAGTTTCCCATGTGTGCACATAGCCGTCGGGATTGATGGTTGGTATGAAAATAAAGTCGAATTGTTCCAGGAGTGTAGAGATAGGTGTGGATTTTCCGTAGGTGGTGATCAAAGAGTATGCTACATAATTCACTGTTGAAACTCCGATCCATTCCCTCGCATGGGAACCACCTCCGATTATGACGGTCTTGCGAGGCTTGGGGTCATTAGCGGGTCGAACTCCTACTCGCAGAGCAGGGATATCACGGCCCTCAAAGGAGGAGCCAATGCTAATCAATTGCACGTGGGACGGAAACATCGAGGCGAGTAAGCGCATCCAAGGACCAATCACGGATAGCGGTTGATAGTCTTCGAAGAATATGTTCGTTACATCGGAGGATGATTCCCTAGAAGGCAGGAAACCTCGTCCATTATCTGTGGGGCGCTGGGAGGAGGAAGGATATGATTCATAAACAGTTTGAGGAAGGTCGTGGATGAGAGGGACATGTGCTGTCTGCAGCGATTTTGGGAGTAGACCAAGGAGAGACGGGACCTGCACGACGCGTTCATTCAGTAAAAAATCTCAATTTCTCCACCTCGAAAAGAGGGTACAGTCTCAAATAATATAGATTACATACCACATCCTTGGCAAGTCTGATATCTACCCACTCGTCCGTCGAAGCCCAAACATCCAGGAATAGTATATTAGAAGCCTCGACAAGTGCCTTGACTTCGTCCGCCGTTTGTAATCTAAATCGTAGGACGACATCATCGCTGTATCGGGCTTGCAAAGACGCGGGGGCGGAATAGAAAGGATACTGCTTATTTCCCCCTCTGTGATTGCGCTGTTGCGGTGGAACACCCCACAGCCTTTCTATCACGGAATTGCGCAGTCTCGTCCATAGCCCAAGAGGAGCTTGAGGTTGTGATTGTGCGAAAAGCGCAAGTGGTTCCGCAGGATGGGCAGGATAATTGTTTGCAGAGAATGACGGGATGGCAGATATGGTGTTTGCTAAGGCTAGAATAGCCAGCAACGTGCCATGGGTGAATTGACGCATGGCAACAGCGGCTATTCAGGGCAAGATGCAAAGTCCCTTGGTTACAACATTGGAGGCAAAGGAGGGGATGCGATGGTGAATGAATCAGATTGAAGGTGGCGAAATCTCATCGATAGAAGAGACAAATGGCGATTGTGGTCTGGACTGTGTTTTGCTATTTAGCTGCCTGGTTGCTGGGATCGATCCTGAAGCCGGCTGCGGCTTTGGGTTGATGTTGAAAATTGCCAAGTTCGGGCGTCATTGGTCCAAGTTTCGTGCTTGACCCTACAGCGTAGTTAGCTATTTAGTTAGTTACCGAGGTTCATCCCACAATCTTTTTTCCCTTCTTCTTTCACCCTTAACGAAGACTTCCACAGACTGTCCTCACCTCTAAGTCCTATGATAACTGATCCGAAGGCCCTACCTTTTCATGTATCCGAGATACCTCACCAAGCTCACTGCTTCTTCATCGCCAACCTTACGATTAGCTCCTTGTCATTGCTTTCCCGCTGGCACTTGGAGGGATCGATAATGTTTATGGTTCCCATTTAGTTCGCCATGAGCAAGCTATTGCTACTATCGGACTCAATATACATGGGATTCTAATGGCAAGGATTTAATCTGGATGTTTCTCCCTCATTTTGATTTGAACCCTAATTCCAGGATCGAGGGGGTACCTACTCTGACATGGAAACAGGACTACGTTTGGCTTGAAACAATGTACGTGTAGTCGTCATGTTGAATCTGTCAATCCTCCCTCCGCCATGGTGCCATTTCGTATGTCAACGCTGTATCCATTCCAATGCCCGCAATGTCAATTAGCCAAGCGTATATTACCTTCCTCGCAAGATCCTAGTACTGAACAGTTCGTCATCAAGAATGAGCGAAACATTATATTTATATTTATCCCTGGCTTGAACGTCAAATCGCGTGAACTCGCTACAAGCTTTCTCCAATAAACTTCTTGTTTTTGTCGTCTGCCATGGCCAATGGTTTGCATATGAAACTGTGCCCTGCCAATTCAACTGAATTCAGGTGACACCGACATGAACTTCAGCATAGATTGCATGAACAGCTTGGTCTCAGCCATCAAGAGTGCTATCAACTCAGGGTATTGCCTCCGCTATTACTATCAATCCTAGACCAATAAGGTGTAATTGCCCCTGATTTCAATCACTATCAACTGTGTCTTATATGGACGTTATACTGTTGTCAATCTTAGCGCCTTTTTAGCGATGTCGTGTGGTGCCACATGGACCAAAATTGCAACAGGGGATAATAATTAAAAATATAATAAGAGGGAGGCTACTATGTGTATATTAAAAACAGTAGTTATTTGAGTTGGGCAGTTGGTATGTATGAACCAATCATTAAATATCTCGACAGAAAGATGATAAATACGGTGTTTACATTCAGCATTGATGATATACCTAGCTCGGGCGGCAAGAAGTTCACATACCAATATCTTCCGTAGCCACATTGAGCTTGAATATGCAGATCAAGAATATGTCTGTTTTCTAAGCGCCAGTGATATTGCTCTTCCGTCGAAGTTACGTACAGTCCTTCCACATTCTAACATGGATTTCGCCTTCGGTGCAACTCGCCTGTATAGAGGATATCCCTTTGAGATGTACCGTATGGGCTGTATGTGCCCTCCCGTTAAACGATTGGATGGAAGGGACCCATGCAAGTATCACAGGGAAACGGAGAATATTTTACAATAATGATAGGTTGCTAAGCAGCACATGGCAGGTTTACTATTAACTCGGGGCAAAAGCTGGGGGTTTTGGGGACGAATGGAGGAACAAGGAAGCTCTGGCGATGGGAGCTAAAAATAGAATCGCCAATCAGCGGTACGCTAAAAATAGGTTAACTTTAAAACCGCGTGGGGAACAATCGGGGTTGAAGAGGAGACATGACTGGCGGAACTATGACTTGATGCGTGCACCGGCCTGCTTAATTATTATTAATAATTATTCCAAGCGACCACGACTGCCACGAAGAAAATGTAGCCAACAAGTGCTGTTCAATTCGTATCCTCAAGCCAAGCGGTCCACCAACAGTCGATTTAAGTTGTGATCGCATTCTTTAGTGCACGCTCTAATCTAGAACTGATTGATTGCCAAAAAATAACAGCGTCTACTGTGATCTGGAGGGAGCTTGAGGAGAACATGAAGCAGCAGGATGTGATGGATGATTTAGAAAAAAATAGATCAAATTCTATAGTCAAACAAATGTGGCTCTGATATCGCGGCATTGTTTGACAACTGGCCGATTGTATGATATCATTGGATGGCACGTTGCGAACAGTGAGGGAAGGGAGCTGTATTTCTCGAGCTATCACTGGTCGTTCAGAGCACCTCTCCTATTGATGTCCCGCTGCACTGGTTTGTTTATTCAGGTCATGATTGTAGAACCGGCCCCTTCTTTTCTGCTCGAACCTACGACTAGATACCCGTGTTTGATTTGCTACTGCCTATGATTTGGCAGAAATAGCGGCTCTCTGCGTGCGGAGTTTCTCGATTTTGGGAAGCAATATTGCAGGGTATTGGCTTGCCAAACGACTTGGTAGTTGCTAGGATGAGCTAATGGTGCAGTAGTTGGAGGTTTATCTGTAGCGTGTGATATTTTCCTCAATAAGTTGTGGGTACGTGGGACGGGCCAACACCTGCCAATACAGCCCCTGGTTTGTGTCTCCCGTCCGTTTCTATTTCCGTGCAGAAGAGCTTCCCCTGCATTCGATTTCCTCTCCCCTGGATTGATTAAAAGATGACCTCACGCCCACCTTTGAGCTTGTCTGCCCAATATTCCTCTGTTTATGTTCCAGATAGATGTGATCTTACATTTTGTCTTTCCCTCTTTCATCCCACTAACCACGTCCAAAATGGGTGTCCTCCACCTCGCCAATCCCGCCACATACATCTCCGACTCTCGACCCCGTCTCATAACCACATCCATGATCTCCGAACCCCTGAGTCCTGATCTTGACCCAGACTTCGGCGATGGAGCCCTCCCTACCACCGTCCTCCCCGCTCTAGAGTACATCTCCAACAAGCTTGGCGCTTGCACTCATCTCACCTTCCTCGTCGGTTGTAGCACACCTCTGCCAATCGCCCATCAGTCCGAGCTCACGCTCGCCCCTATTGCTCCATTAGATCAGCAGATATGGAGGACACTCCACCGCATTGTCCAAAAGGCTACAAGGAAATTCTCTCTCGGTCCTGCCTGGTCCAATGCCCTCCAGCGCAGCCAACAGCGCCAGTCCCTGAACGAGAACTGCAACGAGTATCTCATCCGCCAATCTATCTTACAGAACGACGTCCTCTTTAGCCAGGAGGGCCTGACACTCCTGAGCATCGATCGCCTCTATACCATCAAGTGCAGACTGCATGCATACTCACGCGGCCTGGCGCGTGAGAATGGCATCCCCGATCACCTTTACATAAAATCCTGCGTTAGGCTGTTGAGGCAGACGGTCGCAGACTACAAAGGACGACAATTCAGCTTGGCCTTCTTCACCAGGATCTACAAGGACTTGGCAGTTCCCGAGCATCTGCTTGTCGAGGTTGCCAACGAGTATCAGGCCAAGTACGGCCGTGCGGGCATTGTTCTCCCACAGAAAAAGCCTTCGCCCGCTGCTCCACCCAAGGAACAACAACAAGCACGACCACCTCAAAAGAAGCGGAAGAACGCCGATGGTATCAAGAGACTGGCGCCGAGAACTCCATTGAGCGCATCGGATGTCACACCCATCACGCAAGGTGAGTGGCAAATGCTGCTCAACAGCCAAGCGCTGCTGCCGAACAGAAATAATACGCTTCAGGTTCCTTTTCCCGTGAAGCCGGTGGGCGCGTGAATGGCATGATGGTGCGTCGGGGCCTTGGGACCTTGGCACTGAGTAATATAAATCAAACAACTTGAAAGCTCGGCAAACCGACTCAATCTCCACCTAACAAGCGTCAATCCTCGGCTGCATCTCCCTTTGAATCACCGCTTCCTTGGATATATATTAATTATTGACTGGAAGCTTCTGTGCTCATACGGATTGACACATCCCCTCGAAACAGAGCGAGCTAGCAGAAATATCCTACATCTATATTTCGACGAGAGGAAAACAACAGAAGGAGTTCGAGCTCCTGTCCGATGAGAAAACCGCATCTGTAATAGCGCAGGGCACGTTCCAGCGCTATCAATAATTCGTAATCAAAATTGATTATGAATTTTAGTCCCGGGGTTACAAGACCAATCAATGTTCATGCATTGCAAGGTGCGTGCAGGCAGTGAGCTGTGACATTGTGGGTGAAATTAATGAGTGGAGAGAATGAAGGGGCATGCAGAGAAAAAAAATGTTTTGGATAACTCTTAATTTAAATAAAAGGGTTTTTTTTATATATATTTAAAAAAATCTGCTAAAATTAAATTAAATTAAATATTTATTTTCTAAAATAGTAAAATACATGTCATAGTTTCTAAGCCGCCGGGTCCGGGCTCTTACCAGCGTAGGCCAGAAGACCACGAGACGACTGGTTCCTGTCAGCCGCGCCCGGCACTCATCCTTATATAGTGATGGCTCGCCTGCGCCTGCCCCCGGTCCCGGGCCCTAATTCTCTGTAGTTAATTTTAAATTCTCTTATAAATAAAATAATTATAACTAGAGATAGTAATTGAAGAAAAAAATCAGAGTTTATTATTTCGATCATGCGTTTGTGCGGTGTCACAATAGTGGGGTAGTGGGGCCGTGAGTACCTTGAGCATTTTAAGCTCATCAATAAGCTTTTCGCTAAATGAACACATAACTATATATAAACTTCCCCGCCAAATATTTTCCGTGCCTCACCTCTTTCTCGACGTAACACTATTAAGTACAGAAGACAAGGATGGGATCCACGGCTGCTACTCCAAGAACTGACACAGTGTCATCCAGATCAACTCCTTTGCCCTGCGCAGTGGCCCAAGAACATGAGCGGGGTAATGAGGTTGGATATGGTGAAGCTGAAGCTGAACCAGAACTGGAAGAAGATGACGACAATGTGAAATCTCTCAAGCGCAGTCTACTCTGCAAGGCGAAGAGGTCGCATAACCGCGTACCGGGTCTGCGGAGGATTCCCCTCCCGGCGTTGGGTATAATTTTGCTCGTTGCGGTGGTTAATGCGGTTGTATGGGCGGCTGCGGGAATTGTGTTGGTATGTATATACTCTACCCTTTCATTCTTAAAATGAAAGGAGGATTAGTGTCTGTTTAAGGAAATGAGATAGGCTAACTTTTTGGTGCTTCTTTTGGAAATGTGCCTGTAGAGGTTTCATCCGTAAGTGCTACGTCATGTTTCCCCTATATCCTAGTTTTGCAAACGATATATACCATATAGGGTTTGGCAAGTTCAAGACAAACAAAGCTGGGAGCGAACGAGCAAATGAAAAAAATCCTAAGCTGTGTTAAATGCCAAATGCTTATACCATGGTCTACTTCATAGTTCACTCATATCCACAGCTGTGCTCTCTTACACGCTAGGATTAAGACATGCGCTCGACGCGGATCACATCTCGGTATGTTCAATATCACAACAGTGATGTTGGCATCTATGCATACTTACATACAATTAATTCTTCTTCTAAATTACGTAGGCCATCGACCTTATGACTCGAAGACTTCTAGCAACTGGTCAACAGGCGGTCACTGTCGGGACATACTTCTCTTTGGGACATTCTACGTGAGTTTTTTCGTGATGTATTTCTGTGCCGAATTGCTATATCCCATGCCAGCAAGCTAACAATTGGCGTATAGCATCGTTATTATTACGTCCATCGTCGTCGCTGCGACGGCCGCCGCCGTGTCCTCGAAATTCGACAGCTATAGCAGAATCGGCGGCATTATTGGGAGCTCTGTCAGCTCTGCATTTCTGATTCTGCTCGGTATCATGAATGCATACATTCTGTATAAGCTTGTTCAACAGATGAAAAAAGCCCTTCACCTGAGGGAAGGGGAGGAGGATGAGGTGTGGAAGGTTGAGGGAGGGGGCGTGTTGTTTAAAGTGTTGAAAAAGATGTTCAAACTCATTGATCGGTGAGTTTTGAATAGCCCCTTTGTGTTCTTCCATATTCTAACCCGCAATTTCTTAGGCCGTGGAAAATGTATCCGCTGGGAGTTCTTTTCGGCCTTGGCTTCGATACCTCGTCTGAGATTGCGCTTCTAGGAATCTCGTCAATCCAAGCTACACGTGGGACTGATTTATGGGTAATTCTAATCTTCCCGATTCTTTTCACAGGTAAGATGGCCACCATTGTCGTCTATATCCACAATATGAAATTTGCTAACTGTAATATTCCTGCCATTCTTTAGCCGGAATGTGCCTCATCGACACCACGGATGGCGCCCTAATGCTATCCCTCTATGTCCAACCAGCGCAAAATTTTCTCCCACCAAAATCCTCCTCCTCCTCTTCCATAACCAACTTCACCATCCAGCCTTCACCCCCGGAGCAACCGCAAGGCACCAGTCGCGCGATAGCTGCCGGCCCAAGTCGTAACCCACGTAACCCAATAGCATTCCTCTATTATTCTATTGTCTTGACGTCCCTTACCGTGATCGTGGCTATAGTCATCGGCGTCCTCCAACTGCTGACCTTGATCCTTAACGTGACAGAGGCTACAGGAAAGTTTTGGGAAGGCGTGGGGATCGCAGGTGACTATTATGATGTTATTGGCGGGTCGATCTGCGGATGCTTTATCTTATTTGGCGGGCTAAGCGTGTTGGTGTATCCTTATTGGAGGCGTTGGGTAGCTCAGCGACATGAACGGCAGGGACACTGGGTGCATGACACTTTAGAAGAGGGGAGAGGAGACGGTGTAGGGGTCGAGACGGGTCACAGAATTGCTACAACTACTTCTACAATTCCCGCAGAAAGCTTGAAAGGGGCTGGTGGAGACGGCGGTAAGATAGGATGGGATGGTTGTCAGTAGAGAAGCGGCAGATGGATTGATATAGGGATAATCTAACGTGGAGGACGGGGAATATTTTGAAGGTTAACATTTGAATGAGGCTATATATGGACCGTACAGCACATATTTACATTTACTGATAGTCTATAGATACGATGTGTATATGGGATGAAAGCTAAGGCTAGATTGGGTGTCGGATTGGGTGTCACGGATGAATATGTTGAAGACATATGAATCTTATCTGTATCAAGATCTGCTTGTTCTATTATCCGTACACTATCTAATATATCTATTTCATACAAAAGATAGAGCTATTTATAGTAAAATATATGTGCGAGCCAAGAGAGCTAGCATAAGCGAGTATTAGACGAGCGTTGTAGTAAGCTGATGATGATGATAAATATTGTAGTAATACGATGTTGGTGGCGTTCAGTAGTGTATAACCTCTTTTTCCTGACATTGGGAAAGACTAAAAAACGACGTCATCGATGCCAAGGGAAATTACGGGGTGCTTATGTCATCAGTCAGGTTTCTCCTCTTTCAAGATACGAACTTCGGACAGAAAATCTCCCACCATCGAGTTTGGCTATGTTTACCAGTGGGATGTTTCTGGGCTTCTGGAATGATGTCTATCCGTCTCCTAGATACATAGCTTTATATATGGGCGCAGGTTCCTTCAGCTGGTCTGCCAGCGATGCGGCGGCTCTGAATCCCAGATAATCCTGGACCTTCACCCAACTGCTTTCTAGCCCGTTTCGATCAAATAACCTGATTAAAATTTGATACTCATAGGCTCTCTGTATATACACTATGGGTGTTTTGCTCATCTTTATATTTCCTTCTACTTGTCAATACTATTGTTCCATTCTATTTTCCGCCGCTACATGCCCGCTCAGGAGCAAACCCCCACACTACACTACAACGGCAGATGGATATATAAGATTGTATCTCCATGCGTCATGACAACTACTAAAACCCAATCCAAATCATCTGGCACTTTGGCCAAAACAATCAGCCTCGCCAGCCTTCCGTCCATATATGTCTTGCCCACGCACTTGGATCTGGACCAGCTGCATGAAGTGGAGGAAACGCTGGAAAGATGTGGTGCACAGCTCACCTACGACATCTCTGAAGCTGAGCTAGTCTTGGGCAAAGTGTTGCAGAAGAGACGTGCTGCGTTTGAGCTTCGATCTAGGGGACTATGGACTGAGGAAATTTCGGCGCCCACGGTTGTTACTACTGCTGCGTCGGAAGCAGGCCCGTCAGTGAAACGGCGGCGGGTTAGCGGTGTAAAGGATGTGCATGAGCATGAGCATGTACATGTACAACCGGCTCAAGAGCCTCTTGTGGTCGATCTGAGGATGGAGTCGGAGGGCGAAAATGTGGATGCAGGCGAAGGGGCTGAATCACGCCCTAAGCGGGTGCTTAAACCGTCAAAATCACCGGCTGATAGCTCATTCAATCCAAAGATGAAGGACGGTATCATAATTTTAAAATTTTCATGGCTGGACGATTCCCTTAAAGCAGGGCACGCCGTACCGCTGGCTCCATATATTGTTTACCATGCGCGCAAAGTGGCTCCACGGGACAATATCTCAGTCGATGGAACTTCTTCGAACGTTACTTCTGTAGTGGCTAGCCCACGGTCCCCACTCAGGCCAAGAGAGAGCCCGTCAAGGGCAATTTTGGAGCGGGCAAAAGCAGATGCGGCATCGTCACCAGCCCCAAACCATTTTTCTCCTGGCACTGCTAGATCTCGTCGGGCTAGAGTTCAGCATGGGCCTCCTGCTCAGAAGGAACCTCCCAGGCTTCTCCGTGAAACCACGGAAGAACATGAAGCTGCAGAGACCGGGCCTCCAACCCCTGCCTGGGTTCGCGACAAGCTTATATATGCCTGCCAGAGATCTGCTTTCCTCAATCCTCCAAATGAAGCGTTCATAAACCAGCTCATCAAGATCAAAAAAATACGCGAGCTAACCCTTGATGAAATTGGTGTCCGCGCATACAGCACAGCAATTGCCGCCATTGCCGCATATCCCTACAAACTCCAATCACCAAAAGAAGTCTCCACACTACCAGGCTGCGAATCCAAAATTGCTATACTCTTCTCAGAATTTAACCAAAGTAAAGATGGCACGCTCGAAGCTGCCAACCAGCTAGACACAGACCCAGTCCTCAGCGTCCTCAACCAATTTTACAACATCTGGGGCGTCGGTGCCAAAACGGCACGCGATTTTTATTACCACTACCATTGGCGGAGCATCGATGACGTTATCGAACAGGGCTGGAACATGCTTTCCCGCGTTCAGCAGATTGGCATCAAATACTTCGACGAATTCATGGCCGGCATCCCGCGCAGCGAAGTCGAGTCAATCGCTGACATTGTCCTACAGCACGCCAAACAGGTCCGACCGCACTCGCAGAAGGATTACGACGGCAAAGGCATTGAATGCATCATTGTCGGCGGCTACAGGCGTGGCAAGGAAGTTAGCGGCGATGTCGATCTCATTCTCTCCCACCGTGACGAGAGAGTGACACACAACCTCGTCTACGATGTCGTTGCCAGTCTTGAGAAGGAAGGCTGGATCACGCACACGCTCGCCTTGCATCTTACTACTTCGCATCGGGAGCAGCAGACGGCGCCTTACCGTGGCGATACAGGCGGGAAGCCGCGTTTTGACTCCCTAGATAAAGCATTGGTCGTATGGCAAAATCCCCATTTCGAGGCTAGGAAGGGCGAAGACGGCAACGTTGAAAATGAGAAACGAAACCCAAATCCACATCGCCGCGTGGACATAATCATCTCTCCCTGGCGCACAGTCGGCTGCGCCATTGTTGGTTGGACCGGTGAGACAACGTTTGAACGCGACTTGCGCCGCTACGCGAAGAAGGTACATAATTGGAAATTCGACTCGAGTGGGGTACGCTCGCGTAGCACCGGAGGCCAGGTTATTGATTTGGAGGGTAAGGGGAGCACGTGGCAGGAGAGAGAGAAATTAGTTTTGGAGGGGATAGGAGTAGGTTGGAGGCCACCGGAGGAGAGGTGCACGAGATAGCGATGAGCAAGAACATTGTTTTTTTTTCACATGCAGAACAGTTATGAGATTATGTTATTTTATTTGGATGGATGAACCAGGGGATTTTCACCCTACTTCTGCCGAGCATTTATTTTCCTTCATGCTGTATTTATTCCCCTTCTCGTCCTCCTAAGTTGACTGCATGCATGCCTATGAAGAGCGTCTATCCACGCTTGGTCATGCATGTACTATACATACGAAGCAGACTAACTAAATTATGATGATTGAATGAACAAGCTTAATAAATCCGATGACAAAGAGCGATCCTGGTCGTACACCGGAAACAGTGACTTTGCCACCAACATACTAGTTTGCTTCATACCTGCCAGGGCAAGGAAAACCTCAAACTACCATTTCCATCAAGCGTGGGTCGAATAATCCAACTGGAGAGAGTTTTTTTAGGACAACAAAATGAAACCAAGCGAGACATGCGGCAAATCCCAAAGGTGACAATGACAACCATCCTTGTTATTCTCAATCCGCAAATCATGGCATGCGTAGAAATAAGAGTCCACATCTGTGGCAACACAAGAGAGCAGCGGCCCAAATGGGACCACGTATCGGAAAAGAAAAAAAGGGAATAAATAGCTGAATATTATTTAAAACCCGCCAAAATAGAAAACAACATGTCATGAACGAGAACCTCCAGCATAGTCGTGACAATAATAGTTCGAGCCGAATAGAAAATAGAGTAGAGGACGAGGAGGTAGTAAGGGCCTGAAGGGTAGAAGATAAGAGAGTTTCGGACAAGAATAGGAAAGGGGAAATGAATAAAATTGAATAAAAATGCTGGGGTCCCTCACATACAAGACGCTGAATACATTGCCACCTATTTCTTGCAATCGAAGCAAGAGCAGAAGCAGACGCAGGAACAAAAAGAATTCGAAAAGGCAAAAATAAAAAGAATAAAACAATAGAATAAATAAATAAATAAAAAATCAACGAAAAGATTCGAAATATTATTAATAGGAAATGGCAAACGGATCAAATATCAACAGGCCTCGAACTCGCCATCTCCCCATACCTCCCTCTGGATCTAGTAGTATCATAAGCATTAACAACTCTCATCTGTCCACCTTCATCCGCCTGACTAAAGGCATAACCTCTCTGCTTCCGATTCCGCTGCACCTGCCTAACTTTGCGGATTGCTTTCTGGAACTGCTCCATGCGGGGTCTGTAGTCTTGCACGTTGTATTTCTGAATCTCTTGCACATGATGGTACGCCTGCGGGAAATACATGCGCTTGATGTACTTCCAGGCGAAATCGCGCACGAGACATACGGCTGGTAGCACGACGGCCATGAGCCAGAAGACCGGCGACGGGAAGAGGTTAGGAATGATGCCTTCGTATTCTGTCGAGAAGCCGGCGCCGATTCTGGGCGCAGAGAAGCCGTAGGCGGGCAGGAAGGCCATCCAGATTATAAAAGAGCCGGGAATAGCGATGAATGTGTATTTGGTCCAGATATTGGTGACGAGCGCAGCTTTCCCGAGAACGGTAGCGAGGACGGCGGTATAAAGTGCAGTTCCCCAGAACCAGTGGCCGGCGATTTTGCCGTTTGTTAGAGGGAGGTCCCAAAGGAAGATCGCCTGGGAGAGGAAGTAAGCGATGAGGGAGTGGTAGAAGCCGTTGCCGACCCAGGACCAGAAGCTGTGCATCTTGAAAAATACACCTTTCTGGCCTAACTGGTAGAGCTGTGGGTATCTGTCTAGCAGACGAGCCGAGATGAATTGGTCAAAAATGCCCATGGCGAAAGGGGGAAGGACGGTGAAAAAGACGTTATAGAATGATAGAGTCCAAGATTCGTAAATAACCTGACCGGAAAAGGAGTTTTGAAAAGAGTACTGTATTGAGGGTCATGTTAGCCAAAGACGGAAAATTTCTGAGGGATATACTTAAAGGGAGAAGAAACATACCCAGAACTGAGTCATGTACAACGCAATGTTTTTATAGAACGAGTAGAGAATGACTTTGCTGATACGCTGATAACTCCACGCACCGTGAACTAGAAGCAACTTCCGAAGAAAGCGGAATTGGGCGATTGAGACGTCCGCGCTGCGGGCTGCCTGAAGACCTTCAACACCACTAATGCCGACACCCACGTGGGCAGCCTGGATCATGGAAACGTCGTTCGCGCCGTCCCCAATGGCAAGTAGCAACGCTTTGAGGTGCCGTTTGACAAGCTTGACGACAAGTGCCTTTTGAAGGGGAGATACACGGCTTAATTACAGAGAGTTAGCTTGCGGGGTTAGTCACATAAAGATGGAGATTAGAAGATAACATACCAACAAATGACGGCTTTGCACATAACAGCCAAATCCAAAAATATCTTCTCCATATCCTTCTCCAGAGCATACATTAGGGATTTACCGTCAATGATAAGCGCCAATGTCTCGCTGTCTGGGGAACCGGCCTGACTCTGAACCTGTTGTAACTTTTTTGATAAGTTATCTCTTGTAGCCTGGGCCGACTCCTCGTTGACAATCAACAAAGCCATATCCTCCGAGATCAACTTGCAGCTCATGCCGATGTTGATAGCAGTTTCTTGCCGGTCGCCAGTCAAAACCCAAACTTTGATGCCCGCGGTTTGCAAGGTGTGGATGGTATCTGGAACACCATCTTGAAGCTTATCTTCGATAGCTGTTGCACCAAGAAGGAAAAAGTCTTTCTCGATGATCTCGGCCGCTTTGTCAAGTTCCTCAGCTCGGTTCCCAGTTACTGTTGTTGCTGCTTTGTCGAATATCTGGTACCACTGGTAGAATTCCTCATCAGGTATTTCCCTCATAGCGAGACACAATGTCCGGAGACCATCAGAGGCGTATTCTTCGAGGTGCTGAAGAGTAACATCAACAGTCGGATTGTCCTGGTGCAACCGCTCCAGGATAACAGTATCGGCTCCCTTGCAGTAAATTCTGATTTTACCGTCAGGACATCTAAAAATAGTAGACATGCGTTTTCTCGTCGAGTTAAACTCGCAGACTGCAAGCAATTCAAATTCCTGCTCTTGACCGTTCGCAGTGATGATAACGGACTTTGGACGCCGGTTCGTGAATCGATAGCCCATCATAACTGCACCTTCAACTAGCGCTCCTTCATCAGGAGAGGCAGCCTGGTACTTGATAACATCAGGCTTTTCTTCCCTCCTCTCTGGAATGACAGTGTGGCAAGTAGCTAAAAGAGTAAGAAAGTGGTGGATTGCCATCTGGGTGGGATGCGACTCCAAATTCTTAGTCAGTTGCTTAAAGTCATACATTCCCATATCTGAGTCATCGCCTTCCATCACTTTTCTGTCCTCTGGTACTACTTCGGCATACTGAATCCCGCCGATAGAGCATTGCTTAAACTCCATCATGTTGCACGTCAAAGTGCCCGTTTTATCGGAGAAGATGTATTCGATTTGGCCTAACTCTTCGACCAAAGAAGAGGTACGACATGTGGCAGGTGTATCTGTCTTGTCATAGTAAATATCTAGATCGGAATTTATGAGGAATGCGTGGCAATACTTGACTATTTCTATAGTCACGAAAAGAGATATAGGGACGAGATTAGAGTAGAGGACCCAATATGTGAAAATGTCAGAGAAGAACTGTTGAGCCGCATTGACATTTCCGATGTACAGGTAGGTGAGCTCGTCAGCAGATTTCATCCGAACAACGAGGTCTCCTATCGAGCTAATCAAACTAAGAACAAGCAAAATGCCGACAAGCATAAGAATTTGCATGTTTACCATGCGTTCAACAGCGGTTCGCTTGATTGGTGTTGCGGTTGCGTTCCTCATCAATTTTGTTTCATGGCCGGTGAAAACAACAAGACCATGGATCCAGGGGGTATTACGCAAAGTAGCACCACGGAGGAGGAGTTGATCAGGGTTGAGCGGTAGCTCCTTTTCTCCACCACCAGCTTGCAATGTCAATGTAGCCTCGTAGGTATAAAGGCTGGAATTTGGCTGTTCGGATTTGACTCTCCCAGTGAGCCTACTTAGTTGGCTGGGACTAACAAGATCGGCCGTTTCTGGTATTGCTTGTTTGATTTTGAGGTTCGTTTCGCCATCCAAGTTTGCAGTTTCGATGTAACACAGACCTTCCGGTTCGGAACTTGCCAGGAGGACCAGGTCGGCGGGGAAAGGCTGTTCTGACTCGACTCTGACGATATCACCGACTGCCACATTGATCCATCTCGTATCCTCAAAACTGGAGCCCTTGAGTACCTGGGCCCTCGAGTAATTGAGCGATTTATCCGAAGACTTCCGTTTCCAATCTTCAACTAGTTCTTTTATAGCTGATACTAGAAGCACAACAGCGAGAGGCGCGATGGTGGTATATCGATTAGTCGGCGAAATATTGGGAATTTGCTGGAGGATGGCGGTAAACAAGAAGAACAAGTTCGCGTATTTGGAGAACTGTTCGAATAGGAATTTCGGCAAGAAAGTGATCACATTGTACTTGGCGGTTGATATATGGTTGTCGACATATTTGTTTGCCGCATTGGCCGGGGAATTATTGAACAGGATGACACGAGGGCCCAACGTTGACGGATCGATCTTGCGCCTGCCAAACCCAAATTTAAAATCCCCAGCACTGAATTTCTTCTTCTGAGCTCTTGGACCTGCTCCATCACCGTCTGTCCCCACGGAGTCCACTCTAGCCGGTCTGGCGCCCGTTTCGGTCAACGGCAAGTCCATTTCTGAGTACTGCTGTCCCATACCTAGCATATTTTTTGCTTTCCCCATCAATCCGCCGCCCAGGCTCAATATACTGTTCCGATCCCGCGTGCGAGCATCTCTCACGGGCATCGCACCGTCCAAGTCATTTTGATCATTATAGTAACCTTGCGCTGATCGCGCATCGTCAAAGTCGTTTAAGTCATCTGAATATCGCTGGTAGTTGTGTAAATCTACGGTCTGCGAGTAGGGTCGATATGCTTCACCATCCTCGTAGAAAGGGCCCGTTCGAGGTCCAGCTCCTGGCCGCGATCCAGCAGCCTGTGCTGGCTGACTACCCCCAACGAATGCATCGTATGATACTGATGGCCTTGGTTGGAGTGTATCGGAATCTTGGATATCGAATTGTTGCAGGAGGTGATCGTCAGTCACTGGAGGGCGCTGGCCGGTGTTGTATACAGAGGCTGTGTCTTCGAGCTGTACGAGATTACCATCGTTTCCAGGGGGCGGACCGTAGCCCGGCGGCCTGCCACTGGTCATATCGCAGCAAGTAGCGGTGAAATCACCGTGAGAGAGTTGCGTTGTGGTGGGGAGGAAGCATTGATTAACAATGGCCGAAGGAAGAGGATAGGAGGATGGTTGTTAGGTTCAGGCCGTGTCGGAGGTATTTGGGGCAACAAGGAAGGGTTGTCCGCTCTGCAGGCTTAGTCTATAACTTCTGGTCTTTTCCACAGTGAGATGCAAGAAAATTTTAGCTGAGCAGTAAAAATCATCAAAGGTTGTTTCATAGCAGTTGTCGTCGTCAACTGGATGAACCAACGCGGGTTCGTTCCCCCATTGTAGGATGTTTTCCGTCATCCACTGAGGCTTAGAAAAGGCTAACAACCTTGAAGCCTCAGCTACAGCCGCAGCAACAAGCCCCGCCGTATTACGCTTACCGTACGACTCCCAGCCAATAGAATCCGCTGTAGCGGCAGATTGGTATTGCTGTATGGTAAATCACTTACCGATGGTTGGTTTTGCCTAACCTGACGTCGGAGTAACTTCGCCGCGAGTTAGTAAAATAAACACATTTTTACCATATATAGTTGGAACAAACTAAATTATTTTGTGGAAAGGGAATATTTACTACTTGGTGGACAACAAAAAAATCCATTTAAACCAACTTATGGAGTGCGTAGGTTGTTGTTCCTTTCTGTGTGTTGGTTACAGATTGTCCTCCACAGACTCCGGTATTTTATGACAGGAAGTTACCAAAATGTGTAATGTTACAGGGAACGGCAATGAAGAGCGCGTAGGGCTGGAGGATCAAGATATAATATTCATTTAAATTTATTTCCGCTCACCAATTCTTGCTGAGTATTCCAACTCAGCGCCGTGAAGAGGTTGAGATACTTTCTTGTGCATCAGGATGTTACATCCTCAATCGAAATGTTCTATTTTTATGCATCCGCTGCTCCAGCCCTGGGGTCCACCAGGCACCAAGTAAAAGTCTCGTAAGCGCCCAGGCACTAAAGGAAATCAAGCCAACAGGGAGGCGGCCCAGCGAGCACCAAGCCTAATGGGCCAGTGATGGGCAGCTGAGTTTACAGCTAATAATTATTAATGGCAATCTCCGGCCCCTAGCAAACAGACACCATTTCATTCACAAGAGTCCATTCACCATTATACACGGATCTAAAAAGGAGAAAAAAAAAAGGTCTTGAGGGGTCATTGAGTTATCTTTCATTGGCGGCGCTCGATTCTGCAGCACGTTGACGTGCCTGCTCCCGAATCTTCAGGTCTTCCTCCAACTTCGTGGATATGAATTTGTTCATCTCCTTTATCTTGGCAAGTGCTACGGTCGAGCATGAAATCATACTTAATGGATCGCCCGGGGTCCCATCTGGTTTTGTATAAAGAGAAATCTCGCCAGTCTTATCCAGAGCAATGATGAGGCTTCCTTCGCTCACAGCTTCCTCCTTCGAAGTTGCATCTAGCACAATGATTCTTCCCTCATCGTACATATTGAACGTAGTGGAGAGGGGGAGTTTAGTCAGGTTCAGGGGTGACGGGACCCTTTCTTCTGGACGGTAGACGGTCACCCGCCCGTCGCGAACAACCGCTTCTGGTAGACGGAAGTGGAGTAAACCAGTCATGATGGCAAGACAGCAACTGTCAACCAGTCCACCGTCTGAGTCCACGACATGTACATCTGCCCGAACATGCCAACAATTCTTCCCCGCCGCAATGCACAGCGATTCCGTGTCGAGGGCATTGGACCGCCGGATTATCCTATCAAGGGTACGGACAAGCTGGGTTTCTAGCTCCGATTGTCTGTAAGAAAACAAAGGTCTTAGCAATGATGTTGAAAACCAATTAATTGATACGGCGTTGGTAGACCGATTTAACGCACCTCCCCGTCTCGTAGGCAGGCGAAGCCATATCATTAAGTTCCACCGAAACTGTGAAAATTCCATCGTTCTCCCTCTCAGGGCGGGGCTTCGTCACCTCCGCAGATATGCGCACGACGACACTAGCTTTTGCGTCAGTCACTAAAATATATAAGTATATTCTTCTTCCGTAGGCGAATATTGAAATATATAGAGTAGCTTCGTCTCTGACGAGCAAGCACAAAATGACTAAACGAACGAACCTAGTTTTTCCCAATTGCAGTTTGACATGTCCGTATTCATCCCCGAAGGAGACTGTCAGCGGGCGGAGCTGGTCCAAAGCACGGCCATCGAGTCGCACATTTTTATGGAGAGCCTCCAGGATGAATGTGCGCTCGTTGGCCGAAATATCAGCTTCCTTCGGCATGCTCAGGTGTTTCTATCCAATATTCCATGGGTGGAGGACTCAGGTTGACGCTTAAAATTCCGCAGGCATACGCCAGAGCTCTTCATAACATACGGACAATCATTGATGCGACATGTGTGATGCTGACTAAGCGCTTTTATTTCTTGGCATTTATTGAGTGTTCCCGTTGATTCTCCTGTTCATGACAACCAAAGGGCACGTCGGTGAAGACAATCAACAATCACGTTTTGATTTTCATATTAATCACTGTCACGAGCTCCAACATGACCACAGGTATGTACGACATCTATGCTGTCAACGAACTGAGTTACTAATTCTGCACTAGCCCATAGGCCAACCTTTGACCCGGTAAGCTCCCTCCTCCAACAATCGCGAAAGTACAAGAAACTTACGCTTTGGAATAGGCACGAGGCAAGGAGGCTCTAAGAGGTCCCGCATACCACCAGCGTCTTCTCCCGGCACATACATTCCTGAAAACCAGGTAGGGCATTCCCGACCTCCTATCCCTCCAGGACTAATTCCTCAATGAATCCGCGCACCACTAACGTTTTATTGATAGAAAACCCGGACAAGGTGGCGATGCAGACGAGAAGCGCGATCTGAGAGCCGAGCTCCTGAGAGCTGAGGCCGCCCATTTTGCCAAGAAGGGTATTTCCCAAGATACCTCCGCATCTTCCGCATCCTCTCCCGCTGCGATCGAGCCATCCGTACCGAAACGCCAGCTTGAGAATGGGTCGAGTGAAGTTGAGATCGGCGACATAGAAGACCCGGAGGCTAAGAGGCGGCGAATACTAGAGGAAACACGAGATATAGATGCGGATTCAGCTGGGTCAGAGAGCGATAGTAGTGAAGACGATAGGTATGTGACGCCACCTGTTGCTGCCTTCTAAGTGAACTGCCGCTGATGGGATAATAGTGATGATGAAGAAGAAGATGAAACTGCGGAGTTAATGCGAGAATTAGAAAAGATTAAAAAGGAACGAGCTGAGCAGAAGGCAAAAGAGGTTTGTACTGGTCATCCTGACAAGTTCTGGTGAACAGGGTAACTGGAGTCTACTGACACGGTACACTTGTTAGGAACAAGAGCGAGAAGCGCAAGAACAGGAGAAACGCGAAGTCGATATCGCACGAGGCAACCCGCTACTTAATCCACAGGACTTCAATGTTAAGCGGCGATGGGACGATGATGTTGTCTTTAAGAATCAAGCGCGCGGTACGGAGAATAGGGGCAAAAAGGAATTTGTTAACGTATAATGACCTGTTTCTCACATTTCCACACAGCTCAAGGGAGAAATATGGCTGATCAGAGATCCGTTTTAGGATTTGTTACGTTCCGATTTCCATAAACGCTTCATGGTAATTATTTTCCAAACCCCCAGTGTCGGGTGCACTAGTTCGCTAACATAGTATATTCTAGTCTAAATACGTGAGGTAACCTGGGTTGACATCGGTAACATTGGAGTCACCTAGGTACTCAACTGTACATATACAAAAATAATACGAACGAAGTACCCCAATACGCATCTTCGCGTTCTTTGCCAGCGGTAGAAAATTCTACATGGTAGGTCACTGCACCGTCGCACAACTAGAATTGGCAACCCATCAGCCCCCAAGGTCGTCTTTGTCCGCATCTTTGAGTTTTTAAGACCGATCCGGCCACGGTGTCACTCTGTATTAGCCTACCATGCTGGGTAGGCCGCGGATCATTCCGAAGACTATGAGCTCTGCTCAAACTCCAGGGGAATGGAAAGGGGGACGGTACAAGGACTGCAGCAGTGAGGAAAAGGGCAGATCACATAGCACGGGTTAGGAACGTGGGATTGATATTGCTATTTCATAGATATAGTACATAGTTATTACATGCTACGGGAATAAGGACTCTAGTTCATTGCCATTGTTCCCTTTTCCAGGTTGCTATAAGGCCAATCACGTGACATTAATAACTCTCCAGGGCTCACTCGTTAACCGTGCCATGCTTACTCACTCTCTGTAGTGAGTGCGCCACAGTGTACGGAAAACCACACTGTAAAGAAAATATTTTGAATATAGTAATCTTCAAAAATTAATTAATAATCACCACCACATCTATCTATAACATAAAGATTATCTATATACTCATTAGAAGGTGTAGAATCCACTGTAAGTTGAGATTCTATAGAATTATCTTGTTGTGGTTGAGTGGCTGTAGATTTTGTAGATTTGATTTCAATTGATTGAAGAGTCTTATTGAATGTCTTTTTCATCTCATCTGCTCTACAGGTCATGATCTTGTGATTGGCATTCTTAATAGTGAGAACTTCATCTACTTGCACCTATCTGCAGAAGGATTTGACAATCTGATATCTATTTGCTTAATAATGACCTGCAAGTTCACTCTCATGGTGTGTATTCAATTTCACCTGAATCATGCTACCTTTGAAGATCTTGTTCAACTGCCTTGTCAAATCAGATGTAAGAGTATTCTTCACATCTTCTAAGGCCTTGGCTGCTGCATTGATTTGATGATGTAGTTTTGTAACTGTCTCTGAGAAGATTAATTATGAGAAGACAGTTGACAGTTGATCTGCAGATGGCAGGGTAAAGTGATCACATATATCATCATCATCATTGTATATGTTGAGATCTGGGGTATCATCAATGGTAAGAGGTCTCAATTGATTGAGAATTATATCGTGATTAACTGAATACATTTCACAGTCAGTAAAGCCAGCTCTCACAGTGTCAGATTTGAATGCTTGCAGTCAGATGCTCTTCAGATTAGCAAGGAATTGTTCACAGCAGCTTCAATATACTTGATAATGAGTGAGCAAAAATTAATGTTCAATTGATGAATTCATATCTTAATTGCCTCTTCCTGGCTGTCATTCAATGCTTGATTCAGTGGAACTCTCATAGTTCTTGATTTCTTCTCATTGATTCTCTCATATAAGATGATATATGAGACTTTGAATTCTTGTGACAGAGATGTGATTTTTAATTTTAAATTGCTTTTGTATGTGTCAACAGCTCTTTGCAACTGCTTCTCAGTGTAATTAGAAGATTTAGACATGGTTATAATTAATGATGATTATTTGAAGATAAAGAATGAAGATATTGAAAATATTTTCTTTACAGTGTGGTTTTCCGTACACTGTGACGCACTCACTACAGAGAGTGAGTATTGTGGCGGATATATTACTTGCGAAAACAGAATTTTCCCAGCTCTCTCTGAAAATTAGTAGCAAAACATCATTAAAAAATCAAAATATCTGCATTTCTCTAGAATCATTCAATATCATTCAATACACATCTTTTTCAATTAAATATTATTCAAATATGTGTCTTTCTTATCTTTATCATCAATATGTTATCTTAACTCTGTGATTTCATTATCAATGAGATTGTATACCTTCTTAAGAATGATTATATGCCTGCTGAGATTGTATGAAGTATTGATTGTCATCTGACTACTGTATATTGAATTCAATGAAATCTTCACTGCTTTGAAACTGCTAGAGAACCTCATTCAACACACAGTGTAAAGTCAAAGATCACACCAGATATCTTATCAGAATTGAAGAATTTTTTCAAGATATATTCAACTGTATATCACAATGAGACTGTCTACTTTATGAAGAATGAATTTGATGTTGATATTCACTCACAGTCAATATCTAGAGTGTTGAAGAAACTGAATTTAATATGAAAGAAGATGATTAATATTGCAATTAAATATCACTTAATATATAGAATCTACTAATTCATTAGTTCTATAATATAGATTGAACTCATAGTCACTTAATACAATGAAGAACTTTGAGCTGAATAATGTATTCAACTCACTTAGTATCTCTCTGATCAACTGATCTTTTTGAATGAAAGTGCTGTAAATGAATGTACAGTGAATCAATAATATGAATGATTAAGCAGAGAATTCTCTTATCACATTAGAAGGCTCTGTAAACAATCTCAAAGATAATCAATCTTATTCATGATAACTGTCAATGAATATATTAATTATGATATATATCAGAGATTCTATAATACAGAGAGGTTTAATGAGTTTGTATATATCTGAATACTGCTCAAATGTCAACAGAGTTATTACTACTTAGTGATGAATAATTGTAATACTCATCAATCTCAAGAATTGAAGAATCTTTGCAGAGATACAGATGTTGAACTATTATTCTTATTATTATATTCATCTGACTATAATTCTATAGAGAAGTCTTTTCACATATTGAAGAAATAAATTAGAAGATATAGAGATCAGTTAGATACTCAGTTTAATGAAGATTTTGAAGCTTTTTTACATCATGCAGTTGAGAACTTTATAAGAGAAAAAAATGTAAAAGAATATTTCAGATCTGCTTATATAGAATAGTATTGTAATAATCAGAAAGATTCAGATTGCAATTTATTCAACTATAATACAGATTTAGAGATTGAAGCAGTATGAGATCTGCTCTCATCACTATAAGCAGTTAATAGAGATGATTTGAATTCCTGCAATCTTGTCTGTTATAATGAACTTTTTAATTCATCTCTTATAATTTGAAATATATTCTTCTCAATATTCATATTAAGCAACTGTTCTCTTATCAACATCTGTAGATAATTCAATTCAAATTCTTTCTTCTGAAGAATGAACTTAGTATCTAATAAATCAGAAGCTTTATTAGGTCTTCAGATTGTCAATCATTTGAAGTATTCATCAAAGAATAAATCTGCTTATTCATCAAATTGAGATATTAAACTGCTTTGAATTGAAGATGAATTTGATGAAGTCAACAGCAGAATTGATGAAGAGTTTGACAGTGAATTCAACAGTGAATTTGATAGCAGATTTAACAGTGAATTTGATGAAGAATTTGACAGCGAATTTGATGAAGAATTTGATGAAGAATTTGACAGTGAATTTAATGAAGAATTTAATGAAAGATTCAATGACAGATCTGAATGTGAATGATAATAAGATTGTGAATTCAGTTCTTCTATTTCTTTCATTATATATTTCATCATCATCACATTAATTATCTCACTTGAAAATATCATATTTGATGAAGTTGAAGCTGCTGAAGCTGAAGAAGAGAATATAACTACTGACAATTGAGAAATCTGTATAGAAGAATTGAATGTAGAAGTTATAGATTCATTCTTCTAACTCTTCTTCTTCTTTCTACTCATTAATCATTTTGTCATCTTTCTTGAAGAAGTCTCAATCATTGCTTTATCATATTCAATATCATCTATTCAACTTGCAATCTCACTACTCAGAAGTTGAATATGAGTATTATCATATATTATTCAGCAAGTGCTCTGCTCAAAGTTATGATAATTCATCTTTTGATAACATCACTGAGCAGTTATCTCATGTTCAATCTGTAAAGAATTTCATTTCTTTGATTATCAATTTCAAATCTTCTTCAGTTATTGACTGATGACTGTGATTCTTGAATATGTAGATGACTTTTCATCATCAGATATTTCATGAATTTGAGAGGATTTAACAGAATGATGATGAGAATTATAGAATGATGAGATTATGTCTTCTTTGATATCAAGAGCTCTTTTTAATGCTAATGCCTGAGTTGCTAATTATGAATCTGACACTTCAATAAAAGCTGCAGAACTGCATATTACAGATGTGTTTAAAAATAGTGTTAAGATATTAAGAAGATTGAAAGAAGAGATGACTTCAATGATAAGATCACTCATCTTCTTCTTATACAACTTCTTCAAAAGATTAATTATCTTCTTTCAATTCTTCTTCTTCTCAATGATGATTTTATTGGCCTGAAATTCACATTTATATAATATGATAACAGCTGTATAATCTATAACTTTCATCTTCTTACAGATCTGTTTTACAATATACTTCTCAGTCATCTTTTCTGCAGTATATTGAATATGAAAGAAGCTGATAGTTGAATTATTTACTGAGACAGTTCAGTATTTAATCTTGACAGAATTCTTTATCTCATTGATAATCACTCATTCATACAATCTGTATGAGATGTCAGGCTCAGGTGTAGAAATTCACAGATATTGAGAATTCTCAGACTGAGTCTCTATATTCTTCTCATTCATCTGCTTCTTCATCTCATCATTGACTGGATCCTCTCCATTATTCAGAACTTCTGGAACAGATAGTTTGAGGAGACTGAGGCACAGGGTAGAAGTCTTTGTACAGGCTTGTAAAGCAGCAGGACAGCGGGCATTGTGAGGCATATTGAAAAAAGAGTTGATTGATATATGTGGATTTGATGATAAAGGTAAGAAAGACGCGTATTTGGATGATATTTGATTGAAAAAGATGTGTATTGAATGATATTGAATGATTCTAGAGAAATGTGGATATTTTGATTTTTTGGTGGTGTTTTGCTACTAATTTTCAGGGGGGGCTGGGAAAATTCTGTTTTCGCAAGTAATATGTCCGCCACAATAAGCATGGCACGGTTAACATCCAAATATTCCGTCCTCCATCATTTCATTAAGCACGTATCTATAGGTTTCTCACTCTCCTCACCATGGACCCTCAGCAACCCACATCCCGGGCTTTGCAAGGTCAGTATTCTCACTTTTCCGCAAATTGGAGTTCCCCTCCATCCGCTCAATTGAAGGCCACAAGAGCTAAATCCGGATGACGTATGGTCTGCCGCCATCGCCAAACAGCCCGCATAAACACCAACGTCGCGCAGCTGCTACAACGATTCGAGAATATCATGGCAACCGCAACGGTGAGATAATATACCAGATACGCCCTGCCTGGACATAGGGACGGAGAGGGACGCATTTTGCAAGGTTTTACAAATATTGGGTGGCCGACTAACGTGGGTGGGCGAAACCCCAAAAAAATAAATTCAGGTCGATAATACAAGCTTCACATCCACAGCCATCGAAACATATCAACTCGACGTCGAGTCTACTGCTCTTGTTCGTATTTGCTCAGCCCCTGTTATCGTTATCCTTTTTTTTTTTTAAACTTCCGAAATTACTGCGCAAGTACAGTACAAACGGAACAAATACCCCTGGCAAGAGCGCAAACTTGCTAATTTCTCCTGCTTTTTCCCATTACCCTAGATTCGCGCCGCGGAAGATATCCTCTCGTTAACACGGACAATGAAGGAAGCATGGCTATTTGGCAAATTAGACACCCTGGGTGAGGATGAGAGGGATGTACAAAGGAGGGAGGGTCTAGAGAGGGATGCGCAAGCGGTCAAGAATGCCATTGAGAAGGGGGGCGTGTTGTCAATGGAATAAGTTATCAAAACAGCCGGACGCGCGTGTTTTGTTCCCTGCATTCTCATTATTTTTTTTCCCCTTCAGTGCGATATATTATCTGATCATGGTGTTATTTTGGCTGCAGTGGCGTTATGGTATTTGTGATTTTTGCAGTGGGATTGGGAAAGGAATCGGCGTTGGGCAAGTTTGTGTTTTCTATTTCAGTTGAATCTAACAAATAATGATATTTGGAGCAGAGGTATTTATTATAATCATAAATCTAGATCAATTCTACACAAGAACAATTCAAATTTCCTCGTTAAAATATTATTCGTTGTTCTACTCCCGTTCCTCTGGGGAGCTTCACGTCATCCCAAAAGGGTAAATAACTAACTAATGAGCTCTCCGCCCGCACCAACCACGAGAACCTCCAATCCCACCACAAATCGACATGTAAGACAACAACACCACTCATCACATCAACAACTCTCCCATCCTCTCCCATCCTCTCAATCTCAGGTCCAACCCCCAATTCCAACCTCTCCAACAAAAATGCCAACGCCCCCGCCCACCACCACCACCGACGACACAGAAGCAATGCCACCCCCCTTCCCCACCTCCGCCCGCACCCTCCTCCACCCCCTCCCGCCTCTCACCCTCATCGTCGCCACAACACCCATAACAACACCCTCTCCCTCGCCTACAACCAGCGACCACCATCACCGCCGCCGCCTAGGCATCGGCCATGCCGGAACCCTCCCCTGGTCCCGCATAAAAACAGACATGGCCTTCTTCTCGCGCGTCACGACGCGCGCCCCGGCGCCGGAAAATGCCACATGCACAAGCACAAGTGCAGTTAACGCGGTGATAATGGGCCGGAAGACATATGACTCGCTCCCCGCGCGCTTTCGGCCGTTACCGGGCCGTGTGAATGTCGTTGTGACGCGGGACCGGTCGGGGAGGGAGAGGGCGCGGATCGAGGGGGAGTGGAGGGCGGCGGGGGAGAGGGAGAGGGAAAAGGAGAGGAAGAACAATAGCAGGGAGGGAGGAAATATCGGCGCGACCACTACTACGCCATCATCGACACCAAAACCGGAAACAGGGCCGGGAACGGGGCCAAAACCAGAAGAAGAAACCCCCGACGTCCTCGTAGCAAACAGCCTCGAATCCGCCGTGGCGGCCCTCCACGACGCGTTCAGGACGACCCCCACCCCGGGCCCCCTCTCTCACAACGCCACCCGCTGCCTCGCGAATATCTTCATCATCGGCGGCGGTGAGATATACGCCGCCGCTCTAAATCTTAAACCTACACTGGACGGTGGGGAACAGCAACAACAACAACAACAGCAACAGCAGCAGCAGCAGCAGCAACAGCAGCAACGCGGCGCGAATGCGGGGACGATGAGGATTGTTATGACGGATATAAGACGGTGTCCTGCTCCGGCTTCAGCACCAGAGCCAGCTCTATCAAGCGATGTTACGGCTACACCTGCGGCTACGGCTACGGGTATTACCACGGTAGGGGAAGAGGAGGCGATGGCGGTGGAGAACTCCGTCAACGGGTCTGAATGCGATACGTTTTTCCCGCTGGATAGTGAGGAATTGGAGCGAGGTGATGATGGGGGGTGGAGAAGGGTGAGTGCGGAGGATGTTTCTTCTTGGGTGGGCGAGGAGGTGAAGGCGCGGTGGGTGAGGGAGGGGGAGTTTGTGTTGAGAGTTTTGGGCTTTGAGAGGGGGGCTTGAACGCTGGCTGGCTGGAAGCAGAGCAGATAATAAGTAAATAAATATCTTAACTTTTGGCTTGTAATTTTCAATACACCCTTGAAGAAAGCGGTATGATAATGATATTACATTATTTCATGGCAATCGGAAATGGACTGGGGTTATGGAAATTGGCAAGCCCGCCCACTACACACGCCCCTTTGCGGCCAATTTTAATAGAAAACAGTGGTTGAAAGAAAAGAAGAAAAAGAACGGTAAAGAATCTTACGCACAAACATCTCATTGTGATCAAAGATCGATGGGATTAGGACTAACCCTATTCTCACGTCGCCTTCCATCATCTCTCTCACAGCATGCCAATCATCATGACAAGAAATATGATGTACGCCGATCCCATCCATCCATCCATCCATCCATCCATCCATCCATCCACTCAACTCATTCACAATCCGCCTCACCACTGAAGAAAACAGAATCAGACAGACATCATCCCATCCATTACCCATACCAATATCATTGTGATCATACACCCGCTCACTAACGCCCGTAGTACAATCTCACTCAGAACCCATCCCATCCTTCCTCCGCTGCGATGAATTCAGCCATCCAAACGCCGACGCCCCACCAACCGGATTCGCCGTGCGTGACTTGCCAGACCACGGCCCCGCAGTGCCACCTCCTCCATCGCTAGAAGAAGGTTTCCCCGCGCCAGCACCATTCACGGACTGCTGCGCATGTTGGGATGACGATGTCGTCATTTGATCGTGGCCATCGCAACTAGTGCTTGTGCTGGTGCCGGTACGGTGTTGGTCTACGGGGGGAAAGCGCGAGTCGCTGCCAAAGCCAGACGAGGCGGTTCCTGTTGCGGTAGTTGTGGTAGTTGTGGGAGTGCCAACGCCGCTGGAGGAAGCCTGTCTAGACACCGTGTTTACTGATGAGGTCGACTTGGTCGGTTTCAGGATCTTCATATTCCGCGTCCGGGTTGAACGCTGGTAAGCGGACATGAAGGGGCTGGTGGTGCTGCTGTACATACTTGCGCTAGTGGATGTCGTTGTTCCTGTTGCCCCCGTATTCTCCCCCTTGTCGCCGGTGGTATCGCGACGCCAGGGGCCCCAGACGCCGCTACCCTCTGCTTTCGCAGATGAGGTTGACGTGCCCGTGAACGCGCGGTCGCCCGCGCTGGGTTTGGGATAGTGGCGCTGATCTGGACTGTTGTTGTCCGAGGAATCGTCGGTGAAATGGCGCGCGGAGGAACGGATGGGTTTTCGGTCGAAGGAGTCCGAGGAGGCGCGGGCGCCTAAGTTGGTGGAAGTATCAGCCTTGTCTGAGGTTGTGATGTTGTCATGGCCCGCGGAAGTTGGGAGTTCACACTCAGTAGTGGGCTGGTCTCCATTGGTCACTACAAGGCCAGTTCGCTTGTCGCTGGTAGTTCCGTTGTATAGTGTTGACAGATCCTCTGGGCCAGTAGTTAGATATCTAAACGTAGAATCATCCTCCGGGCGAACCAAGGGAATTGAGATTTTGTTGCGCCCGTCATCGACAATGAGCATCTTGTCCTGCGAGAATAGAATGTCGGCATTGTGTGCGCGGAGGACATCGCTGCCTAGGAAAATCTGGATGCTTTTGTCACTCAGGTCTGCGCCACGGATGATAAATCGAACAGTCAACGCAGGTAGCTGGGGGACCGGGCTCCCGCCGCGGGACGACGGCTGGTATACACTGGCCTCAGGGAGGTAGACTGGAAGTTTGATGATTCGCACACCATCCTCCTCTGCTGCCTCTTCCTCGAGGCCTAGTTTCCGCACCATCTGTTCACTGATGGCTGAGCGGTATGACCCCGTGCACACTGCAGCGTAGAGCAACGAGTCATTGGAAAAGTTCGTCGTGAGCCAACAACGGATGATGCACGGGACAGGGCCTAGAATGAATAGTCCGGGAGGTGGAGGCAAGGGAGTGTTGCTGGCAGACGAGGTCCCATTCCCACCACCAAGCAAGCGAGATGCTTCCAGCCCCATGCTATTGGTGCGCGCGGAATGGTGCGATTGGCCCGACGAGCTCTGTTTCCCGTCAGATCGATGAGAAAGCGACCGCTCCGTCAGCGGATGGCTTCCCAGCCCACTGCCAGTTCGCAATGGGAGGAGCTCAGCGGTTGATCTGTTTGCTTGGCTATAATACATCGAGCTCTCATCGAATCGCACACTGTTTGCCCGTGAAGCCCCGCGACGAGGTTCTTCCTCATTTTCCAGATGTAGCGCTCCCGTCAACCCATGTTGGTGTGTTTGGTCAAACCCTTTGAAAGGCTCAGCAGTCGGGTTGAAGGATGTTTCTAATCCACATGACAGTGTTAGCAAATTATTTATTTCTAACAGGGCTCAATTCGTGTGCATCCCCCACTTTGAAGGCTTGCTTTTTTTTTTTTTTTTTGTATGGTCACTTACCTTGGTGGTGCACGGTGCCAATAGACCCCGGAAACGGAGATAACGGGCCCCAAACACTCTTCATCCTCGCATCGTCGTCACGACGCCGTTCCAATCTAGATATCCGCTCTCCGTGCTCGAGCTGGGCTGCAAATAGGTCTTTCACCTCCTCTTGAACGCGCCAGATGTCTTCTCTTGATGCAAATGGGTATTGCGCGTCCATTCCCAATAATCATTCACGGAGCAGCAAAATCCACCCGATGTAGGGATATTGCTCTTGGGAGCAGCGTAGCTGGTTTGGTGGGCCACAGGGCGAAATGGGGAAGCCGGAGCAAGACGACCGCGAACAGAACTAATTCCGCAAAACAAGCATCCGTCGATGGTTCAACGAACCCTGAAGAGAAAAGTCCAGGGAGCAAGCTGGCAGCTGATCCAAGAATAAACGAGCTTATTGATGCGCCTGAGATCGAAAACAAATAAACCTCCGGGTCAAATAAACCTTCCAATAAGAGAATAAAAAACCGAAAAGAAAGAAACGAAAAAAAAAAAAGTAATCCTGGACCCGGTCGTTTTCGTTTATGATTCCCGTGCCTTCTCTTCTCTTTTCTTTTCTTTTCTCCTTTTCCCCCAAGATATTATAACCTCTCTGTTTCGATACTTCTTGCCCCGCTGATACTGTGAACCTCCGTGTTAACCGATCCCCTCCACTAATCTTATTCTCTCAAGAACAAAGAACAAAGGGCCCCTGATCTCTCTTTTCTCTCTTTTTTTTTTCTCTCCTTTTTTCAAACAATACTCTATTTGCCGCAACGGTAAAACAATCGATTCAACCGTCCGTTAACAACCTCACACCCTCGTCTCCCGCCAGGGCCAGGCTCTGCGAGAAGGCCTCAAGGCCTCCGCCCACCCAAGTGAGATGTATTAGAATCTGCCAGTGTATCAAACAGAACCACCCGAGGGTGCCTAAGATTACCGTATGTAGATCTTGTGGCTAGCCAAAGGGTGATAGTTATGACCGTTCTAACACGAGGAGCGGATGACGGGGATGCGGGACCGGGGAAGTCGGGCGGGGGCTTGTTGTAGTAGTTGTTGTTCTTGTCGGAGGTGGAGGTGGAGGAGGAGGCGGAGACGGAGACGGAGGGAGTAGAGTGGGTGAGATGGGACGAAAGAGTTGCCTTTCCAAAGGATGGATGACAGGAAGGCGGAGGGGGGTGGAAGGGGAGAGGAGGGGGGGGGGGGGGCAGGATTATCGAATCCGGGAGAAAGAGGTTATGTTTCGCTCGTTGTATTGGTTGTTCTGATTTCAGCAGGAAAGGACGTTGTGGTGGAGGCTGTGGGAGAGTATATATTCCGTTCGAGACGGCAACGGCGGCGGACCGGGAGTTTTGATGGGTGGTGATGGCAGAGGGGAGAGGAGGGGGGATGGGATGGGATGGGATGGCTCTGGGGGCGAATGCGGGTACAAAGAAAAAGATACGTAGTTAGTTTGCAGGTTTCCTCTGCACGGGTGGAGAAGGCAATGTTGTAAGGATGGGAGAATTTGGTTTCTGCTGATGATGGCAGTGAGGTGATCGGAGGGGTATTTCCCGGGGAAGTTCCTGTCGTGTTTGAGCCGTGGAGGTGGATGTGATGGTGGTGGTGGTGAAGTTGGTGGAATGAGTGATGGTGATGGTTGGTTGGGCGAGATGTTTCGTTAAGGCAGGCGGCTTACTGCGTAGAGTTGGCTTGGTCCGGGGTCTGGTCTGGTCTCAGTGGTTTATGGTAACTATGGTATGGTATGGTATGGCGCTGGCAAGGCGAAACGATTGCAAGGCAAGGCAACTAGCGCCAAACAGCCGTAACTAATAATAATGGGATTGCCGCTGAGTATCCTCTGATAAATAAACCATGGAATATGCTCTGTGAAATCAAAAAGAAGCCCTGTTTCTCCTTGGTCGGGTGGAATTTTCCATGGCAATGTAGATCTCCCGCGTTAATATGTAAAGGCGCGCATATATCTATCTATCTTTTTAAAAAAGTAATTATTTGAAAACAAAATTACATGAATCAGACGAAATTGACCACCCATGCAATAAATAAATAAATAAATAAAAAGTAATAGAAATAGAAATATAAATATATATCTCCCTAAATTAGACAAACCCATCCCCGTTGACCTCTTTACTCACCTTTCAAATCCTAATGCCATCGTCCACCACCGTTGAGCTACGTCCACTTCCTCTCTCCCTTCGAACCTTGGGAGCGACGGGGGGTTGATAGAGCGGAGACACAATGTTTTGCTTGTGGCATTCAGCACACCTCTACCCATTCCATAAGACATGATGAAGTTTCTTCTTATGTTTCGGAAAAGAATATAGTAGTTATGTAAGAAAAGAATTAGAACGGGTGCCCCTATGGGGACGAGAGGCGGGGGGTTAGGGGGAGGGCGAGGGGTTCGTTTCCTCGCCTATCCTCAACTCTCGCTGGCGGTGCTGAGCCGTGATCCATATTATTATATCTCTTTGCCCGTAGCAGTTCTCTTGGTCTCTTCCTCCATCATATAGTGAACAATAATAATAATAATAATAATAATAATAATAATAAAGTGCGGCGCCCGCAAGCGCCTCTTTCCCCAGGAACCAACTCCAAGTGAACTACGATTTCGGCGCACTCTGCCACGGAGGGAAATGCATAGGCACATTCTCAGGCGCGAGGTGCGGATAATGCGTCCGGATCGCCCTCGTCACCTCATCGTACAACACCCTATAGCCGGCCGGGTTGAAATGGAGACCTAACACACCCACCCACACACACACACACACAAAGGCCACGACAGGTAAGTAAGGGTAACTAAGGAGCAAAATACTTATTTTGACAAAAGTATAGATGGAGGTATGTGTTATATAGACATACCATCTGACAACAACGCCTGCAACCTCTCATTCACAGGCACCTCTCTCGATCCCGCCAGCGGCTGGCCATCCACCCACCCAGCCACAGTCATGAATGCAGTCCATATATCGGCAACGGGCACGTTGAGCTTCTTGCCCACCTCTCGGCAGGCGTCGGCGTATTGTTTTGTCCGGGAGGCTTTGCGCATTATTGGGGAGGCTGGTTCGGGTTCGGGTTCGGGATCGAGCGCGCCGGGCTGCGTACCTACATCCGCATCTACATCTCGATCTGCACCTGCGCCTGTATCTGTATCTGTATCTGTATCTGTATCTGTATCTGTATCTGAGGGGGAAAACTGATACTCATTGACAGGTGGTGGGGTCAGGAGTAAGAGATTTGTCTCCGGATGCGCTTTGATGAGCGGGTGTGTGAGGATTTTTATTAAATTTTCTCTATAGAGGTTGAGGGGGACGTGTTGCTGGAAGCCGGGGAGGACGGCGTCATTTGCGCCGAAGAAGACGGTCTGTGGGGATTTGTGTTATATTTTGTTAGTTGGCCTCTGCTCTTTTGCTTTCATGTTGAGTTATTATTATATTCTAGTTTATATCTTCTGTTTTCCGTTGCTTATAGTTGGTGCATGCTCGTAGGGGATTGATTGCACGGGTGGAGAGGAGTTAGTTACCATTAGGCGGACCCTCGCCTTTTGCACGGGCGGGAAGAAGCATGGGAAGATTGCGAGAGCTTGCTCGGATGTATAGCCACTGTAAATACCTGATTAGCCGATGTGGTGGGTTGCGAGTGTTTTCTACGATAGCTTGCTTTACCTGAAGCCCCGATTGATGATATCGAAACGTCTAATATAATCTAGATGAAGACTCAGCTGCCACCTTCGAAAACAGGGATAAAAAACGGTTTTCTTCTTTCATCTTTCTTGTACGAAATGAGAGCAGACATTCCCGATCTATACAAGCTTATACAGGCACAGTTATATAGAAGACAATGTTAAAACTGGCGGGGGAACGAGCAGGATATACATATATGTAACGTACCATGCTGCAAGGCGGGGCAGAAGGCAAACCCGCCGCTCCCCTGATCGCACGAGCCCTGGGTTATGGAGTCGCCAAAGAGAATAATCTGGTCATACTCCACAAAGGACGAGGAATTGGAGGAGTTAGGGTTGGTGATATTTGTGGTCGACATGGTGAGGTCTGGCAATGACGTGCAGTTATACTTAATGCAAGTGGGAAATGTGGGGGTGAAGCCAGAAAGTATTAACTAGTTATTCGCGTTCTGCCCCTGGCTACGGCAGCCTAGAAGTGACATCTAGGTCAAATGAGTATTTTAAACTAGTGTTACAATGAGCACACATCAACGATATTGGATTGTATTAGCAATCAGAATCTCCTCATTGGATTGTATTAGCAATCAGAATCTCCTCATTGGAGATTGTATGAAATAGTGATCAACATCAGAGGAGAGCCCTATACCCGGGGTCTCTATACCCGGTCTATACGCTTGAGGGGGCTCTATACCTGGGGGGGGGGCTCTATAATTATATCTCATAGTCTAAAAGCCAGGACTGATTAAACCATATATAGTAATATACTAACCATATTAGGACTAGTTTCATTGGTGTGTGTCTATATAATGAGTATTATGTGGAATTAAGCTTTTACACTGAAAAACATCCCAAAAAAGCCATTTGACCCAAATGTCACTGTAGGCTGCCGTACTGGCGGGGGTGGTGGGTGACTGGAAACCCATCCATATGTCACCGCTAGAGCTGGATGTCGTACGTACGCTGTATACAAACGGCAATTTTGGATTCAACAATATAGTAGAGACGTTTAGGAGGTGGTGGATAGAATAGAGATCTGCGTAATAACTTCTCAGAGTGGCCAGAAATGTTTTGTTTTGTTTTGGTAACTAGTTATGCACTTTGAAGCTCGGATATCTAAGCCCTCATGAGGGATACAAACAAAAAGGCAGCAAGGTATGTTATAGTCAATCCCAGATCTATAATGATCTCAGTCAGGATTAGAAGAAGGTACAAAATGCAAAGAACATCCATCCACGTTCTCTCATAGTACATGTACATGTACATGTAACTTACTATACAACGATGCAACAGATCCATGAGCAGACATTGAAAGGCATCTGAACTTGCCTCAGCTGCTGGTTCGTGTACTGTACTTTAGTAGCAAATCCACTACATCTAGAAAGCAAAATAATTCATAAAAACCTACTATCTACGTATAACTCGTAGTCATATTCATGCAGTGCTCTACATCAGTAAGGAGTCGGGTTTGCTAGGGTTCTGATTGGCTTGGATGGAGAAGCAAATGTTCCTGGGTAATAATATTTATGGGATAAAGTATCTAGCTACAAGGGTTCGATTGAGCTTGTTATACGGAGTATAATATATATATATATAGTTATATATGGTGTGACTAACTTGAGCCAGTTTGAGAATTATTAATGAATACTCTACTACTACTATTACTAGTTACTCTACTCTACTACTCTCTACTACTCTACCGCTAGAGTTCGAAGTAAAGTAACGGATGTTAGAGCAAAGCAACCTTGGATCAGTCAAAGTTAAGGCCTGTTGTTCCTTGGGAACAAATCACCCTCTGCCATGGGCCAAGCCGGGTAAAATTGCAGAATGGAATGTAGTTACATATGTAACTACATGTACAGTACATTACATACATGTACCTAAATTCTCTAAAATCCATTCTCTCATGTTTGAGAACAAAACACAAAACAAAACAATCGTTGTAGAGGAATAAATAATAATACTTACTATATGTAAACCTCCCTCCCTTCCCCCCCGCAGTAACAGTGACCTCATCGCGCGTTTCTCCTCTGGCGCTAGTTAGCGCTCCCTCCCTAACTAGTTAGTTAGTTAGTTATCTATCTATTTAGTTAAACAACCCCAAACAACTTGACCTCAAACAAAACAGAACATCATCACGCCCGCGCTCTATCTACATTTGTGTGTGTGTTCAATTCTACTACAACCGTCTCTTGAATGCGCCAGTTTGGATCCTAACCTTTTTGGGGGGGGGACTTGGGCTGGCTTGCTTCTGCCCTTGGATGGTTCTTGGGGAGGAGGGCGGCCTTCATTTGCTTGGTCTGTCTGTGTCTGTTCCTATCCTAAATATCCCCAGCCTCTTCCCACCGCTCGCCTGACAGCCAGCAGCAAGGAAAACGCGGATAGTGCTCGCTGCCAAAGCTACCCATGTCCCACATGACATTCCTTTGCCTTTTAACCTGTTTCTGACATCTGCCCGCTCCGGGTAAGCTGACTTGTTATGACTTTATCTCTAATAGACTGTCGGAAATAAAGTAACACTTGACTTTCCAAGGAAGTGTGCTTGCTACTTCTTCCTCGACTACTACTGTTGCTACCACCACTCTACTACAATACAATGACTCCTGCTCTCCAGCGATCCGTCTCCAACGCTTCTGGGCTGGGTGGTGACGACGACGACAGCACCAGCGACCAAGATGATAATCCCCGGCTGATAGTGACCTCGCCGCCATCCCCAACCAGCCGGCGTGAACAAACTACTCGTTTTGCGGAGTTGGATATCCGCAGCCGTCTCCCCCGTCGTCCCACAACAACAGACATGGACGAGAGAACAGGTCTCTTGGGCGCTGCGGACGACTCAAACCGCACTTACACCACCATCCCCAACCCTGCCTCTAGCACCCGCCCGCCCCCTTTCCACAGACATCCCAGCACCGCTGGCAGTGTTCGGATACCCAGGAACCACAGCCGCGCAAACTCCCAGGCTGTCAAGTTCGGTGGACGCGACTGGTCGCACACAGATACGGGGGACTATTCCTCGAAGAATTCCCTGGGCGCCTCGTTTTTGGATGACAGGGTGTGGTACGACCAGTTTACATCCACCGACTGGGTGCATGATAGCATCGCAGATGGCATCCGGCTCAGACAGCTGCGGAGCCGCAGGGATATTCGCGGGCGGCTGCTGGCTTGGGCTGACGGAGCGCAAGGCTGGATTTTGGTTGCGGTCATTGGATGCCTAACGGCCTGCGTCGCGTATTTCGTCGACGTTACGGAGAATGCCATGTTTGACGTCAAAGAAGGGTTCTGTACGGAGAACTGGTTCTTCAGCAGACGACGCTGCTGCTTGCCTGAGGAGCACGAGTGTGATGCGTGGTTGTCCTGGGCGGAGATTTTAGAGTCGTCCCCCATCGACCGGAAATGGATCGACTTTGTTGCTTTTGTCTTTTGGGCTGTTGTTCTTGCAGCGTGCTCGTGTGTACTTACGCTTCTTACGAAAACAGTCGTGCCGTCATCGGTCTCACTATCTACATTGGATGAGGATCTAGGAGCTGAGATAGAGTCGCCCGGCGATTCACCGATACGCGATCGGAAAACAAGCTCCTCTAGCCAGTCGCCACAGAGAGGGATAGTTGCTGCTCCCCCTATGGTTTACTACTCTGCTGCTGGAAGTGGTGTTGCAGAGGTGAAGGTCATCCTCAGTGGGTTTGTCCTTCATGGATATCTGGGCTTCAAAACACTGGTCATAAAGACGTTGGCTCTTGTGTTGGCTGTCGCCTCGGGACTAAGTGTTGGAAAAGAGGGCCCCTACGTCCATATTGCCTCTTGCATTGGAAACATATCCTGTCGAATATTCTCGAAGTATCACCACAACGATGGTAAACGGCGTGAGGTGTTGAGTGCTAGTGCTGCTAGCGGTGTTGGTGTTGCATTTGGTGCCCCTATTGGAGGCGTCTTGTTCGGTCTGGAAGAAGTCAGGTACGCATTTTGCTCTGTTAGAGCAGGAAAGTATATTACATTTCAAGGATGCATTCGAAAGCTAACAAAATCCGTGCCCTAGCTATTATTTCCCTCCCAAAACACTCTTTCGAACATTCTTCTGTTGCATTGTGAGCTGCCCCATTTTATAAGTTACAGTGGTGATGTACACTAATCCCGGAATAGGCTGCCGCCCTCTCTTTAAAATTCCTGAACCCGTATGGCACCGGAAAAATTGTGTTGTTCGAGGTTCGATATGTCTCAGACTGGAAAGTTTTCGAGCTTCTGATATTTATGCTCCTCGGGGTCCTTGGAGGTGCTTCGGGTGCCTTGTTTATCAAAGCCTCGAAACTGTGGGCACAGTCGTTCCGCCGCATTCCCGTTATCAAACGCTGGCCGCTGCTGGAAGTCGTCTTAGTTTCATTAATCACGGGCTTAGTTAGCTTTTGGAATCGCTATACGAAGCTGCCCGTTTCAGAACTTCTTTTCGAGCTTGCCAGTCCGTGTGATCCGGACACCGAATCGAGAACGGGACTCTGCCCCACGGGCGACAAGATCCCCGAGGTGATCCGTTACCTTGTCATTGCTTTTGTTATCAAAAGCATTCTGACCATTATAACATTTGGCATCAAAGTGCCTGCCGGCATCTACGTTCCGTCTATGGTTGTCGGTGGCTTACTAGGCAGGATCGTCGGCCACATTGCCCAGTATTTCGTTGTACATTTCCCAGACTCTTTTCTTTTTGGCAGCTGCTCCAGCTCGCGGGATGCTCTGTCGTGCATAAACCCGGGAGTTTACGCTCTTATCGCTGCTGGCTCTACGATGTGCGGTGTTACGCGACTTTCTGTGACGCTGGTTATCATCCTGTTTGAATTAACGGGTAGCCTCGACCATGTGCTTCCCTTTTCCCTAGCAATCCTCTGCGCCAAATGGACTGCGGATGCAATGGAACCGCTGAGCATCTATGTAAGTTTTTTCCACCTCCTATACGTCAAACTCACCCACGTGGGTCAATAACTCGCCCGTATGATTATGCTAACACACCTCCAGGACCTCCTCACGGACATGAACTCCTACCCCTACCTCGACAACAAACTCCACCCAACCTCCGACATCGAACTCAGCGAACTCGTCCCCCGCGTCCGCAAGAACCGTATCATAGACATCTCCAACTCCCCGCTCGTCCCCGCCACGGAGCTGCGCCAAAAACTCGACGTGCTCCTCCTAGCCGGCGAACTGGACGGCGGCCTGCCGATCCTGCGCAAGAATATCCTGGTCGGGCTGATCCCTGCGCCCGAGCTTGAGTATGCGCTTGATAGGCTCGAGGACGAGGAGGAGGCGATGTGTTTGATGTGTATTGATAGTTCGTATGAGGGTTGGAGTGCGGAGGGGGATCGGGATCGAGAGAGGGTCGATTCAACGGGGCGGATGGCGGATTTTACACCGTTTATTGATCCGGTATGTTCTCTCTCTCTCTCTCTCTCTCTTTTTTTTTTTTTTTTTTTTTTTTTTTTTTTTTTTTTTTTTTTTTTTTTTTTCCTGTTGCGTTTACGCTTCTTCTTCTAATTTATTTCCCCACATCCACATCCATTCTTCACAATCCGCCCTCGTGGCCAAATGCCAAATACAAATACAAAGTATATATATACACACAACTAACCGATATTGTGTTTACTACTTCTCTCTAGGCTCCCGTGGCCCTCGATATACACTCACCCATAAGCCTCGTCTATCAATGCTTCGTCAAACTCGGCCTGCGGTACATGTGTGTCCTGCGCGATGGGCAGTATGCGGGGCTGGTGCATAAGAAGTCATTTGTCAAGTTTATGAAGGAGCAGGGGAAGGGGACACATAAGTGAGACTTATGATATAGGGGGTCCCGGGGGGATGAAAGTGGGTGTTTTTGTTTTTCTTAGGGCGGGGTAAGTGTGAGAGTGGAAGATGGTAGATGATGGTACATGAAAAAAGACAAAGAGAGGGAGAAAGAAGAGGGTCGGTGGGTGGGTGGCTTGGCTGGCATGTATAGATTCTTTCCATTTTCCATTTTCCATTTTCTTGCTGGTTGAGATTCCCCAGTGATACACACACACACACATACACACACACACACATACACATGCATGCATCCATAGAGTTGTGGTTTTCTTTCTTTTGCATACATAATACATATGGATTTCAGCTCTTTTGGGGAAATTTATTTTATTATTTTTCAGTTTTGATATCTGTACTCCGTACTGTTAAAAATGATAAGTTGTTGTTTTAAGATGAAGTAGCGACGGAAGAACATTGAGCCGGAGTCCCGCAATGCTTTTGGCTCCAACTTCCAAGCCGGGCCGGCAATACTGTTCCGAACCCCAACGCCGCCGCCGGCAATTCAACCACTTGTTCCCGACCCGACCAACCGGCAAACTCCCCGATTTCCCCGAGTTCCGTCAGATATCTCTCTCTCTCACATAGCTATATCGCAACCTCGCAACCTCGCAACCTCGCAACCTCGCAATCTCCCATCCAATCTACCCCTCCCACGTCGTGCCCTCATGCCAACGAGCACCCTCCGTTTCTCGCCCCGATTCCTCCCCTCGTTTGCTCCCTCGTCGTCGCTCCGTGCCGCAAAACGCTACTCCAAAAGCCCCATTATCTCGCCAGCAAGAATGTCGTCCACCGGAACAGCTGCGCTTGCACGCAATGCGAAGGCGGAGCGGATTCGTAAGTTTAGCTATGCCTGTGTTTCTCTTCTGTTTGAGATAGGTTAGGAATGCGATTTTGCTGATAGATGGGTCATTGTGTCGTGCGGGTGGTGGGTGGTAGGCAATCCGGCTCTCTTGTATGTGTACCCCACACGCCCCTCAATACGAGTTAGATGATTATGAAGAGACCTGAGGAGGCTGTATCTTTGTAGCTACTACAGGACGCGACATGGTTTACTGACCGCTGCGCTGGGATTTGATTTGCGCTTACAGCATTTGCGATATCCAGGAGAAATTCCGCCCGGTTATCTATGAGTTCCCGAAACTGTCAGCTCTCCCCGCTTTTTCTCCGCTCCCATCCCTCCCACGACCTCAGACACCTGCGCGGCGATAAATAAAATAAAATAAAATAAAATAAAATAAACCAACTCGAGAAGCTACCATAAACTAACATAACCAACCCCAGAATCACCACAACAACCAAACTCCTCAAAGCCGCCAAACCCCTCAACATCCCCATCTACATCACAACCCAAAACCGCGCCCGCCTCGGCGCCACCGTCTCCGAATTCAACCCCTACCTCGACCCAGCCACAAACCCCAACGTCCGCGCCGACCTCGACAAAACCCTCTTCTCCATGGTAACCCCAGAGCTGAAAGCCTGCTTACCCACCACCACCACCGCGGCTGCCGACGGCGGACAGCCAGTACCCCTCGACGCCATCATCGTCGGCATCGAGTCGCACATCTGCGTCACGCAGACGACGCTGGACCTGCTGGCGCTGGGCCACAGAGTGTATGTGGTTGCTGATGGGGTGAGCAGTGTGAACCCTGAGGAACGGGTGGTGGCGCTGGCGCGGCTGAGGGATGCGGGGGCGATTGTGACGACGAGCGAGAGTCTGTTGTTTGAGATTATGGGGGATGCGAAGCATGCTGTTTTCAGGCAGATTAGTGGGCTTGTGAAGGAGAGTGGGGAGGAGACGAAGAAGGCGCTTGGGGTGTTTTGTGGGAGTAAGATTTGATTTTGTTTTTAGGTTTTAGTTATTTTATTACATTGTTTTTGTTTTTTTTAAGACGTGGCTGTTTTTGTTTATGGAGGGAACTGGTATCTAATCCTAATCTATCTGGCTAAGAGAAACAAGGGGTAAGGGAACAATTGTATGTTTCTGACATGTAGAGGGTATAAGTCTATCTCATATTCGGCGAATGTAAAGCTTTTGTGAATCGATGGGGCTGATGAAAAGAAATGTGAGGCCTGCGAAGGCACCAACAACATAACTAGGTGCTCCGTCACGCAACGAACATGTTCTCAATTCCAGTATATATATATATATGTATGTCATAATCATCTACCCAGCAAAACTCCCAAATAGCTCCTTGACTCCGCGCTCTTGGCTGCCGCGCTCTTGGCTGCACTTTCCCTCGTGTCTTCTCCCACCATACTGCACTGCCTCTGCAAAAGAGCAGGGCCGGCCCGGGGGCGGGCGGTGAAGGTGCGAGATAAGAGGAGGGAAGACAACAGCAGAGAAGGAGAAGAGCTGAGTGGAGGAAATTGACAGCCGCGGCGCCGGATGCTCTGTAAAGTAGTTCACTAGTACTAATTTCCAAAAAAGAAAAAAAGAACCAAAAAAATAAAGGAACCGGTTCATCGAACTGGACTGGCAAATACTGCAGGTGGAGGAATGGTAGGGCGATCAGGAGAACAGAGAAACCGGTGGCTGAGGGCGTGTGGTGAGCGAGAGAATCGGGCGCAGCTGAACATTTAAGGCCATGCATGACTGGACAATAACTATATGTCCATGGAATGACTATGGCGAGCCTGCTCAGCGGGTGTGCGACATGGACCGTCCGTAGCCCTTATCCCTCCCCTCTCTCCCCCAGCAAGATTCCCAACCCCCCACCCTCGCTCACAAAGGGCTACAGAAAGGGGGGGGAGATGCAGGGAGAGAGCGAGAACCCACCCGCGAGAAAGCAATAGAAAAGAGGGCGGAGCGAGACGTCTTTTGAAGCGGGGAGGGCGCGGACGCCACTCGTCGCTGATGAGAAAATACACAGAAACCCGAAACCGTACCGAAGTGGCGGGCGATGAGAAAGTATGCAGCAGCATTGTACTCAGGCCCAGTGACGTAGGTAGTATTCACCAAGTTCTTTCCTCTTCCCTCAAGTCTGAAATGTATTGCCGACATGTTCCGAATCAATTCTGCCTTCCTCTCCGTTCAGACTTTCCTCACGCAAACCATCCTTCAATGGGGTTGCTTTTCAACGCCATAGACTCCCGAGATAGAGTGGAGGGTTAACACTGCGTGAGCTGATCCGGGGGTGTGAGAACGGCAAACCAGCCGTCGAATATCTCCTTTGAACAAATGAATCGTTCGGGGACAAAAGTGTAAAGTGTTAATGGGCGGGTCGCGAATTGCGCGCGGGCTTAGTGGTGCTGGCCCGCAGCAGGATGGAAAGAGTAGCGACTGGCGCTCTGCTGTTAACCGGGCGCGGAGCTGAGAGGGTAAGTGGTGGAAGGTGGGGACCCATTACATGGGGGCAAGAAACGAACAAAGCGCAAATAGAGAGAAGGGAGAAAAGAAAACCTGGGCGGGTTAATTCGGGATTTGTTCTTTTATCAGCCCTGGTGTGCAAAGACGGGGGGTAGACAGTTGGGAAAAGTTCGCGAACTTAAGAAGGGAAGAAATCGAGAGAAAACAAAAGAATTTATGACAAGAGGAAGGACGGAGAAGTCGAAGAAAACAATAGGCAAAAGTAGAAATTTCAAAAGAAATAACAGAAGAGAATCAATCATCACCCATTAATCCATCAAACCCATCAACTGCTAAAAACCACGACCTGCACAACTTTTCACACAGCATTGTTGAGGAGACCACACAACCCAATCGAGTCACGCACGCACACACCCACCGACAAACAGAAATAAAAAATAAAACAAATAAAAAGCAAAGAGCAAAGAGCATTCCTTCTCCGTCTACATATTGATCAGATGCACCTTCGCCATCTTCCTGAAGATATTCTCGTCTACAGCGGAAGCGTCACCGTTCGATGTTTTGGCGCCTGCACCAGTACCACCAGCAGCATCACCACTTTTCCAGTCAACAGCCCACTGCCTCAACGTGAATAGTTCATCGATAAAAGCCGGGAGAAATGTGCCGGGGCCGTGTACTCCGTCTTTCATGGCGGCGCGCTCAGCGGCAATTTCGAGAAGGAGTAAACTGGCGAACACTGCGAGTAGCTTGTCACTTCTGTGCACGGCGAGGAAGGAGGCGGCCATGGTGCCGATTATGCAGCCGGTCTAGGCGGTGGAGTTGGGTTGGTTAGTTTGGGCCTTTTTTTTTTTTTTTTTTTTTTTTTTTTTTTTTTTTTTTTTTTTTTTTTTTTTGGTAGGCAATGGAAGAAAAAATAAATTAAAAATGAAAATAAATTTGAGGTAAAGTGTTGAGGTAAGACTTACGCCTGTAATATGGCCGAGGAACTGATGGCCATTGCCAATGGCGAGAGTGCGCTCGCCATCACTCAGGTAGTCCACACTGCCAGTGAGAAGAACGATGTTTCCTGGGAAAATAGGCGGTTATTTAAACATTTCGGAATCAAGAGCCTGGTGGCTGCCTATGCCAATCCTTAAGGGGAGGTTTGTTATGTGTGTATAGATTGGAGAAAGGAAACATGTAATATAATGGATTGTGTAGGTCGTTGTTTTCTTTGAATATTTCCCGCCGAACAAAACAAGGCACGCAAGGTAGCACAAGAATGAAAAAAAGGAGGAAGGCTGGGGGGGGTGAAGAAGGAAAGCTTACTCTCCCGCCTCGCAAGGTCTTTGACAAGCTTCGCCTTTTCTTCGGGGTTCAAAGTACTGGGTCCGCTGTCGACGCCGACCTGATTCCCACGAGCTTTACCGTACACCTGAATCAACTCGCTTTCATTGCCTTTAATGAGATCGAAATATCCACCGGCAAGGAGTTGTTTCGTTGCTTTGCGGCGAATGTCGGTAGCACCAGCCCCGACTGGATCAAACACAACAGGGTTTCCTTCGGCATTATAAGCCCGTAGGGCCTGGAGGTAATTGTCGAGGCTTTCGTTGTTAAGGGTCCCCATATTAATTAATAATGAGCCACCGTTTTTGGCGAGGTCAGGCGCTTCAGGACCGTACCCGGACATGATTGGAGACGCGCCACTATATTAAAGTCAGCTATAATGAACCCGGCTGAATGATAACTAATCGAGAGTTCTTACATCGCAATTGCAACGTTTGCAGCAAAATTAGCCACCACAAAATTGATCATGTTGTGACACAGCGGTCGCTTTGTAGCCACCAAGCTGACGATATCTGGTACTTGATCTAATAACAGGGAAACTTCATTCTCTCGAGGAGGGACGGGTAAAGTGGCTGAGGCAGGGATTTGCTTCACAAGTCTGCAGAACGATGCGGCGGCTTCTCTCGGGCTTTCCGCTGCCATGATTGCACTCACAATCGCAGCCCCATCAAGGCTCTTAAGAGGTGCTTGTGATTGGTAGATAACTCGCTGGACATTTGTCAAGTTAATACCACCGATTGCAACAGCTCCCACTTTTCTGGGCATTGTAGAAAGAAACGCCAAAATATCCCTCGTGCCAGCAGTCCCGATAATAGACTTGGTGTCGGTTTTCCTTTGTCACGATCAATTTAAAGTTCCATAATTTGTAGATCCTAAGCTTCAGGATGATCAAAGAACAGTAAGGGGCTCGTAAGATCAACTAACTTACGTGGGCGTCGCGAATACAGTTCCAATCCCGACGTAATCAGCGCCATCCTGGACTGCCCTGAACGCTTCCTCGTTGGAGCGTACTGATACCCCGATGTAGGTGTTGGGTGGCAATAATTTCTTCGCCTCAGTTATTTCTAAAAGAAAAGTCGCAAACACAGCTTAGCTTCCCGCAATATAGCAGGCAAGGACGGCGTCACTAACTCATGTCATCCTGTCCAAGATGAACGCCTTCGGCACCAACAGCTAACGCAACATCGACTCGGTCATTGATGATTAGAGGAACATTATACTTTTTCGTAATTCCGTGGAGTCTCTTCGCCATATCAATCATAACACCAGTGTCACTATGCTTGTCTCTATACTGGACAACAGTGACTCCTAGTTAATAGTGGCAAATCAGCAAATATGGCAATGCACTCCACGGCGAGTAAGGACTTACCCCCTTCAAGGGCATCTTGAACTACCTCGCACAAATCCCTATTGCCTAGAATGGCAGGAGTAGAGTCCGTTACCAAGTATACGGAGAGGTCCATGGCTATGCGATGGAATAGGGCAGAGGTATACTCTTTCTTGTAGTGACTAGGAAAAGTGTATGAAACGAGGTTGCTTGCAGTTGGTCGTTACACTAGCAAGTGATATCAAGATGGGCGGGCCAGCTGATATCAGTAGAAGTGGAATAGAGGGAAAAGGGTCCAAAGAAAGATGTTTGTTTGTGTTCCTAATGAAGTTAATTAGTGACTCACTCCCAGCAACATATATAACAAAGTAAAGAAGAGCAGACAGCACTATGAAGAATACAGATATGTTTTAATGAATTTGAGCATGTAGCTTTTTCTCTCTCTCTTTTTAATACAGGATCAAATCAAGATTTTATTCTTATGTATGCAATGAAACAATGGAAAGGAGCACACTAAATAGACCAACCAACGCGCTCAGCATATCTTGGGAGATAGATAGTGCGGAAGATTGGAAAATATACACGCATATGAATACATCATATATCGAAATGTAGGAAACAAGATGATGCTAAGGAGGTCCCGGAGAAAGGGATGATCTACCTGAGTTTTCAGGAGCAACCGTAACTTCTTTGCGTCGTGGATAGTAGTAATCTATAATGAAAATGGAGACGAGATTGGAAAGACAGTATTCAGTCAGGGGATTCAGAGAAAATGAAAGAAATAATTCCGTCTTTTTTACAATTATTTATATGTAAAAGAGAATGAAATATGAAAGCAGGAACTCTGTCTTTCTCCTAAATGGCGATGTATCATTGCACAAGAGCAACTTTGACGTCAAATTTCCTAATTGGAGCAAACACGGACAATATCACGTGATCATCCGGCCTCGGTGGGCTCGGGTTGTCGCGCTTAGTCAGCGCTCAATGAAAAATTATAATTCTGCCGCCACCGAATTACCGGATTTAGTTAGCCACCGCCGCCTCTTCTTTGCCTTGTCTTCCCTCAAAAACTTTCTCTTTCATCTTCCATCCTCCATCCACCACACATCTTCATTCTCACCATCACCACACCGACTTATCCAGACAGTTTGATCTCTAAACTGGGCCTTCTGATACTGCTTCGAAACCCATATAATCGGCGTTGATCTCAACGTTCCACCATTCCGTACTCACCGGGATATCTCGTTGTCTCAGCCCAACCCACGTTCCTCATCAGGTCCCTCCTAAGCCTTCTGCTACCAAGAAAGATAGAGCGCCTGTCTATGTATTCGCCCTACGTCAACGCTTTCGAACACCACCTGCCGCTCAAGCTGCAATCTTTTCGCCCTGTGCGAAAACCTTGTAGTTACCATTCTAGATCTTGTGGCTGAGATTCACTTCGCCTGACATACCCAGTCAACCCCCCCCTCTCGCAGCTGAGCAGTAGAAATTTCTTGCTCTCATTATACTACTCAAGATATCACGGGAAAATTCGTGATACGCATGTCTTGTAGCAATCGTACCTCCATTTCCCAGGCCCTCTCCGCGTTTCGTCCTATATTGCCCGCATCTATAGCCTTTTAAGGGTTTTTAAGGATTTCGTCTCTCTTCTTATCGTCACCATGGCTACCATCAATATCCGTCGGGTAAGTTTTTCTTTGAAGGCCTTGTTTGTTTGCTCAAGATTTAAGTTCGGCCCAGATATACTGACACGCTTTTACTAGGACAACCCCGACCCTTTTTACCGTTACAAAATGGAGCGCCTCCAGGCCAAGATCGAAGGCAAAGGCAATGGCATCAAGACCGTTGTTGTTAATCTCAACAACGTCGCCCAGTCCTTGGGTCGCCCCCCTGCCTGTAAGTTACTATCCGCACAGTTTCCTGTTCACTCTGTCCCTTTCTCTTTTGAGACGTTCTGATGCCAAGACTAGTATGATGCTAACGTCCGTGCACTAGACCTAATCAAGTACTTCGGCTTTGAACTTGGAGCTCAGGCCAACGCTAAGCCAACGGATGATCGCTGGATTATCAACGGCGCTCATGATGCTGCCAAACTTCAGGACTACCTTGACGGGTTCATCGTGAAATTCGTTTTGTGCAAGAAGTGCAAGAACCCAGAAACTGAAGTTGTAGTCAAAGAACCTCGTATTATCCTGGACTGCAAAGCCTGTGGTGAGCGATCTGATGTTGACCTTCGTCACAAGCTTAGCAGCTTCATTCTGAAGAACCAGCCCAAGAAGGGTAAAAAGGACAAGTCCACCAAAAAGTCTCGACGCGAGAGAAATAAGGCCAAAGGTGAGGGAGAGACGAACGGAGAGGCAAACGGATCGTCAAATGGTAGCCCGGTAGATAGCAACTCCGATGGAGGGGAGGAAAACGGCGATGGTGCTCTCGAGGCCCATAGTGATGATGAGCTCACTCGCCGCATTAAAGCTGAGGCTGATGGAATCGAGCAGACGGCTGAAATTGACGATGACGACTGGGCAGTTGATGTTTCTGAGGAAGCTGTTAAAGCTCGCGCCCAGGAACTCCCCGACGATGTCAAGCGTTCTCTCGTCATCGATGATGGTGATGAAGACGGGGAAGGGGAAAATGGGTCGGCTTCCGCGTACGATCTTCTCGGGAGCTGGATCATAAGCTCCGCCAATGGTTCTGAGGATGGTGTCTCAGATGTTAGTGACATCGACATTTATATGAAAGCCAAGGAGCTTGGCATTGAGTCGAAGCACAAGACCCTCGCCGTCTTGGCTCAAACCATGTTCGACGACAAAATCGTTAAGCAAATTCCGTCCAGGGCTGGCATGCTCAAGAAGGTAATTACACACTCCATCCGTTAACCCTGTCTTAATTATGGTACTAATAAATTTTCTTTAGATGATCACTTCTGAGCGCCACGAGAAGGCATTCCTTGGAGGAACTGAGCGTTTAGTTGGAATTGAACGCCCAAATCTCTGCCAAAGTGTCCCCGCCATCCTACTCGCCTATTACCAGGAGGATCTCGTTTCCGAAGAAGTCCTCAAGGCCTGGGGCTCGAAGGCTAGCAAGAAGTACGTCGACATCGCCACCAGCAGGAAAGTCCGTAAAGCCGCTGAGAAGTTTATCGAATGGCTTGAGACCGCGGAAAGCGACGAGGATGACGATGAGGAGTAAATTCCTGTTGAAGCATCCCAGAAACCAACTTCCAGCCGTGACATTCTCTTCTTGAGGGATTTTATCCATTAGTTCATTCATTTTTCCCCCGTCCCCTTGCTGTCAGTTTTGCTATATGTGATCAATTGTATCAATTAATGGTTGACCCGCCAATTCCACTCTGCGTCAGAATTAAGAATAAATCTCAATTAATCCCTTTGCGACTTCTATTGTTTCCCCTTTACTTATTTTTTTGGGGCTCTCTTGGATAAGTTTCATTGCTTCCATTTTGAACAAATCAACCCAACTTAATACATTCGTTTCGTTTTTTAAGTATAGTTAAGTATTTAAATGCAGGAGGAATAAAGGTTTTATTTTTGTCTCCCATTGCATAAACCATACTATTCTTCTTTATGATAATATCGTCCTACCTACAGAAATTATTAGTGATATATGAAACTGCAGGCTGTAGACCAATTTGGGGCAGTAGGGGCATTTATAAAAGGAAAAACTTATGTCTTCTATAGTATCCAGAGAGTTCATGGGTATGATTACTGTAAAATATCGATAACCGGCGGCATAGATGTGCCCATCATATATCAAAAACAACATTTATTCATTTTTCCTATCCCATCACACCGCTCCAATCATGTTGGCCAACCTCCACGATCCACTGCTTCCCATTGATTGCAGCTCTCCCTGCGTTTGTGAGTGTGACTGTGTCCACGACTGCGGCTGAGAACTTAACATATCCGCAATCCTCCTCTCAATATTCCGCTCCGCCTGTACAAGCCCGTCAATAACATCCCTGTCCCTATCACGCCCGCCTCTCCCCTTCCCCCGCCCTTTCTCAAATATAAACCACGTTAAATCCGCATTCCGCGCATGCATAGCCCGAACCGCTCGAGATATTTCTTCCGTCCCCGCTCCCGTTCCCGACGTCTCTTCTACTCCTTTATTTTCTGTCTTGCTGGTCTGCTTCTCGCCATTGGATTTTGCGTCGGCGCGCCAAGCATACGTGATGTAATAATCAGGATGATAGAAAGATATTGGAGTACCGAGACACTCGGAAATTTCATCGCCGATGTCTGCAGACAGATACACGTTGGAGAGTATCGTGGTAAAGAGGCGTGTCAGCGCCCGGAATAGGGAGCTATGAGGGGTGAATAACTTTGTGCTGTATGGTAGTAGTGGTGGAGGGGGGGATAGGCGAGATTGTGAAGTCACTACTCTGGTGGAAACGGAGGATTGATTGTTGCTGCCAGTGCCGGGTGTTAAAGATTCCATCTCCGAGATGGTACGAGCATTAAGGCATTCCTGTTGCCCCATGTGTTGCCGCTGCCTCTCCGCAGCCCTCTCTGAGTCCTGTCGTACCCGCTCCCATGCGCGGAGGTAGAGTTTCTTCCACCGTGGGAATTCATGCTCGATGCGGGACGCCATGAAATCCCCCGCGCCTTCGCACATGGCACCGATTGCGGTGCAAGACGCGACGATTACGAATGTTTCTTCCTGGATGCCGAATTCGTCGATGCTAGTTGCGGTGTTACGGATTTGCGTGGAGGCTGTGTGGGTGGTTGTAAGCGTGGTGGAATCCGATGGGAAGGTTGGTGGAGTAGCAATTCGAGCGCTGATAGAAGGCCAGAGGTCGTTGATTAGGGGGAGGAAGGTATTCTCGTCATGCGCGAGGATGGGTAGTGCGCGGGATAGGATTGAGAGTAGTGAGCGTCGTAGGAATGGCGATGGGGAGGAGAGATGGGGTGGAATGGATTTGGCGATGCTGAGGAGCAGGGTGTGAGACCTACTTAGGGTCCTTTCTTCTGTGGCAGGTTGTGGTAGTTCATCTGTTTCTGAGCCTATGTCATCCTCACCCTCGTCCATGGGTTTGGGCCCATCATGTTCTGAAGTCCAAGGACGCTTGGGGTGAGATTCTTTCTCCAGACCATCATTGGCTTCCAGTTGGGAAGCACGGGCTCGTTTTTCCCTCCGTTCTTGAAATGTATTCGCAACATCTGAAATGCTGCGAGGCTGGAGGGGCCTTTTCCGGTGGTTAACGGGTTCATTGGTATCCGGACCTGTAATGGCTAGCTGTGCTGGTTTCTTCGCGCCCTCATCTACGATAGCTCCTAAAACAGAAAACAATAGCTCCACCAACTTAGGATAGCCGTGAAAGGCATCCAACACGGCAAATATCGATCCAACTAGGTCATCCAGATATGGGATAAGAGAAGCTCCACATAACTTCACCATCATGAGTAGAACCTGGGGTGCTTGAGGCGACAAATCAAAGGTATTGAATTTCAAAGATACCGAATTAACCAGGTAATCCACGTTATCGACGAGCATCGCACTTGTGTTGGGATATTTGCAAGCCGTAGTGAGGATGTTAAGACAGGTAACAGCATGGTTTTGCATGTTGGGATTACTAGAGCCCATCAATTGCAACACAGGGTACAAGGCGTCAATTAATTCGGGACGAAAGGTTTCACCTAGCTGCTCTGCTTGTAGCGCGATAGCTTCAAGGGCTAGTGCGGGGAGCCGCCAGTCGGGCGGATTTGCAGTTGATAAATCTGTGAGAATCGGGAGCGAAATTGAGTATAACTCTTCGATAATGGCGGAGCGAGATAACGTGTCACTATCCAGTTCTAGCATATCATCTACTGACGCTAGATCTGCTGGGGCACTTTTTATGAATGCGAGGATGAGCCAAAATGGGGCCAGGAGACCATCACCTGACGATCCGTACATTCTCTTCAACATCGAACTCGCCATTGTCAGAGAAGTGTCGGTGGCGCCCAGCTTCGAGATCATAGAGTGCAGCTCTGAGAGCGTTCTTCGCTGACTACGATGCTCCAGTAGCACAGGTTGGAAGGATGTAGGCCGACCCCCGTCCTCGAGAACACTGAGCTCTGTCCCTGTAATAGAGGAACTAGGTAGAGGTTGGGGCGCCGTTGACGGCGATTGAATAGCCGCAGAGACACTGTCGCATAAGCTTCTTGCTAGAGTGTCATCTAAGATATCTGAGCTTGGCTGAGTCTGCGACAAGACCTGGAACGCATTCGATATCTGTTTAATTGCCCTCTGCTTGGCAGCGTCGTTATCTGACTGCATCATTCTCGGCAAGGCTATCGTCCATGTGTACATGCTGGACTTGAGGAGTTCTAGGACGGGGCTAGATGAGATGACGAGGTGTTTTAGGGCGACATAAGCATCGTTTGCTGAGCCTTCAGTGTCATATTCAGCAAGGACAACCACGGTTTCCACCATCATTGAAAGAGAGTCTCCAAGTGATTTCGGACATTGCTCAATTACCATGAGGCATAACTCAAGTAAACGGTGGCGAACATCAAGCCTGTTATGTGTTCTCAGCTGAATAACGTTTCCCAGAGCAAGTTTTACCTGAGACGCTGTCGCTTTGAGCCAAGAGTCATCGAGAACTATCATACTATCTCCCATTTGTTTTTTATCATCGCTTTTCTTCGGTGTTAAGGCGTTAACATCAGAATCACTAAGTACAGCTTTCAAGATTTCTGTGAGTCCTTGCAAGCAGCAACATAGCACTTGGTATGACCGTCGCATTTGTGTAGTTGGCCGCAACGCTTTAGTTAATGCGGAAACACTTCGGGGTAAAAGGCTAGCCAGGATGACACGATGACTTATGCGAGTGGTCAGGGAACGTAAAGCACTTGCCGCAGCCAGTTGGACCTGGTCTGAAGGACCATCCGTAATACCTTCCAGTAAGACGTAGACGGTTTGATCAACAATAGTGGACGTCCCGACTTCATTGAATATCTCTACCTCAGCCGCAGGGCCTTGTAGGACATGGCACACGCTTGCAATACAATCAAATGCGGCAACAATTAGCTCTTCCGAATCCGGCCTTCGCTGGCCTTGATCTCGGTTTTGACTGGGGGGACCACCAGCTATGATGGTAAGAAGGATCAGTAACTGCTTTCCCATTTTCACGGGGAGATTTCGGCCCCATCCTTTCTCGATAAGAATCTGCAGACACCGCACGGCCAGCTCCAGGCAGCGAACAGAAACCCTTTGGGTTTCATTGAATATGTGCGATAGTGGGAAAAATGCGTATTCTGCAAGTTTTTCATCGAGACCATATTCACTGACAACCTCTAACAATGTGGAATGCACAGGCTCAAGGGCTTGCAACACTTCTTTGGAGGTTGCGAAGTTGCCTCTGAATTTAAGCCCAGCAGAACTTAGCTCAACGCAAGGAGGGCGGAGCTTTTAGGCAACAAAATAACAAATTATAGCACAGTTAGCAAGTGTATCTTAGAGGATAGATTAGGCTCAATAGAGGAAACGGCTTCAAACCTTTGAAAAGGCCTGCTGTCGTGAATTCGCCATTGTGTTTTAAGCTCTGAGGCAGCGCAATATCCAGATGCACCAAGGTCGTAAGCGCAGGGAATCACGGGTTGCCACGGATATAGATTTCCATAGTGAAGCAAGAGGATGCTTTATGGGTTTCAATATCCCGATAGCCCCTGGAGAATAGTATTGTCCAAGCTGGTAGAGCATCCTTTCGCGTTCTACATGTTCTACATGGCTAACTATCCAGGCTCAAGATGAACCTATGACTAATTTATTACTAAGCAAAAGAGTAACGTAGTTCACTTATAGTTAGATAATTAACCAAGTTAACTTTGTTACATCTCCATTGAAGCAGTTCGCCGTTGATCGGCTCAATCGAATCTGAAGTCAAGAGTGGACAAACAACGTATTTCTCAGATCGAGGGTTGTCTCGAGACTGTATTTACTTTGGTGCTTAGGTTTTGGAGGCATCAGTAGCTCCATGCAGGGAAGACACAGCCAATATTCCACTTTTGCCATGCTGCTCTGACTGAGTTTCTTAAGGCCAACTACCGGAACAAGTGCTTCGATGTTTCGATGCTGATACCTCAGGGATTGAAGCGCAGAAGTATCTGCGTGAACCTATGCAAGGATTTCGAATTTTGAAATCCGTGATGGTTCTTTTGTTTCTCCTGTCCGGCCCAATTCTGGGGTTTTTCTCCTTCTCCAGCCGTCCAGACCTCGAGTGATGTTACCAAGGCTGTCTTGGAACCAATTCCTGTGCGATATTTCTACATGATTTGCTTTTGTACAACTTGAAAGATCTTGCGAAGAACTGAGTCTTTCAGCCAAATGGCTAAGTTCCGAAGGCACAGTAGCACCTGACAAAGCTTTATTCAGATGAAGGGCGCTTTGTGCCGAATATAAAAAGGGGCTCTTTCCCCCGTTTCTGCATGGGGAATGGCGGCGCATAATCACCTCTGCTTTCTGACCATGTTACTGAGCTTCCTTTTAGTCGCGGGGTTAATCCAACTCGCCACAGCGTCACGCACGTATCCAAAAGTATGGTCCCAAGCAAACGATCGTCGCCTCGAGCACGCGCAGGAAGATTTCTGCCTCGCTGAGCCTGTGCCTATCACCAACTCTCCAAAAACCAATGTCTGGGCAGGAATTAGCGCCGAGGAAAATTTAGCTGTCTGGGAGCTCCTTCATGATCCTGCGACTGGCCTCAACCTAACACATCCTGACAACGCAACTGTCACAGATAATTATGTCTTCTGGATCGATGCTTTGCCAACGAACAAATCTGCAGTGCTTGCTTACATTGACGGCGACAATCCTCCACCCCCGAAATTCGCCCGGGTTATCATTTTTGAAGGAGGGCGTGAAGCTCCTAGGTCTCAAGAGTACATGGTTGGGCCCCTTCCTGTATCCTCTGAGACCATACTCGAACCGCTAGATTACATTTATAACGGAGGGATGGGCGGGTCCGTGCCTTTTAATGCTCGTGTCTTCGACGACGTGCGTGCGACGGCGGTAGAGCCGCTGGTTACGTCCACTATGTCCAGCATTGCGCACATAACGTCCGCGTTATTTCAAGGAGGCTTGTACTATGGAGAAGCGGACAACAGAACGACAATAATGCCCACCTACACGGACCCTGTTTCTTTTGATGGAGAAAATGCATTCCTAAATATTATGTTCCGATTTCCAGCAAATTCTTTCCTGACTCCGTTGGACTTCTTTCTCCTCATTGACTGGACTGGAACAGACCCCTCTGCGTATTCTGTAATAGGATTTGTGACAAAGGAGCGGTTCTTTCCTACGGTTGATGACCTTACGTTAGCCTTTGAGGCTGGGGAGCTGGAGCAGGAGTTTAAGCAGACCAGAGACGCCTCCTGGACTTTACTGGATCGTAAACCTGAGATGGGAACTCGTGCGCTTGATGAGAAGTTCTCTGCGACTCTCGGGGAGCTTGGTGGGAAAAGGTATAAGTTGGATGAAGATCAGCGGTACGTGGAGTATATGGGTTGGTCTTTCTATATGGCACATAGTCGCTCTTTGGGCCTCATGTTCTTTGATGTCAAGTTTAAGGGTGAACGCATTCTATACGAGTTGTCCCTTCAAGAAGCCCTAACCCAGTATGGAGGAAACCAACCACTGGCGGCGAGCTCAGGTCAGTATATTCACCTCACCCTACACCCATAATACGAAGTGTGCAAAACTAATAACTACCCCCCGCAGCCTTCCAGGATAGCCATTATAGCCTAGGAATCGAAATGAAAATCCTGCTTGAAGGCTTTGATTGCCCATTTGGGTCCACATTTTTGAACTTGACTTACCACGCGGGAAACCGCACGGTCATCAACCCGGATTCTATTTGTATTTTTGAAACTGACCTCGGATTTCCTCTTTCCCGGCACCGTGATGGTGGCGGAGAGTCCGGGTGGGGCTTCGCGAAACTGGGTGTAGTCAAAGGCAGTGCGCTCATAATACGTGCTGTGGCTACGGTTGGAAATTACGACTACATGTTTAACTATGCATTCCACCTCGACGGGTCGCTTGAAATTTCAGTTCGTGCCAGCGGTTACCTCCTCACGAGCCCCTATTATCAGTCACAGAAGAGATGGGGGCCTCGCATCCAGAACGCTACCCAAGGCTCGCTCCACAGCCACATACTGACTTGGAAAGCCGACTTTGACATCGTTGACTCTACTAACTCTTTCGAAATAAGCAAACTGGTCGTCGCACAGCAGGCGCAGCCGTGGTTCCCTGAGCTAGGCATCTTTGAGCAAATTGAGCTTCAAGCCAGCTTCCTGGAGAAGGAAGAACGGTTGAACTACGAACCAAACAACCAAGCCATGTACCGCGTGGTGAATAGAGCGAAGAAAAACGCCTGGGGTGAAAGCCGTGGTTATCGGATCGTTCCAGGCCACTCCAACGTCCACCTTCCGATCTCCCATTCCCCTTTCACCCGCAAGAACTCTGAATTCGCCAAACAGCATCTCGCCGTCACACGCCAACATGACAATGAGCCCTTCGCAAACTCTGTTCAAAATACCAATTTGGCATGGAAGCCACAGCAGGATTTCAGCAGGTTCTTTAATGGCGAGTCGCTCGACCAGGAAGACCTGGTCGTATGGGTGAATATGGGCATGCACCATTTCACCCGCTCTGAGGATGTGCCTGTGACATTGAATAGCGACTCATATGCCAGTATGGTTTTTACACCGCACAATTTCTTCGACCGGGCACAAGATGGCGATTTGATGAATAGGCGCTGGGTGGTAGCAGACCAGGTAAGTAACAAGTTGGATTTCGAAAACTACGGTGTGGAGCTTCCCCAGTGCAAAATTCACATTGAGGAACCGGTTTTGGGTATTAGTCCACTTCTAGGAGTCTAATGGGGGAACGGAAGCTTCTAGTTGATATGTACATAATTTTTCTGGGGAGTAAACGCATACCCTATGGGGATGGATAGTGAAATGGGAAGCGTTATCCATGGAAGGCTCTCTGTAAGTAGACACTGAATGACCGCGGGTCCATTCCTGCTGCCAACCAGGATGGCAGAGATTTGAATCCCATCTTTGCCGACTAGTATTATTTATGGAGAAAGGGCCTATGGGCTTACAGAGATTACAATTAGCAGAGTTTGAATTACTACCATCTATCTGCCGTTAGTTCTTATCCTCATCGAATCACAAGGCAACCAGGCTTCTGCGAGGCATCTGGCAGGTCGGCTTCAAAAGCCCATGCACAATCATCGTCGTATCTATCCCTGAACGATTCTCACAACGTCGACAACAGCGTCCCGCGCCGCCAACGTTTCTCCAGTACCTTTCTTCTACCTCATCAGCATCAACCGGATCCAGGATTTCCTAGCGCCCAGCACTGGACTCACAGCGCAAACAGACTGCAGAGCCTCTAACAGTTCCCTCCTCCACTCTGGCCAATGGCCGCCAGAGAGCCATGGTTCGACATACCCAAAGTATACTGACATGATGGTAGCCATCTCCCGGTCCAGGAAACCCATCAGCTCGAGCATGTGGGGGGTTCATGGGGATGTCCCAGTCGGACAACTCTCCGTGTATGAGGACAGGCCGGTCCCAACCAGCCGCCCCTGTGGTGTGGACAAGCTCTCCCGAGAGAGCTCTTCTCGCTACTAAGAACTCTCATGGTGCAGAGCCATGGTGAGCAGCGGTGCGTGGAGAGCAGCTCGGAGTATCAATGATTAGGTTGACAAGCGTTGTGATGTTGAAAACTTGAAAACTGCAACATTGTAATAGCATATTAAATAAATGTTGTGATTGCTGGCTGCCATCAGCCTCAGAAAAATATATAGCCATTATGATGACATGTTTGAATTTGTACTCTATAAGAGGATTCTGAATTGTGATGAAGATTTTATGCCATCCAGATAAACATAGCAAGGTAACTTTCTCTACTAGAACTAGTGCCGTAGATACTTCAGCAGTGCCGTGGCACACAGTCAGAAGCTACCTCAACTTCGTCCATTTTTCCTCCTGAACTAAGTTTTGATTAGCCATTAATATAAGAACGTAAATAGTGTACGCTGCTCATTCATAGTGTGTAGGAAAAATACTGCAGTGTTCATTAATAATTTCTACATGCACTCTGTAGTTAACTAGTTTATGATATATAGGGCAGTCTTTAGAATAACTAGAGGTTTACTTATAAGCAACTAGCACTCTCTCTAGAACTTGAAACAAAATTGAATAACCTAATAACAGATTTCCCCTTATGAAATTTAGGATGTAAGCTCATTGTATTGCGTAACCATCTGGTGTCAAGCTCTGAAGCTCATTGATATAGACCAGATATGGCTTGTAATCACCCAGTGGCTAGCCATTCTCATTGATATTATTGTTTTTGAACAAAGCAGGCCATGTGGGGAATAAACATTACATCAATGTATTATGATGCTGCATGCCAACGATGAATTTCATCAAGTTAACCTTGTTGGCTCAGTCAGAATCCCCCGGGCCTTGAGTGTGTGATATGAACAACAAAAACAGGATATGTCTGTGTGGCATTCATAGAGCGACCTCGTCCTTCTCTTTTGTGAATTGCATCGAGGGCTGCTGACTGCAGAACATCTTGTACTCGCTGAACCATCTCATCGCTCCCTGTCTCCACCTGTGTGAGACTTCCGCTTGTAGAATCCTTCCACAGCTTGCAGGCTTGCGTCTCAACATCATCGAGAAAGCTGGTGGTGGTCTCGCCATCCCCAATATGAAGTGTGACCACACCAATCTGCCTGCGGGCTTTCTCTGTGGCCCCACGGTGACGGAATGTGGTGGTGGAAGGTGGGGTTGTGAGGCCAAAGCGTTCAACGGTACTATCCTCAGAAAGGATGAAGCACACGAATTGTGGCACCAAAGTTGCCAACGACGAGGAGTGCAGAAGGACCGCTAGAGGGGGTGATCATGTTCATAAGACGGGTGAGCATGATTATATGGGTTGAATGTCGTTTGTTAAACGAGAAGGTGTTGACTTTTGGCTAGCCTTAAGATCGTGTATTTAGAAGAAGTAAGATGCCAGGTACCCACCCGCTCGGATTGTCTGAGCTGGGAGGATAGAAGTTGGTTGGTCCAACTTGACGATGGAGAAAGAAAAGTTAGTGCTGGCTAGCAGCCTAGCAACCAGGAGGTCGCATCAGATGTGGCCCATGTGGGTTGGGTTGGGGGTGGTTGGTTATCTTGAAGCAAGCTACTCTACTCCGCAAGCTACCTAGGTAGTGGGAGCGGAAATAATGGATATGAGCGGAGGTCACGTGGGTAACAAAAGAGCCCTCATCGTCCTATCCATCATCCTACAGCAGATCGGGATCTAGAGGGTGTGGGAAGGCTTGTAACAAGAGTTACAGCTGAATGTGATCTTCAACAGTGACTCTAGCTATGTGCAAATGGCTGGGGACATGTAAGTTACTGGTTACCTAGCACGCGCATGTAGTTAGTCGTCAACCTCCGCTAACTAAGTTAACGTTAGCGAACCTCAAGGCGCCAACACATCTGGCCTGATTTGACAGAATGCAGTTGAATCCTTCCGCCCTAGTTTTACTAAGGACAGACGGCGAAATGAGGGGTTTTGGGGGGCTTCTTGCAACCATATGTTCGCCCTGCTAACGAGGCGAACAGGATATCTTCTTCTTCCTAAGAGATAGTTACACCTCCAAGTCTTGAGGAAGGGTTTACCGTGCATTATTTTCGCATCCAAATTGCCGTTGTATGCGACCCGTTCAGCCTAGCCATGGATCCTATCGGCGCAGTGAGCCTCGCAGCCACCGTGGTGCAGCTGCTTGACTTTGGAATCAGGTTGGTTTCCAAAGCACACGACATATACACCTCTGCTGAAGGAGCTGAGGTGCACAATATCGAATTGGATGCTATCGCCCAGAACTTAATGTCCTTAAATAGGCGGCTACAAAACAGATCTCGCAAAGTCTGCGCCTATGCCGTTTCCGAGGACGAGAAAGCTTTGGAGAGTTTGACCGTGCACTGTAACCAGATCGGCGAGGAGTTGATCGAGGCCCTACAAGCTGCAAAAGTGGAGGGCACTCATAAACATTGGAAAAGTGTTAGACAGGCATTGAAAAGCACTCTAGGTCGAGATAATATTCAGGAACTATATAATCGACTCAAACAATACCGTGAACAGATCGTCGTGGTTCTGCTTGTGATCACCAACGCCAAACAGACCACTCTCGACGAAAATGTGGACGCAGTCAGGCACGACATTATCGAGTCTGAGTCAAGAATTCTTGACGAAGCTCGGCAGACTCGTTTCCAGATCCTGAATGCCATCCGACACGCGAAATACAACCCCACCAGAGAAGAAGATATCTCGAAAGTCTCGCAATTACTATCCGAAATGGTCTCCCGTGGTTCGGAGAAGAAGATTAAGGAAAAAATCCTCGAAAGCCTGCATTACCCAAACATGCAAGACAGACGCGAATGGATTTCCGCTGCACATAAAAAGACATTCAATTGGACCCTGGAGGATAAAGCAGGCGAGCACATTCGCAGGGATAATCTGAAGCATTGGCTTTGCAATGGTGACGGTATATACTGGTTGAGTGGAAAAGCCGGGTCCGGGAAGTCTACCTTGATGAAATACATTGACCAGGACCGGCGGACTTTGCAGTATTTAGAGCAGTGGGCATCACCCCTCAAAATTGTGTTTGCGAGCTTTTACTTCTGGAACCCGGGGACCTCAATGCAAAAGTCACAGCTGGGTTTGCTACAGAGCTTACTCCACAAAATTCTGTCGCAGAGGCCTAATCTCATCCCGAAAGTCCTCCCAGATCAAGCACAGCTCTACAGTACCTACGGAACGACGAACTTCTCCTGGACGATTTCGCAGCTTACGAATGCATTCAAGTTACTTCTAGACACCAAGTTTGATACTAAGTTTTGTTTCCTCATCGACGGACTTGATGAATATGATGGCGACCACCAGGGCCTAGTCGATATGCTTGTAGCTTGTAGATATGAGTCAAGGTGACAACATTAAAATACTCGCCGCAAGCCGTCCGTGGCTGCTTTTTCAGGATGCGTTCCATGATTGTCCAAAACTTACCCTGCAGGATTTAACGCACGACGATATCAAGGCGTTTGCCCACGATTCTCTATACAACCACCCGAGGTTTTCACGGGCGCTATCTATGGAGCCAGAACGCGCACCCAAACTGGTGACTGAGATTGTTAACAAGGCCTCTGGCGTTTTTCTGTGGGTCTACCTCGTGGTCAAGTCGCTAATGGATGGGCTCACCAACGCGGACCGAATGCATGATCTCCAGAGAAGACTTGATCAGATCCCGGCTGACCTCGAGCAATTCTTCTTCCATATTCTGACAGGCTTAGACACGTTCTACCTCGAGCAGGCTTCGCAATTATTTCGCCTAGCACTCGAGGCCCCGAAACCTCTGGCAGTTTTGACGTTCTCTTACCTCGATGAGACTGACCCCGACTTTGCACTGAAAAGAGAGATAAAACCTATGTCAAGAGAGGAAGAGATTATTCGCTGTGAAGAAATTGAGCGGAGACTCAATAGTAGGTGCAAGGGCTTGTTAGAGTCCCGCAGTCGAAAGAGCTGTGATTCATACTCCAATATGGACGGAGTGGTGGATGAAATAGTCTCTTACGAGGTTGATTTCCTTCATCGAACGGTCCGCGATTTCTTACACACTCCAACAGTAGAGGTGCAGCTTGTCGCAGTGGACACTCCAGAATTTGATGCCAACATGACATTGGCTAGAGCGTACGTAGCTCGGATCAAAGGCCTCCGGCACTCGGCACATTCGGAGGGCAACTTCCAGGCCTTATGGGCGCTTGTATTTGACATGCTCTACCACATCCGCCTCGTGGGGAAGGATATCTCGCGGGAAGCACAAGTTAGCCTCCTAGATGAGTTGGATAGAGCCGCTGCTCATTTTCGAGAGGCCGCAATCGTGAAGAGACGTTGCGATCGAACCGCGCATTGGGTAAATACAGGCTACCGGTTCGGCTTCGAGCCGGCGTGGAATAACGATTTTACTACCCTATGTGTTCAATATGGGCTAATCCCATACATTGAACAAAAGTTATCCTCAGGGGCTTCGCTTCGCCGAGCTGGTAAGCCATTCCTGGCCTTCGCTCTGACCGCCACCACAAGCCCCGTTAGTGTCATCATTCTGAAGCAGCTGGAAGGTGTTCACTATCAGGAACCCAGGGTGAAAATGGTTGAATTTCTGCTTGATCGAGGCGCCACTCCAAACGACGTGGACGAGGGCGAGACTGTCTGGGTTCGCTGCATCGTGTCTATCTACCTACTCACGATCAAGGCTAAGGGCAAGTTTTCCGAACAGGCAAAATCCTGGTTCGAGATTACAAGGTTACTGCTGCTTCGAGGTGCGGATCCTGAGGCAATATGCCCGGTCAATATCCAAGGAAGGAATTCGGAGATAAATTCTACTAGATTACGTAGCGGGAAATGCACGGCTATGGAGCTCATCTCCATTGTGTTTGGCGGAGATTCCAGATTCGACATGTCCGAACTCGAGGATGTGATTGAGCAGCCGCAAAGGGCGCCACCGCTGCCACCTGCCCGATACTTGAGCGACTCGTATCTCCAAATACCTGGAACACACAATCACAACGGCACGAACGTTTCACGATCGCACTCTGCAGTGTCATCCACTTCGCATATAAGTTGGGACTCAGGAAACACTCAATATAATAATACACCAGGATCCTATCTCAACGCCGGGTCCTTAGCACCACAATACATATCCTACAGGGGTAGTCAGGAAGTCGGACCAGGCGGTGGAACACCGATTGTTGGAGCGCCGCCGTATATCATGATACCAGCGCCTAATAATGACTCTATTCCGGCCGCCCCAAAGAAAAAGAGACACTCACGACTATCAAGCTTATTCTCAAAAATAAAGCCAAAAGAAAAGACTCCGCCAGCCTAGTTCACCTACGCCTGTTTCTGCAATTTACCACTATCAGGGGACCTGAGACAGCATACCTATTCTTCCTTTTAAAAACATCGTCTAGGATTTTATGATGGCTTACAGGTACCTAAGTATGTATGGATCTTTATGCGGTTAGCCCTTGCAAGCCCAGAGGCTCTTATACATCCAGGCCGATCAGTTATGCCTTTACATTCCTCTCCTCCTCCCCCCTCTCCCCCCATACCTGGGATCGAAAACACTTTTTCCTGCTTGGATTGTTTCTACACCGGCAACTCCTAGATGGCCTCAGAAGCATATGTGGATTAAACTAGTTGGGTGCGGCCCTTACACATCCAGGAGCTGGTGCGACTTGTATTGGTAATGCTTTTTATAATTTCCCAAGTATTCTTTTTGAGCTAAATGTTTGCTAATTTGGAGTACTTCTACTAGGTCCCTGAAGGAAAATGGGGTACCTTGATGCTCACAAAATTGAATATGTTCCCCTCACGGCGTATATTATTACCGCTACTTAATTTCAGATTGAGTTGAAGGGGGCATCTCCGTTAGGATGTCCAGCGTTTCAGCCAACTCCAATCTCTTTCTCTCTATCTCTCTATCTCTCTCCCTCTCTCTCTTTTTTTTTTTTTTTTTTTCTTTCTTTTTTTGGCTAGGTTCTGAGTGCTGGTACTGTTGGAAATTGATAGCTGTTAGCTGGATGGAATTACAGACAACGCCCTCTTGCCATACCCTCCTATATAAGACAATGTCTTTTCTTTTTTACTTTTTATCTTACGATTGAGAGGGTTGGCTCTCCTGGTTCTCCCAACATATCTAATTGCACAACATACTGAGCTTCTCTTCACGCTATATAATCCGTCATATGAGCGGTGATAGCACTTTCAATACACTCCTAATAACGCTTCTATACTAGCTGGCGCTGACTCAGTTGTCCGTATCTCAGTCCATAATACCCTTCAGCTCTCGTCTATCTCATGCCAGAGTTACATATATGGACCTAGGCCACCCCCCTTTTTCCTTTACCACCGTTTCTCTCTTCCTTATTTGAAGAGGGCATATTATTCCCTTTCCATTTTCTACCAGGGACAGCCAGGCAGTCCTGATACCCGTATACTAAATACATAGATAGTACCACTAGAGAGCTCATGTTGCCCACTCCCTACCTATACACAATCTTCCCTATAGCGAGCTCCTCGCATTCCGCCTCCTCCCCCTTCCCAACAGACATGACGTGTCTCCGCGTCCCAAGCGGGCTAGCGTGGGCATTCACTCTCTTCCCCTCTCTCCGCCCTCTCGCCCTATTTAATCTCTGCGTCTCGCCCTATTTAATCTCTGCGTCTCGCCCTCTTCTTCTTCCTCTTCTTCCTCCTCTTCCTCCTCTTCCTCTTCCTCCTCTTCCTCTTCCTCCTCTTCCTCTCCTCTTCAGCCTACCGTTCATCATCATCTCCAGGTTCAAGTAATCGATCCTTTTCGTCATTCGTTAACATCGCACCACTCATCTTTTCGGAATCTTAATCTCAGCTGTTCGCAAGGCACAATCAGCGGCAACCTTCATCCTCTCTGCTTCCTGCAAGACGCGTCACGTCCACTCTATTCTGCACGCGGATCCTGACAGCAGGCAATATGAAGTCCCTCCTCGCCGTATGTGGCCTCGTTCTGGCCGTCACAGTCTCATGTCAGGACTTTAGTCCGGTCTTTAACCTTCCTGAATGCCCTGTAAGTGTCCAGTCGTCATATTGCACTGTTTTCGTCTCCCATGAGGGCCTTACAACAGACAGCTTGTTGACATGACTGACTGCTGTTCAGAGATCTTGCATTCTGGAGACCTCCGGAAGAGCCAATGAATTTGGATGTTCCCCTGGCGATGTTGCCTGCCTTTGCAAGAACGAGGAGTACCAGCGTGCACTCATGGACTGCGCTAAAAAGTGCAAGCCTGAAGATGTCGATGCCATGACAAAAGCTGGTCGTGAGGTCTGTGACAGTGCAGGTACGTGTCAATCGACCGCCCCTTTTTTACTTTTTACTCCCTATTATATTTTTAGCCTCTTTGATCTCACGAACGATCGTTAACGTTCTTGGTATATCAGGAGCCCCTGTTCCTCCCGCGACTGGAGCAGATATCACCATTCCCTTTCCCACGGCGGAAGTGCCGTCTTTTCCGCTTCCCGAAGTCCCTTCACTCACCACACCCCCTTTTCCTGAACTTCCCTCGGTGACCATGCCCCCTCTTCCCGAACTTCCCTCGCTCACTGTCCCCCCTTTTCCTGAAATACCAAGCGTTCCACCGATTCCGTCCATTCCAAACCTACCTCCCAATGTCGAGGGCGAAGGCACCGTGATTTCGAATACGAACTCCATGTCCATTCTCCCGGTCGAATCGAGCGGCATCACCTATCTAGATCCGATTTTGACGCCTTCAGCAGCAGCTTCTAGCGGGAGCGCCGAACCTTGGCCTGGAGCTGCAAATTCGCTCTCACCAATGCATAATGGTGCTATATACATCGGCCTCCTTGCGCTGGTTCTTTAAATATCTCACCAGCTGGACGGGTCATCTCGATGTATCTGCATTTCAGAGAAGCCGCCTCATGGTCATTTCCTAGCCATGTTATTGATTTCACTTTTTATGTTGCATCTCCTTTTATTGTCGTCATCTAATTTGCCATGAACTGCTGTTTCCCCGCTCCTTCGTTAATATCTTCACTGGCGGAGAATATGAAATAATGGGCATCCAGATATATGACGTGACGCTCTATGCTATTTAACCGTGCATCGTCACCCTGTTGACCACAGAGGGTCTTGCAAAATTCCCCATACATATTTTACCAAACCCACACAGATGTCCTACTCACTTAGGTACAAACACTATAGCGCAACCACCAATATACATTACCATACCATGCGCAGCCGTGAAGTCCCTCGAGCTTTCAGAGAGCGGAATCGTAGCTTTCAAGTACAGTACATTCTCCACGTTTTGAAGACTTGATTAACAATTTTGAAATTCATGGCGTTACACCTGTTTTTGGGCGTAGTTATGTGATTCTCCGCCAGATCTGGTTTTCCCGGGATCAAATCCACGGACCGGTGAGCAATCTCAATACGTCTAGGTCGATTTCAGGAGGGGCAAATCGCGACATCACGTGATCTATTCCGCCCAACGCGTCTCGGCACGTCACGCACCGCAGCTACCTGCTGGTTGCCTGAAAAGCCTCTGCCTCGCATCAACAACACCGACAACATCAAGATCCCGGCATGAACCAGCAGATAAATACACCTTGAATTCCCGCCTTCTCCCTCTCTTCACTCCTTTCGTTAATAATTGTCCACCTTCCCTTCAACGTGTGCTCTAGATTGCATGCACCTAACGTCCTCAGATCTTGCACAATTTCGAAAACCTCACGGCAGCTCCAATGGCCTAAATAAAAGACTAGATAGCAAAAATATTTCCCAGGTGAAATAACATTATATATAGCCATTGATCCTCCTCACCCACGACGCCGGAGGAGTTACGAGGAAAGTCAAAAAAATAAAAAAAATAAAAAATAAAAAAACAGATCCATTTATGCACCACCCTCCCCTCCTCTTCCCGCGCTGCAGAATCAACCCGACTCATTTCAAGGCTACACCACATAATTTTATTCCACGGAGCCAACTCCCAATCTGGCGCCGCCCCATCGCGAGCACGCCGCGCTACGAGGGAAGAAATAGACCGTTCTCCATCCTCAATTGCACAGCAGCAGCCGGTATCTCTCGTTCCCGGATTGGGAAGCGCGGATTTTGTGCCTCTTCTGTTCTTACTTCGGTAATCGTCCTGCGAAATAAGAGCTTGACGACTAGACGTGGTGGAGCGGAGATGGCGCAGAAAGGAGGTGGTGCGAGACAGGCTACTTTGGGGTATGTTCGCGATCCGCAGTTAAGTATTGGGTGCGTTTGGGGATGTGTCTTTGTGTGAAGGGGTGGGGTTGGTGTGTTTGTTTTAACCTATGTTGTGTTGTTGAAGGGTTCCCCCCTTGCGAATAGATCTTAAGGGCAATATTGTTTTCTTTTTATGGATAAGGGGTTTGTTTTTGGCATATTTGCTTTTAGGTGCATCGAGCATTTGCTAATCTTTATATCCCCCATTTTTGCAGGAAGTTCTTCGGTGCCAATGCTGGGTCTGGATCGCTCCCGAAAAAACAGTCCACTCTGACGTTTTCGAGGCCAGGCAGCAGAAGGAAGCAAGAAGATGGAGCTGCAACAAAGACAAACGAAGCAGAGGTACTAGAGAATAACGATAAGGATGTGAATATGGATGATGTTGCGACTGGCAAGGAATCAAAGGTCGAGAGTAGTAAGCGCAGTGAGACTCCTGCTGTCGAAAAGGAGGAGGATAGCGCAGGTGAAAACTCGCGCAGCGGTAGTGACTCTCCAGAATCACAAAAGCTAAAACGGGAGAAGAGTCCCGTGGAGGAGAGTGAAGAATCCGATGTTCAACCAGTCACGAAGAGGCGGAAGCGTGCTTCGCCCGAGAAGAAGCGTGTATCTTCAAACGCAAAAGCTGCTGGCAAGAAAGCTGCGGCTTCTCCGACACAAAAAGTGCGGACAAGATCTCCGAAGAAGGTCAAAGAAGAAGTTACGTTTGAAGACAAGGAATCCTCATCCGCTGAACAGGAGGATGACATTTCTGAAAATGGTGATGAACTAGCCGAAGAAAAGCCGAAGATTGCTCAGAAAAAGAGAGAAATGGTCCAACATGCATTGAAGGACTCTGGGAAGGATCCTTACCCTGATTGGAAACCTGGAGCGCCCGTGCCATACGCGGCGCTCTGCACGACTTTCTCCCTCATTGAGATGACTACTAAGCGACTAATTATATTATCTCACTGCTCTCTTTTCCTCCGCCAAGTTCTTCGTCTTACGCCAAATGACCTCCTCCCAACCGTTCAGCTGATGCTCAACAAGTTAGCCGCCGACTACGCCGGCATCGAACTTGGAATTGGCGAATCATTCATCATGAAAGCCATTGGCGAATCCACCGGCCGCAGCCTGGCAGTTATCAAGGCTGACCAGCATGAAATCGGCGACCTTGGCCTCGTGGCCGCGAAGAGTCGCTCAAATCAGCCAACCATGTTCAAGCCGAAACCACTGACGGTTAGGGGTGTGCACGAGGGCCTCCTTGCCATTGCTAAGACACAGGGTCACGGATCTCAGGAGAAAAAGATTTCCGCTATCAAAAAGCTCTTGTCGTCTGCTGATGCTGCTTTGGCAGGAAAGGGGCCGAAAGGGATTGATATCACACACAACAAGGGCGGGCCAAGCGAAGCTAAGTTCATCATTCGTTTTCTCGAGGGTAAACTGCGTCTTGGGCTTGCGGAAAAGACCGTACTCGTGGCGCTGGCACATGCGATGGTGGCGCATGAGGTTGAGGTACAGGGCAAAAAGGCGCCCAGCACTGAAGAGCTGGCCAAGGGTGAAGCTATTCTTAAGTCCGTGTATAGGTAGGAATCTCCCCCTTGTCCATCCCCAAGTCAAGTTTTATGTTAACATATTCCGCCCCTTCTTTTTTGCCCGTTATCTAGTGAACTTCCTTCGTACGAAGTCATTATCCCCGCTATGCTCGAGCATGGAATCTTCAATCTGAAGGACAAGTGCAAGTTGCAACCCGGAGTTCCCCTGAAACCTATGTTGGCCAAGCCTACAAAGTCCATCACAGAAGTTCTTGACCGCTTCGAAGGCAAAAATTTCACATGCGAGTACAAGTACGATGGTGAGCGGGCGCAAATACACTACGTCGCCCGTGAAGAAATACACAAATATGCTTCGACGGCGTCAACCTTACAAAAAGACGGGGAAGGCATCTGTGCCATCTTCTCGCGGAATTCGGAGGACTTGTCAAAGAAGTATCCGGATATCCTTGGTAAGTTGGAGAGCTGGGTAAAGAAAGGTACAACTAGTTTCGTGCTGGACTGCGAGACCGTTGCGTGGGATATGGTCAACAAGAAAGTTTTGCCATTCCAGCAGCTCATGACGAGGAAGCGGAAGGATGTTAAGGCAGAGGATGTCAAGGTTAAAGTCTGTGTTTTTGCGTTTGATTTGCTATTTTTGAATGGACAGGTGAGTGCTATGTACACTATATATTTCTTTTCTTACTACTCCCTAAAATCATTGAAATTCCGTGAATGCTGATCCATCTTTGTAGGCGACTGTGAAAATGACCTTACGAGAACGAAGGGCTCTTTTGCACGAGGCTTTCACGCCAATTGAAGGCGAATTTGTTTTCGCCCAACACGGAGACACTAATGACCTCGATGAGATCCAGACCTTGCTTGACGAGAGTGTAAAAGCGTCATGTGAGGGTCTGATGGTGAAAATGCTCGACACCGAAGAAAGCGGTTATGAACCCAGCAAACGCAGTCGAAACTGGCTTAAGGTATGGTAAATATAGATATGGCCCCTAGCTCAAACCAACTACAGACACCACAGATTTCTTACCAATTTAAAATCCTATAGGTTAAAAAAGATTACCTCGCCGGCATCGGCGACTCTCTTGACCTCGTCGTCCTAGGCGCCTACTACGGCCGGGGTAAACGTACATCCGTCTACGGCGCTTTCCTCCTAGCCGCCTACAACCCCAACACGCAAAACTTCGAAACAGTCTGCAACATCGGCACAGGCTTCTCCGAAGCGCTCCTCGAAGAGCTCCACAAAGCCCTTTCCCCGCTTGTCATCGACCGTCCCAAACCATTCTACGACCACTCTTCCGTCCCCAAGGACCAGCCGGACGTCTGGTTCGAACCCAAGTATGTCTGGGAGGTGAAGGCGGCAGATCTGACGCTTAGTCCGCGCTACAAGGCTGCGGCGGATGAGGTTATGGGTATTGCTAGCGCTGGCAGTAACGGGACGGTTAAGGGTATTTCGTTGCGGTTTCCTAGGTATATTAAGGCTCGGGATGATAAGAAACCTGAGGAATCGACGACGACGAGGCAGGTGGCAGAGATGTATCGGAGGCAAGAGAGTGTGAGTAAGGACACGGCAGGGAAGGGAGGGGTGGACGATGATTTTGAGTATTGAGTCAGTGGGATTTGCCAGATTCAGGTTTGCGCCACTTTGTATATTTTTTGTTGTTGGTTGAACGATACCTTGAATCTTCATGTTTTGTCATGAACGTGTATGTTGTTATCCTAGGATTTCATCGATGTCACTTATTTATATAACTATGTTGCGATGAAAATGGAAGATGGATCCAGAAATATGGAATACCGAACATAGCGGTCCGTTGGACACGGTCGACTAGCAGGAAGATCTCGTCTCCGGGAATAGAAGAATGAAAGATAGAAAAATAACAAAGGAAAACACAAGCGACAAGACATGTCTAGTAGCAGCAGTGAACAGCATGACAATATCCGTATGAGGAGACCAAACACAACACCAGTGCCCGCAGCCCGAAAACCAAAAAGAGAAAGCAGTCAAAACATAGAATAATAGAGCGTACATTTACATTTCATTCCAATTCGTCACGCGTCCTTTCCCAGGCTCTCCTTGTCCAACCCAACCTCATCTCTCGCCAGGTTCCATCCCCAATCAGGCCCCCCAAACTCACTCACCCTCAAATTTCCTCTTCGCTCCCGTTCCAATCCCATTCATTCCGGACCCCGCCGAACCCCCTCCGTTCGGCACCACACCCCTCCTCCTCCTCTCCTCCTCCACAGCCTTATGCCTCGCCATGTCCGCCTCAGCCTGCCTCCGCTTCCAGGCCACCTTAATCGCCGGCGCCGCGCGGATCAAATCTTCCTCATCGACCCGATCCTCGATACTCTCGATCACACTCTCGACCGTCGAGATGTGATTCGCATCCGCCTTATCCTCGCGTAGCCGCATGAAGCGCCAGCGGTGCTGCTCGTCCTTGTAGCACTCGACGATGGAATCGTCCAGCGGCTTCTGCATCGCCTTGAGCGCTTCCCATTCCTCCTCGGTGACGTGCATGGTGGCGTAGGGGATGTAGTCGTTTGCCCGTCGCACGACGAAGAGGTGGCAGATGGGGATGGCGTCGTAGTCCGGGTAGGGTTCTGCGGTACCACCACCGTCGCCGCCGTCGCCGCCGTCAGCCTCGTCCGGCTCGACGAGGGGAAATTGCAGACGCATGCGGAAATCGACAGAGTTCTCTGCCGGCGGCTTCCATTTGAGGGTGTTCTCATCAGTGCCGATTTTGTAGGGCGTGCTGCGGCAGGTGAAGATGAGGCCGTCGTTTCCGTGGATTTTCTTCACCTTGGGTATTATTTCGCGGAACATCATTTCGAGGCCGTAGCTAAATTGGGTTGATTTGTCCTCCACGGCGAACGCGCGGTGTTGCTTCTCCGACGGGTATTTCTTGTACATGGCGTTGTAGGGCTTGAGAACTTTCTCTTTGAAATAGGCTAGCCGTTTATCGAGCGTGCGGTGCATTAGACTCGTCCCGTCCAGCACGAGACAGTCGAAAACGTAGAACTTCAGCTGTGACGAGCCATCTTCGTAGGTATCGATAACCAGTTCCCCATCGATGATCGTATCTACATGGAAACTCTGAAAGGTATCATCGTCCGGGAGCGGGAAATGTAGACCGGGCACGTATCTATAGTCATTCTTGCGGTCGATGAGGTAGTGGATTTCCGGCGTGTCTGAGTCTGGGTCCCCGCGGGCAAAGTAGAGAAGACACCGGATCCCATCGGTCTTCTCGACCACATAGTAGTCTGCCTTTTGTAGTTCGACGAGGTGTCGCGCGGCAAAGCTTACGGGCTGTGCGCCGGGGAACCCTAGCGATGCGCGGCCTAGAAGATGTGCAACTTCTCTGCGGAATTGGTCTGCCAGTTGTGGCTCGGCTTTTATGCCGACTTTGTCCAGGTCGGGGACGTTGAGGTTGTTCATGCCGCTTGTTTCCCGTGAGTGTGACGGGCGGAGAGATGGAGGGAGGAGGGTTGGGGTGCCTTTGAAAGGCTGCGCTGGGAGGGGTCAAGCAGGAATGAAGAATCGGCTCGTATGGGCGGGGGTTAGGAAAGTCGCGATAGGGAATGATGAAGGGACATACGGTCGGTAAAGAGAGGGATAATTGCGCGGTAAGTAATGTTACAAATAACGGGTAGATAGCTTCTGTCGCGGAAGCGGAAAAGCAGCTAGTTGTTTGAGTGTTGGAGGGTTGATGTCGGGGATGAAGAAGTCGGTGCCTGAGGCTATGAATCGTGGGTAGTGGCTTACTTTAAAATCAATTAATATTTCCTTAAGTAATTAGAGACATGGTATGATGCATCAAGCCAACAATAAATTAAGAATTACTAGAAATTTCCCAAATATCATAATGGTAGAAAAGTAATGTAATTAATTAGGGACACAGATATATCCAACCGAGAGAAACCAATATACATTATCCCGGAAAGAAGCAAAAGAGTATCGCTTAATATATACAAAGGCTGGGGTATCATCTCTCATATCGCCGGAAATCCCATTCCATCCCATCGCCAGAAACGCCTTTAATGACCCACCTACACCAGTCATATCATGCCTAGGCATTCCCAGGGAAAACGTTGTCGTAATTACAAAGAGAAGAGAAACAGTAATGAAACATCATTAAAAACATATACAGCATTCGCGAAATCAGGCTGCAGTTGCAGCTGTCGAAGTCGTCGCAGCAGCAGCTGTAGCAGACGTTGCAGCTGACGCAGTAGCGGTGGGCTTCTTTGCCGCAGCGGCAGCAGCAGCGGCCTGGGAAGCTCGATTCTGCGCTGCTTGTTGAGAGATGGAAGGCTTTCTCGAGCTCTCCGCAGATTGCGCGGCGGAGTCAACGGCGCTTGTGGGGGATGATGAAAAGTTTGTAGAATCAGATGGGAACATTGTCCTTCCGCCCCCGCCTTGACCTTGACTCTGACTGCTCGTGTCGCGTGGCTGGGAAAAGATTCCTCCCCTGGTACCCCCAAGAACTTGCGAAAGCATCTCCTTCATGCGCACGAGATGGTATTTGCGTCTCGTTGGGATTAGAGGGTGGGTTATTAGCGGCTGCGGATTCGACCGAGCAAGGCCTGCCATCACGGTGTCTTTCTCCTCATCCGAGTCGATTGCCCCATTGCCATCTATATCGTCGTGGATCGGCGCATTCGCATCGATGGCAGCCTCTACGATGTATACATTAGCAGCTTGAAGACGGCTTGACGATGTTAACAAAATGTAGTGGTCGACAAGTAATAGGTACTCACTCTGCTGTCGCGCCTGATTCTTCTTCTGATACGCCTGAAGCAACATATCGTACGGTAACGACCGTCCAGGGACAGCTCGTTTAGAACCCATGGAATGGCTCTTACATGTTAAAGATCGCGCACACTGGCCACCGTTGGGGAGAGGGACACCACACTGTTTTTCTACATCGACAGGACCCTTCGGTTTGGGGACCTTGGGCTTGGGCTCGTCTTTCTTTTTCTTCTTCTTTGGCTCCTTATCTTTATCATCATCTCCGTCAGCTTTGCGCTTCTTGCCCTTCTTCGGCCCGTCTTCCCCCGCAGCACTTTTTTTTGCGCTCTTCTGACCCTTCATCGCGCCGCCATCATCTCCACCAAGACCAGTCCCGTCATCGCCTTTATCGTCGCCATCCTTCCCTTTGTCCTTCCCTAAAGCCTTCTCTTTTGCTCTATTGGCAGCATCACGAGCTTCTTTCTTCTTTCGCGCTTTCTCTTGTTTAGCTTTAAGGCAGCCTCGTATGTGCTCTGCGGACGTTTGTTTTAAGACTGGTCGTTTACAATGTTTGCATATCACTGTTTCCAATTGAGCTTCTCGTAATTTGCCGTTGGGAAATGTGGCCATGATTTTCTCGTCCATTTCAGGGAGGATGGGGGACGAGGATGCGCGGGATTCAGGGTCTCCCTCTTTCGATTCTGGACGCAAAGAGTCGAGGTGAACAAAAAGTTAGCAAGCTGGGTTCGCCGTAAATGAAAAGAAGCAACAGTAAATAAGTTCAGAGAATCGCAGCTCACAGCAAATCGAAGATATGCATCTCGAAATAGAAATTTTCACTCACCTACTTGTTCCGAACCCTTTTTCCCAGCTTTCGCGATCTTAGCGGCCGTCTTCTTGGAAACCTTGAGCTTTCCGGGCCGATTGTCCTTATCACTAAACTTGTATCCCGATGCATCGACAAAACTCGCTCCGGAGCTTGAGGCCACTGACGATGCTGTTTGTGCCATTAAACGCCAAAAGGGGGTGGATGGCAATGAAGCGTTAGCAAACAGTTGGTGATTTAGTGCCGGTCTTTCGCTTGAGCGACAGCTAATTATGATCGCGGACGGGAATAGCGGGAATCGGAACAAGGTTAAGGGTCAAGCAAGCGGGTCGGATGGGAAGGGGAGCCTCACCTCGGCCTATAGCGCCGTTTGTCGCCATCTTGGGATCACTGGGCTGGGCTAACTGTTGACTCGGGTGAAGATACTATTTACTCGTGGAGGGTATGGGGATTTGTATAGCCATGCGATGCTGTTGGGGTTTGGGAGATCAAAACTTGCCCCCGGAAGATCTAACTGGAGGAAGAGGCGAATCATGTGACCTAACGTCCTCCTCCCGGCCCAAGATAGGTAAGTGTACGACATTATATAGTACGTATTATCGAGACGTTAGAAGTTTGCAATATAGTAATAAACTTTATTTTACAGTCAATCAGTTGTACTGTCCAGTCAAGGTCAAGCTGGGCAGAGCAAAATGTTATCTGCTTAAAAGCCGACCGGATATCAATATCGGGCGAAGCACAAGCTGCTATTCGTGCCCCCGAACCCAAAGCTATTCGTTAATACCACATCGACCTGTCTCTCCTGCGCAATATTGGGCACGTAATTGCAGTCAAATTCCTCAGTCGTGTTATCCAGATTTATCGTGGGCGGCAAAACATTCTGTCACAGGTTAAAATTTAGCGAATCAATTACCCATTCCGCAGCCCGCCCTTGGCTAACTAACAACAGATCATCCTATGCTATGGCTTACCTCGTGAATCGCTAAAATGGAAAAGACAGCCTCAATAGCCCCGGCTCCCCCAAGTAAATGGCCTATTGCACCCTTCGTGCTGCTGACATTGATATCGGCAACTTTCTCTTTCCCCTCACTTCCAAGAAGGAGCGTTTTGATCGCAAAGTTTTCTGCTGCGTCTCCAATTATCGTCGACGTCCCGTGTGAATTGATGTAATCCACTGCGCTAGGAGGGGCCCGGGCACTCCTTAACGCTCTCTTCATGGCCAACAAGGCACCCTCTCCGCTCTCTTTGGGTGCCGTCATGTGGTATGCATCGCCAGAACAACCATATCCCTTCAGCTCGGCGTATATATGTGCGCTGCGGGACTTGGCATGCTCAAGTTCCTATATGTATGAGGTCAGCTTTAGCAGATTCCATGTAAAAAATGAATCAAAATGATATGTTAGCGTTAGAACGGTCTCGCAACGTACCTCTAGCACAACTACTGCTGCGCCCTCTCCCACGATAAATCCTTCCCGGTCCCTATCAAAGGGCCTTGAAGCCTTCTCTGGTGAATCATTGTATGAAGTAGCTAGGCTACGACACCTGGAAAATCCACCCAAGACTAATGGGTGGATACACGACTCAGCTCCCCCGGCTATCATCACATCTGCATCTCCGCAGGCAATGAAGCGGGAGGCGTCGCCGATTGAATGAGCCCCAGTCGTGCACGCCGTGGTGGCGGCATGATTGGGACCCTATATGTGAAATAGTCAGTGCCGTATTAGGAATTTATTCTCATGTAACCACGTACCGAGAATCCATATTTCATCGAGATGTGTCCGGCCCCCAGGTTAATGAGGAGCTTGGGGACGAAGAGGGGGGAAATTTTTCTGTAGCCCTAGACGCATTTATGAAAGGTTAACAAACACAATGAGAAGAATTTTGATATATAGCTTGGCGTAACTAGTCCTAGCAATTATCTGTATACATACCCCTTTATCATAACTGAGAGACGTATCGTAAATCTCATCGAAGTTGCCAATGCCAGAACCTAAACATACGCCCTATGCAGAAGTTAACGGGCTACTTCCGCTGGCGCAGTAGTGACGATGCACGGTATTCCTCACTGTCATTTCCTTCTGCTCACGGCTGGTAGGCTTCCAGCCCGCATCTGCCAGAGCCTCCTCAGTGGCGACTAGGGCATATTGTGTAAATTTTGCTGTTTTCCTCTCCACCTGTAGCCAAAAAAAAAAAACAAGAAGAAAAAATCAGTGACATACAAAGCCAAATTATGAGAGAATAGAATCGGGGCCACAACATACATCACGGCTTAACCAATCCGATACTCTCCAGCCACCATCACTCTTCTGACCTTGAGGGACCAGCGCAGCAATCTGGCAAGGCAGATCTGCATATCTCGGATCCCGGTCTTTCACCGAAACGACGCCACAGTGGCCATCTAGAAGCCGTTTCCACGTTCGTCGTACACCTAACAGCGGGAGGGGGGGGGGAGGGGAATATTCAGGATATGGACACGAACACAATGGGGGAATATTTCCAATGCTTCGTTTGCGTTCTAAACCACCAAAACGGGAAACGCCAAAAGCAAAATTAAAAGTCAGGGAACTAACTCACCGATGCCGAGTGGAGAGACTGCGCCCAGCCCTGTAACTACGACCCGGCGCATGGCACCGCTGCTCTGGCATGCGCTGGTCGTTGGTTCTAAGGGTTACCAGCGACGTAAAATGTTTATAAAAGGACGATGTTACTATTATTATTCATTCATCATTTCGTCGGGAATTGCGCAAGGGATAAGACAGCTAGCGCGCTTAAAAGAGCCGAAGGTTCGATCAGATCTGATCTGGTGATAGAGCGCCAGAGCCTGGAGGCGCTATTTTTGGCGTTTATTAGTTATATAGCTAGCGAGATTCATCGTGTAATTTGTGGAAAACATGTGACATCGATCGGGGGATATGCAAAACATACATGGGAACTCGGTCCGTAGGTAAGTTAGTATAGTATGTAATGTACTGTACATACATGTACACACAAAATTACACAGGTAGGATTTTCGATGGATGTCTCTTCTGGCAACGTGTTGAGCAACAATTCACGAATACAATAAAAGGGTTTGAATTGATTTATATCATGTAGTTAAAGTATAGTTAATTTATTTATATTCTCAGCTTCCATCTTCCATGCAATTTTTAGGACAATTCCCATTCCGTCATATCTCATGCTGAGACCTGCCGCCCATGGGTCGGGAACCTCCTCCAGCCCAGGGCCAAACTTATCTCCACTGTGGTCGTCTTTTCTTTTTTTTTTTTTTTTCACGAGGAGAACGAAGATAGGTAGTCAAGCTTGCCCACGGGAACTCCTTTGAGTCGTAGGATGGCGTATGCAATCTGCAGATGGAAGAAGAAGTTCGGAACCGAGTAGGAGGTGATGTATTCCTTTCCGGGGAGGGTCTTGGTTTTGCCAGCCCCGATGACCATCGTGACGGTATTGGCCTCTTTGCCTTCAACCGCCTCGGGATCCACCTTCTTGAGGACTTCGATGGCATCGGTTGTTTTTTTCTGGAGGGCTGCGAAGGATGTCTCTTCCCTCTTCCACTCTACTGGTTCAGTGCCAAGCAGGCGGGCGACGCACTTTGTTGCGGTATCAACAGCCATGTATACCTGAAAATCGAGGGCAAACATGTCTTCGTACAGCTTGGCTGGAACATAGTCATCGACGTTGAGTTCCTTGGCTTTGGCATGTTCTTCGGCTTTAGCGAGGATTGTATTGAGGGTGTTAAGGCCGTTGAGGAGCAGCCCAATGCTGGCATCGTAAGTGCTGAGAGGCATGTTGGAAAGGTGGTAGTGGTAGTGCTGGTGCTGGTGGTGAGAGGATTTCCTGGAAATGAGATTATGGGGAGCGATGAGGAATGGTGAAGATTGTTGTTCGACCTGGGAACGGACAGAGAGTGGTTCTTATTTATAGCAGCGGCCGAGGTTTCAGTCGGGACAATTGATCGCGCCGAACAACACTGGATGAGATTGCGGTGCAACTCTTTGAAGGAAGGATTCAAGCGCATTGTAGTTTTTACTAATTCATATTATTAATAGAGAGCGGTGAATAACTTATACGGAGAGATACAGTCTTGTACAGGGGAGTTATTCTCCTGGCCTTCATACAATGAGATGCACTCGAACTAGGCAGCTTGGATGGCAGATAGTTAAGTCACAGTAGTTACATTCCATACGCCTCCATCAACCTGATTGCTGATTTGTCCCTGGATTCGCTTCCATCCAACAACTGAGTTCGGTGATGAGCTGCATCCCAACAATAATACTTTAGACGCGCGAATTCCTTCTCCCCACTGCACTGCACTGCGGGGTAGTCAGACGGAATGATTACAAACACAAACCAATTACAAATCAAAAATAGGAATGTTCTCCAAGTGTCCGTGTAAAAGAAAACTCTTTCTCTTAAGGCAGAGGACGGAGATTTCCCCATTGACCAGCCTCGTATAGTAGTAGACTGTAGAGTGCAACCTGTGCGGGAGCTAGCCATTTACCACCACCTAGTTTTCCCAATGAAGGCTTCCCGTCCTGCAGCATCTCCATGATGAAAAGCCCTGGAACCATGAGTATGAGGCCTTTTGTGTCATGCCATATTCAACTCAATCACGGTGATTGGTTTACTTACTCTGAAGCCGTCCCGTCCCTTCTAAATATGAGAACAGGAATACGACCTCGGCCTCACCTGATACAAGAACAGTAGAATTGGCACTTTTACACCCTAATGAGAATCCTCCTGACCCAAGCAGGACCGAAGAGCTAGTTAACAGGCTTCGCGCACGACGAGGTCGCAATCTCACGAAGAAAATGCACTAATCACTGGGCTGGACGGGTGCCACGGCGTGATATGCTGCTCCCAACGGGTTTGGTTAGTGAAGGATCCAAGAGCATACAGCATTCAGGTGTCTAAACCTACCTAAATAACCTGGCAATGAACAAGCAACAAAACTTCCTATGATTGATGTACAGTACATATTAGTGTTTGCATACGCATTCAGATAGGATAACTAGTTAGCACTCCGATTGCTGACTCATGCTCATGCCCGGCACTCCCCCCTCCCACTCCCGCGACGGCTAACCTTCCAATCGGAGACGCTGTTTGCCGCTCTCCTCGGCTTCCCATCGCGAGAGGGGGGCAATACAAGCAATGTAGGCCAGCTCTCTGTTGTCATGGCGTCCAGCTTTCTCGTCCCTTTCCAGTATCTGCAGAGGAAACTGTAGCATCTACAGCTTGAGACACACAAAATGTTGCTTCGAGGCTGGACAAGCATCCTAGCTGGGTTGCTCCTTCATATAAGCTCTGTCAATGCACATGATGGACACGAGCATCATGACAATGAGGAGATCCCAATCAAACGCAGAGAAGAGCTCCTGAAGAAATGGGATCAGGAGGTAATTATACGCCTGTCCATTCTGCCTTCGCGCAATTACCTCCGCTGGGACCTGTTCTAATCTTAAAAAATCATCTTGTCAGTGGAGCTTTTCTGGGGTTTCGACCTTCGCCCATCTCAAGCACGTAAAATGCCTCATCGAGCCTGACGAGCAATACGACATCGCTGTTCTTGGGGTTCCCTTCGACACTTCTGTCTCCTACCGCCCAGGAGCCCGTTTTGGGCCCCGCGCCATCCGCGCCGCAAGCGCTCGTCAGCTCCCAGGAAATAGCTACAACACCCGCGCTGCCATCAACCCCTATCTGAACTGGGCGCGCATTATTGACTGCGGCGATGTCCCCGTTATGCCATTCGACAATGCCGTGGCAGAACGGCAGATGTATGAAGCCTTTCTGGAACTAGGCACGCGCAAAGCTCCAAATCCCATCTCAGGCATATCGCGCGGAAAACCCAGGATTGTCGCACTAGGTGGTGACCACAGCATCACCCTACCGGCCCTACGTGCCTTGTATAAGATTTACGGAAAACCAATCACAGTCCTGCACTTTGATGCGCACCTTGATACCTGGAACCCGACTCGATACTCCACTCACTGGACATCCGACCAATCACGCTTCAACCATGGTAGCTTTTTCCACACAGCTAGCCGCGAAGGGCTAATCTCCAACACCAGCTCCGCACATGCTGGTCTCCGCACCCGCCTGACCGGCCTGGATGATGGCGACTATTCCAATCCGGGGCCCGAGCAGGGGTTCCTCCGCATCCATGCAGACGATATTGACGACATCGGGCCGAAGGGAGTTATCGACACCATCATATCGCGCGTCGGGCTTTCGCCAGATGAGCCCGTCTACCTGAGTCTTGACATCGACGTGCTGGATCCGGGTATTGCTCCTGGAACCGGTACGCCGGAACCCGGCGGGTGGACCACGCGCGAGCTGATTCGGATCCTGCGTGGAATCGAGAAGCTGAACCTTGTGGGCGCTGATATTGTGGAGGTTTCGCCCAGTTATGATACCGCTGGGGAGGTTACGGCTCTCGCAGCTGCCCAGGCTGCGTTTGAGATTATTACTAGTATGGTCAAGCTGGGTGCTAAGGAGGATGTGGGTGGGTGGTATGGGGAGAAAGAGGAGAAGGTGGGGGATAGAAAACGGGATGAGCTTTGAGGTGTTTGATATCCTGCTGAATGAAACCTAGTGAAATGCTATCATGGAAGTCACCGTGTCGAGGAATGATATTTTGATCGCCAGTCGGATGATCGCAATCCCAAAGCCTAGTAGCAACCTTTTTCCATTTCATTGAAATAAAATTTTATGAACACGCATGCGCCACGGAACCCACTCTCTCATTCGTATAGTTTTCATTGAATCACGTCATTGAAGATGTAGTATACCATCGGTACATATACTCCTAAAAACAGGCACGACTGTTTAAAACTAACGGATCAATATTCCGTATAGTTAATAACTAGTTAGTTTCCAAAGTTTCGTAATATGTAAACTCGATTAAAAGCATAATCACCACCCAAAATTCATTTTGAGAAGGCAACGCCCTGCGAAAAGCACCTGGTTTACTTCCGGCCCAGAGGAGAGTTAAATCTGAGTAGAAACCTATTTTCATCTAGGAGGCGAATAAGGAGAGATATCTCTTGTGGAAATAAACAAGACAGGCGGGGGACATATACTTCGTCTAATGAGTATGTTCCTGTAACCACGCGAGGGAGACGCAGCGAGGGTGCAATCACAGTGGCGACCGCCGTCAATAAACCTTGAGATTAATCCTTTATTTACTGCAATCAATCTGCATATTTCCAATGTTGCATGTTTCACAGAAGGAAACCAATCATGTGCAAATGCTGAGCAGTCCGAATCTCTACCTCCAACAAACACAATTGTGGGCAACAAGAACGCCTACAAATGATCAACTTTGAATTCAGGAAGATCTCATGGTAACGGGTGGAGTAGAGAATTTTCGTCAAACCTGCAATGGGATATAGTCTCTGAAGATCCAACCATTTCCAGAATACATGGCGATGTTTTTTTTTTTTTTTTTTTTCATCATGTATTTAATGAGACCCGTGTAGGTCATATTTGATATTTGACTACTCATATATAGCTATGTTAAACGGCTCCTATGGTCTGGTCTGCTGCCCAAGTCGCAGTCCGGCAATCCCACGAATGCCAGTCCATATATGTCCCCGATCAGAGGCATGGGCAAACTCGAATGCTTAACGTTATAGTTCTCGATAGAAAATCGATGTTATTAAGGAAGGACGTGAATATCGTTTTTATTTTGAGTAATTTTCCAGCATTTTGCGATATGTGCTTCGTATACTTGCGATATGCCCCGCGAGTGCGAGGGAATCAATCGAGACCTGCAGCAGGGCGGGGGTTTGTTCTTATATTTAGTCTTCCATCATCATCATCATCATCATCATCATAGCGGCGGGATGAAAATCGAAATATTGGAAAAATGGAAAGATTGGATGGAATCCCATGTATGTGTATTAAAGAAGAAAATAAGGGAAAAGTAAAAATGAGAAAGGAGAGAACAAACAGGGACAATGACATCATTAATAAGTCTTCCAAATATTTAGGAAGACGTGATGACAGAGGAGAGATGAATCTCGGACAAGAGCGAGTAATTCAGTGCATAGTAAGCAATAAATAGTACGAGGTAAATGTTAGCTGATTGATATAACATCTTGCTGATGAACTTCTTATGTTAGTCTGAAAAGTTAGTAGGGACATGGAGGCAGATGGATGTAAGAGAAGAAAGAGGGAAAAATATTTTTTAAAAAAAAGGAATAAAAATTTAATTTTTTCTTTTTTCTTTTTTCAAACCGCAGCTTAATTAATATAAAACTCCGGGAAAGAAATGGGGATTAAAATTAGAAGCAAGAGAGGGCTTAAGGTTCTTTCTCTCTCGCTATCCCTCATAAGGAAAAGGAAGAAACGGGGGGGAGTGGGCAGAAGTGGGCATGGCATGGACAAGGGCAAATAAACGCAGCCTCAGCTACATTTTGAAAGCAGCTCAGTGAGTTAAGTAATAAACATTCCAGCATGAATGGAGTAAAGTATGAAATGGTGGAAAAAAATGTGCACCGGCGAATAAATGTGTCTTGTTGCAACAAAAATAAGCTCAGAGGGAGTGAAAAAAGAAAGAAAATCAAATCGTTAAAACGTGCAGACAAGTCTGAAGTAGCTAAAACCGTAAATCAGATAAGGAGGCCGGGACGACTGACAATAATAAAAGGGGAGGAAATCGTTTTGCACAGAAAGAAAAAAGAAGCATGGAAAGAAAGAGAGGAAAAGAAATATCGCGATCTGAAACATCGGCTGAGATGAATCTTTACTTGTTAGTCTGCTTTGCTCTCTGATATGTGATATGCCTTTTTCCGCGACCTAATTTGGATGATAAAATATATCGACCTTTTTTTTTTCTCTTTTGTTTTCTGTTTGCTTTTAAATTTCGCCATTCAAATCATCCATCAGATGCAGGTCTCCCTCATACGGTATATTTGGGAATTGTGTATGTAGCTATATGACCAGATCCAGGACGCCTAGCAGCGAAACAGCGAATGGGCCAAACTAGAATTTCATAGTGTGCAGAGGTCTATTTATTTTGTATCATTGCGGCTTGAATGAAACCTTAGAAGATAGTACACTTCGACTTCTTTTTGGGGATCGGTTCTAGCGCGGCGACAATTGCCTAAGTTGGGTTAAACCCCAAAAAAGTTAGACATTCGTATTGGTTAGATGTATCTTAGGGGCAAAGGGGTTCGACTAACCTCATCGAACACGTCCTTGAGTTTGTATTGAGTTAGGGCAGAGCACTCCACGTATTTGACTGCTCCCAGTTCCTTTGCCATGCGGTCGCCGTCCTCCTTTCGTACGGGCTGCATCTTCTGCTTTGCTAACTTCTCTCGTACGCTTGGGTCGTCGCGCAAATCGGTCTGGGTCCCTACGATCAGGCACGGAACCCCCGGGCAATGGTGATGGACCTCAGGGAACCATTTCTCGCGGACGTTCTCGAAGGAAGCAGGCGATGTGACGGAGAAACAGACAAGGAACACATCGGTCTGCGGATATGATAAAGGCCGTAGACGGTCATAATCTTCTTGTCCGGCTGTGTCGAAAAGTCCTAGGGTATATGGCTCGTCTCCGATCCTACAATTATCAATTGAGATATCAGATTAGCAAAAGGGAAGTAAAATTTTGGCTGGATTCTTCTTTCGGTAAAATATGAATACGCAAAACATATAAACCAAGTATGAGAACCTAGTAGTTGGGTTCTTGCGCGAGGTGCTAAAGTGCCACACGACCGGCACACATGGCTGATGTGGTGTGAACATGAAGGGGACGTCACACAACTTACATCACTGTAACCGCATAGTTATCGAAGACGGTCGGGACGTATTCAGAGGGGAACTTGTTGGTGGTGTACGAAATCAGTAGACATGTCTTGCCGACTGCACCGTCTCCAACGACAACACACCTGTAGTTTCGAGAGAACTGGTCAGTATTGAATTTTTCGCTATCGTCATCTGACAGCAACCAATTTCTTGTATGAGGTCACGCCATAGGAACTAGAACTACATACTTGATAGTAGCCACAACCATTTTGAATTCCAGTTAGATGGTAAAGCTCTAGTAAGCTCTTGCAGGTATACCGCTTGTTGATGTGAAGGATGTAAGGGAGAGCGTGGGATAGGCGATTCGCGAGGGAGAGGAGAGCTTGACGTGGACGGAGCGTCAAAGGAGCCGTTTAATAGTAAATAGGAACAGGTAGAAGAGCGGAATTCTCGCGGTGAAATGGTCAGAGGGAGGATATGAAGGAGCGCGAGCAGAAATTCGGGGGGGGTTCGATCGTAGGTAAGCAAGAAGACAGCGGGCTGTACCAGAACCAATAATACTACAAGTTAGCGATCCAAACATCTATTTGGAAGACTGCCGTAGAGGATAGAATTAAATGAGAACTCCCAGAGCCGGGTAGATAAGCAAGGGGTAGGTATAGCGGGTTGTGTTGGCTAGACCGACCTTTGGAGAGAAGAGAATAGGCGGGATCACGAACAGCAGCACGCGCCCACAGGGACAGGAGAAACCCCTTGCGAGGTTTGACTGCCAGTTCTGAGAGGGCAGAAGTCGACGAAGCACGCACTAGCTGGGAAGAAGCGGTGTTGGTGGAGGAGTAGTAGTAGATAGGTGCGGGAGTGATGGAGAGGAGGGAGGAGAAGAGATGAGGTTGAGACGGCGATGGGCAAGGGGATGCGACCAAGCCCGAACAGAGGAACGGGCCAGTAGTTAACAGAACACCAGACAAGACGACGGACAACACCAAGTGAACAATTCTCGATCAACACTAGGAGAGTGAAAGCTGGATAGCAGTGCAGTGTGAGGGGTAGTGATGGGTTAAGAAGTGTTCTACAGTGCCCAATTGCTTTAATCCTGTTTTATTAAATATCTGGCTGGCTTTGGTGTTTCTTTGGTTTTGGCCGTTGCAACGACACCTACTATTATTATTCTGTGGCCGAGACCCAATTCTAGGGTCGTGACTTGGCTGGTACCTCAACTAAATAAGCCTAGGATCCCCTACCAACATGCCAAGTACCGCTGAGGTCAACTGCAAATGCCCGTGGACCGGCATCGCCCATCTTAGGGCTCAATTAATCCGGGGCTGCTATCACCCTGACTGAGGCCCTAGATGTGATAGTGGTATCTCCCGACTACACAAGGCGCCTGTCGTTGCCTGTTTCGCTGTTCCTGGGCTTCAGGGATATTTTGATTTATTACATTCGCTGATTTACTGGGCTCTTAGTCGAAATCTCTCCAAAAAAAAAAAAAGGAAAGTCGCCGGGTCTCATCGAGCAAGAAATTCACAGGAGTAGTTAATAATCATCAGGGATTTCCTGTATATATTTTATTAAAGTCTTCATGTAAGTTTACCTCCCTGTTCCACCGGCATCGCTAACTACCTCTCTAGCTTCCCATCGATCAAGCAACCGGCCACCGGATGGCCCCTCTACTCTACTCCGTATGCTGGTTCAATAATGCGCTCGTCCAAGTGGCTAGTGGCGCGGGACAAGGGATAGTACGTACTGTTGAACCCCCAACCTGTTGGTTTTTTTTTATAGGGATGGGAGAAATACCATTTCCTTTCCAACATTCAACTAACCAAAGGATGGTGAGCACTGGCATGGGGCATCAGCCTTCTAGCTCCACGCACAGCAGGGTTTTAAAATAGGAAAAAGCGAATGTGAGAAAAGAGGGCTTTACGGGGTTACTAAATTCTATATTTAAAGCCCAGTAATCATCGGTGTTGGTTAAAAGCGTCTAGCTTGCGGTTGTAGGCCTGTTCGCTGTTCATTATTGAACCCTTTTTCCCTTGTCTCAACCATTCTCTATTCATTTAATAATGTTTCATCTGCCGTTTCAGCCTGCGTTTCTGATGCTGCAAGAACAGGCACGGTTTGAGGGGGTGGTTAATTATTCCAGAGCGACATTTACACTATCCTGATAAACTTCCAGGCGGTCGATTCCTTAGTTAACACTCTCCCAACTTGACTAAGAACAAAACTAAGTCAATAATAGTGGTAGGAGTTGTAACTTGTCAGCCTTACCCTTGCCCTTGCTTGACTCAATCGGTTTCTAGCGTCTTGATTGAAGAGTTTAAGGAGTTGTTCAGTTTCATTAACAACACTTATTACCCCTTTGTTACCAGCTTCCTACGCTGTACGCAGTAATAACAAGATACATTTTTCGCTAGCCACGCGAGCAACAGTTGGCCCATCGAAGTTTGTGGCTGAATTACCCCCCAAAAAACAAAAAAAAAAAAAAAAAAAAAAAAAAAAAAAAAAAAAAAAAAAAAAAAAAAAAAAAGCAAGCACTTGTATTCAGACATTAAATAATCGACTTGTTGACAGACTGTGTAATCTAATATAAAAAGTATTAAAGAGAATAAATTCTATTCTCAAAGATTTTCATCTCCAAATACAATACATGTACTTCAAGTGTGTTGATTCCCCTGCAGCTTCAATCTGTATTTCTCTTCTTAATCAGCTCTCTACATGCTCTAGATGAGCTGTACATTCTTCAGAACTTCTTCAGTAAATTTATTTTCACTACTTCTAGTTATTCAATCTTGTATATCTAATTTTGGGAATTATGGTCAGGCTAGTTACTGTTCATTCTCCGAGTTTACAAAGAGGTCATAGCCACGCACGCAGTAACCACTCTGATGTATCCTTGAATCTCTATACTCCGTAGGGGTTAGATGTATTCGAACCTAACCTCCATGAATGCCCTCCGACTTCAGGGAACTTGGTTTTTGGTTCTAACGAGGACGCTTTTAACAGTTCGGCGGCCTATGTTTCACTACGCCGGATCCATAACAGAAACACAACGCCTGAAATTTGATGGAACCAAGAAGAATCGAATAATCAAGAAGGCTTCAAGGAGATGAAGCCCAGTTTTGAGCGGTATTCTCTGTACCTCAGATTTTCCCAGCCGCCGGCCTGGTATGTTGTGCAATATCAATATAAAAACTGTCATGAACGATTCATTCGTTCGTTTTGCCCAGTGCCAGAGTTTCCCTGGCATCAGGAGTAAGATTGCCATAGTCATAGTTAGAGGTTCAAAAGCAGTTGAAGCAGTAACTGACATGACCTAGTTACATATATGTTGTTGCCGCGCGGGCCAAGTTTGGCCCATGGGCTCTCTCCATTCTCTAGAGCTCCATTAGCCGATCGCTTATAGAGTACTGCTGACTAGAGTTAGTCAAAACCCATCATGAAATTCATTGAGAAAGAATATTAGCACGATTTCAAAACTACAATGTAGGCTGCATTCGTGGGGAGCTCACCGCTGGCTCTCCTCCGATGAAGATCGCCTTCTCATAGCCAGTTGCTAACGGGGTATGTGTGTATGTGCTAGCTAAATTATTAATGACAGCGAAATGGGAACAACACTGCAAGTTCTCCCATTTTTCATGAACATTTGTGACAAAATTTTAATTATCAAAATGCTTGCATCACTGTGTGAAGCATAGATTCACAGTGGGTGATAATGTGTAATTTTGCTGCAATTGATCATTTCACAATATCATTACAATGAGGCTCAATATGATTACAGATTGAATAGACATTGTCTTGGACACAAATTGATGACTCAACGATCTTCTTTTATTGTAAATTTTTCCAATCATGATTATTAGTGTGTTTTATTTAATTTACTTACTTATTTTGTTTTTTCCCCTCTATTTTCCTTGTCTGATTTGCTGTGTTTCAATCAGGGCTGATTTTTACATGTCTAAGACACAGGTTACCAGCCGTGTCTTCAGGCTCAGCTTCAGCCAAATTTCTTTCAAAAGCCACTCATACATGTTCTCACAGTCTAATACAATAATGGCTTTGACAATTCATTGCCATTTTGATATTGTGAAAACTCATGGTTGGTAAATAGGAATTAAAAATAGAGTACCCACCACAGTGAAAGACCGGAGGGGGAGGGGGGGGAGGGAGGGGGGCTATGAAGGCTCCAGGCCAGATGCGAACTAGATACAAACAAAATGAGGGTAGAAAGGAAAGGTAGTTAGACATAAGTAAGAAATGAAACATGACAATGTAATAGAACCAAAATAACCACAACAGTACCTTCTGGCCCTATCGGTACCCGCACATTCATATATTATCAGCTGCCTCAGTTACAATCTCCTCCTCCAGCTTTCTATACTCAATCGTGGCGATGCATGTAATGATTACAATGTCAAGAAATCCAGCTAACTCTGGCACAAACAACGTAATCTCATCACTTCGCCCGGACAGCAACGATGAGTGTTTCTGGTACCGCGCAACTGTACGCCCACTCATGTCCACTAGTTTAAGATCACTGGTAACGAGACTCCCCAGGGCGCCACCCCCACTCTTCCATTCCAACGTGCCAAGTGGTGTCAGGCTCTCAAACCTGCGCTTGGAGGAGAACGAGTCTGGCCGCTTCATGGTGATGGTTTGGTTGGTGCTGAGGTGAATGTCGATTTTCGATGAGACGGTAATATGGAAGTTCGCTGTTCCGACGACGTAGTTATTGCTAGACTGCCCGGTCTGTTGTTGTTGATGATGTCGAGATTGTCCCAGGAGGCCCGATAGAGAAAACTGTCCCGAGAGCCTCGATATGGAAGAGGCCTGTCGAGTGTATGGGATTGGCTGAAGATGTCGCGTCAATGTCACTTGTGGGGCCCCGTCAGAGGTGTCAACTGTGTAAAGGCAGGAGAGGTCATCTAGGGTAGTTATTTTGTAACTGCGGCGAGTCCAACTATCCTCCTTAATGACATGTACAGAGCGAATTGGCGTCGGCATGTAAGCCATGTTGTTGTTCATGGCTTGCATGTGCGACGCACAGAGGAGGAGGTGATTGGCTGACGTGGTTGCGGATGATTGATCTTTATTTTGTGCATAGAGTATAACAGGGAGTATAGGTCAAGGAAATGCTTTAGGCAATTCGCATAAATGGGGAAAATGAAAATAACATATACCAAAGGTATATATTTGTATATAAAATTTGAGATGATCGCAAATGTTGGATTCAGGGATGGGATGGATCAGAACGAGCATGTAAATGGAGAACGAAAATCCAAATAACTCGAGGCGCATTGAACAATTTATACCTGCGTACAGTTAGTTATATTGAGTTTCCAAACACATGGATATTCGATCACAGCCCTCAAGAAACAACATTATTGGTCTCCCCAGGCAGAGGGCAATCATGGAAGTAGCTGAATACGCGTATTGATTATATTATCCCTTTTTGGGGAGAGCTGTGAAAGATGCCGAAATTGGCACATCAGCTATTTCTGCATATAAACCTGCGGGTATCTAAAGGTGGCTGAACAGGAATACGTGGTATCCTGGCCAGAAGTGTTTCGGGCATTTGGGGTCCATGTCATGTTGCAGACTTGCAATGATGTTGTTCAGAACTTCAGACTTGTGGCAACCAAACGTTCGCCCCACAACGTCACAGATTTAAGGCTGGCGCTTATTTTTAGCGCCGTCTTAGCAAGCGCATCAATGTTGCTGCTTGGGTGACAAATGCCGCCCGCCCGCCCGCCCGCCCGGCCCACTGGACTCCGCCAGCATCATCTTTCCAATCTTTCCAGCTTTATGCTGCTTTTGGGGATTTCAAAACAATATGACTTGGACGCAAAAATTCCTTCTTTCGCCCAACGACGAGCTATGATGTAATATGAGCAATCAAAGATGAAGCATGAGGCTTCTCCAGAAATGCCCCGATTTGGCTAGAACAAAACCAGTATACGACCTTCATGTTCTGGAGGTTCGCCATATGGGGATAATTGTTTGCAGGAATCACAGCCACATGGACAGCCTGCAAGATCGGCAGCTGCTTGAAATAACCAGAGGCATATTCAACCGGTTCAAGAAACACTTTTAACCAGCTCGCCAGGCTCGACTAAATTCCTCCCAGCTGATGCGATCTCTGCGTTGCGGTTATTCTGTCAGGAACACATGAAATAGACGTTCACTGCTATGTCCATTATAACTAGGCTCCTCACGAATCCGCCCTCCCAATTTAACCTTGGGTGGTCATTAATTGCGATATCTATACTATTGTTGATGATCCCGAACGTGTGTTGTTCAATGTATCGCGTCATCAACTCTCCCTTCCCCGGACCGAAATTAGCCAAGTTCACCCAATGGTGGTTCAGATGGCATGAATTGCGAGGTGCGTTTTGTGACCCCACAGCACAATTCCGCTAGCCATGCCCAGTTTGATAACACCCCGACTCCTAAAAACAGACGGGATTCTGAACGCGACTCACCGTGCCCATCGAAACTATGGTCCAATTGTTCAGCTTTCCCCGAAAATGGTCTCCTTCTGCCATCCAGATGCCATAAAGGATATTTACACCGGACCCCGGGGGGGACTGGACACCACTGATCTTGTTTGGTTTTTTGAGCGGTATGGCTCGTCAAACGTAGTAAGCACCGTTGACGCAGAATTACATTTACTTCGCAGGAAAAATGTGGCTGGCTTATATTCGAGCCCGGCTGCTGCATCACCAGCTTTCCAGGCCCACATCAGAACGACTATTGACACATTCATGAATGAGATTAAAGTGGGAGCAAGTCCAGGCCAGCCATCTTCCTGGACTGTTGATATGTTTCCTATGATGAGGTGGTTAACTGCTGATATTATGATTGGGTTGACGTACGGACCTGAAAGATCACTCAATCTACTGACCAACTCCGACTCAAGAGCTCAGATGAACGAACTCCTAACCCCAACATTGGAACTAGTAGCCAGCCCGTTGGCAGCTGTTTTCCAATGGCTTCCCCGTAAGTAAGCTGCTTCCGGTGGATGGGGACTCACCCTTCCTGATATTGATACTAATGGTTAAGTCCCCATCATGAAACTCTTATCGCCGTTGCTCAACCAAGGACCAAACCTGGCCAAATTCGGCATGATTTTGGTGCAAGAATCCCTCAAGGCCCTGCTGCCTCCACAATCGAATGACGATGAAGGGAAGGCAAATACCCACCTCCAACATCTCCTTCGCCTTTTCAAAAAGAATGGCCCCAGCCCAGCCATTCCGAACATCAATTACATTGCCAGCGATACTTTGGATCACTTCTCAGGTGGTGAGTAATTTCCCGGAAATGCGCCTCCAAACCGGTACTTTTCTGTATCGTGGTGCTAACTAATACCTCAGGCACCACCACAACCGCCGATTTCCTCTCCGCACTACTCTATCACCTTTCCCTCCCAGAAAACAAACACCACCAAGACAAACTTCGCCAGGAACTCCAGGCCTTCACCAGTGGAACCTCCCCTACTGCATCTACGGAACACATCCCCCTATCACAGCTACAAACCCTCCCATACCTAAATGGGATTTTACGGGAGACACTGCGCATCAGCCCGCCAATCCCCTTCAGTCTCCCAAGGCTAGTGAAAACTAAGGACCAGGACGTTTCCGTCTTGGGTATGAAGATAGATCCAGGGGTAAGCTTTTCAAAATAAACGATAATAATAGCAGACTTCCCCCTCCCCCCCTTTCCCAAGCCAAGGCAGTATTAATTAATTAATATTCACATCTCCAGACCATAATCTCCATCCAACCATACACGCTCCATCGGGACCCAGAGACATTTCCCAACCCAGACGTCTGGGAGCCTGAACGCTGGCAAGTGCCCATTACGTCCCCAGCGCACCGCCAGATGCAGCGAATGCTTATCCCGTTTGGCTATGGACAGCGGATGTGTACGGGAATGAGGTATGTAAAGCATATGATTTCATTTCTTTCTTTCGTTTCTTTTTTTTTTTTCCGTTATAGCAAACTCAGAACTATCAGCGAATTCATCGACATGCTACACGTGGGCCGTTCATACTAGTTTTTTATATTATACCTATCTATTAATGATTCAAGACTAACTCTTGATTTGCCGGGTATTCAAAATAGCGTCGCGTGGGCTATTATGCGCCAGGTAACGGCCAGGATATATCTGGAATATGAAACATCATTAGATGAGGGCGTATGGTTTGAGGAGGAGAGTGTCCTGGCTTCCAAGGGGGGAATAGGGATACAGGAGAGACAGAGGAAGAAGAACAACAAGAAGAAGAATTTGTTTCCTGACGGAAATATGCAGCCCATCGTGTTTAGCAGAGTGTAACAGGGGAAAGAGGATCTTCGGCCAATCTTTCATTAATCCTCTCATCTGATAGGGCGAAAGGATATAATGGGAATCAAGGAAACGTTCGACTGGATCATAAAGGAAGGGGTTTGAAGAAGTAGTGAACAACTAACAGCCCGGCCTAATCATTTACATATTTTTGGCATCTCCTCTCAATCCCACTTAAAGGGCAATATTAAAGTATATACTGTATTATACAACTCCTATAGAGATAGATGAAATCTTCATCAATGATACAACCACAGAATGCACATTTACCATTCATAAAATGGAAGATGGAGCCTATCATAGGGTTTCCACAACCCGTCGTCAGCCTCAGATTTCATTTCCCAAGACATGGTCAATTGATTATATATTTTGACAGGTTAATCTCTTCTGATGTCTACCAATCTTCTTTCAATATTCTACATCTACATAATATACCTTCCTGAGCAACCTCATGCCAGAGTTGATAGACCAGCGAAGAAATGCATTATTCAGAAAATTATGCTCTTCTAGGTTCAAGAGTCCTGGTTTTTTGTTCAGGTAAAAAGTCCCTCCTTTATTCTGTCATCTATATACCGGTAGTTTATACATAAAAAGATCCTAAATGTGTAAACCAAGTGAAAGAAAGTGGAGAATGGACACCCTGAAGGATATCTAGATATCTTTCATGATCATACAGTTTTATCATCATTAGAAAAAATAGAAGTTAAAACCCAAGCACGAAACACTAAACATTCAACAATGTTAAGTTTTGGCGTGTAAATGAGTAAGATGGGCCAGAAGTTGTTTGATAGTAGGTTTGATAGAGTATGGGTGTATATGGCATGGTAAAAATCTGATAAGTGCAAAGAGAAAATATTAAGAAGCCCCAGATGCACTTATGGATTTGTCGTTATTCGTTATTCGTTCTAGCAAGGGCATTGCTAGATATATATACGAGTGAGAGGTGTGGGTGCGCGTTTTGTGAACATAGTAAAAAGAGGCGTATTTTGTAGATGACATGTTCGGCGCGTTTGTCGTGAATGTAGCCAAGTTTCTAGCAATTTTCATGATAAATACTACGTTCGACGCGAGCTGGAACCGGGCCTTTGAGAGTACGTCCGATGAGAGATCAGCCCATCCCCTTCGTCGTTATGCCTCAGTGCTTCGCTTTTTACGTGAGAGTCCATCTGTTGGTTGGTTCAATTAGTCCAAGAAGCACTTGGAGGGAAGGAGTGGATGAAGGAATTATAACACTACCCACCTTATCCAACTTGTAGTCCACCATGAGCAAACTGAGGGGAATAAGCGGAATAGTTATACAAACAGCAATCGTCAGAATTCTGCGGAACGTCTCGTCGTAGGCACGGTTGATAGCGATCCTTGTTGCTGAACCCAGCGGATACGAAAGCGCCTTGGTAAGTTTTCCGAAGATCTCCTTTGCATCCCCCTGGCTCTCAGCGGGGAGGTACAGGGCCAATTTCTTCGGAATAGCGCTAGTCCACACGGCCCCCGAAATGGCTGATCCCACTGCGCCACCCATTTCTAGCGATGTGAGGAACATGGCCGTGGCTGCAGCCACTTCTTGATGGCTTGCAGATGCCTGGACACCTAGTTGGACGGGAACGTTGAGGAGGCCTGCACCTAGTCCGATGACGGTTTGGATGATAAAGGTGGCCAGAGTGGAGGCGCCTTCTTTATTAAAGAAGAGCATGAGGACAAGGCCAGTTATGTAGATGCAGCAACCTGCGGTGATGAAACCACGGTATCGTCTTGTTGCTTTTATGAAAAACGAAACGGATACGGCAGATATTGTTGATGTAAACGAGAAGGTTTGCGTTACTCGACCGGCTGTAGTGACGGATTGACCTTGGACAACTTGAAGGTAGGAGTAGAGATAAGGCTGCACAGAGCAATAAAACGCCACTGGGCCAATAAGTTAGTAAGAGCCGAGATGAAGATCAAAATAACTGGGAAGCGCTTACTAAAATAGAAGAAAGCAAGGGCACAGCCGGCAAGAGCTGTTCTCTGCTTGAGGAGATGAAGTGAGAGAAGAGGGTGCGGAGCCAGCCGCTTCGAGGTTTCCCAGAAGGGGAATACAATAAGACAAACTCCTCCAATGACTATCATGGTAATGATACTGCTGTTTTTCCATGTGTCTTTCGCATTTGCCGCCAACGTTAGGGGAACCAAAATGAGAGCTACCCCCGCTGAGAGTAGTAATAAACCAAAAACGTCGAGGTCGTACCAAGTCTTTTTGACTATAGTAGAAAAACTATGTCCTTTCCAAGGCCTGGGTTTGAGAAGCTTTAATCTTCTAGCCTTCTTCTGGTTCAGGAAAAGAGACAAGGCCAAAGGAAGAAATGCCGCGGGCAGGATAATTGTCCACATCCCATATCCCCAACGCCAGGAAGTTTCGCGGAGGATGGCAGCCGCGATCATTGGCCCTATCCACACGGTAGCCAAGAATGGTAGATCAGGCAAGCTGGAGAAAAGCGCTCGGTTAAGTAAAGAGCTGCTATCCGCAATGAAGACCTGCTGGAGGATTTGCAACCCTGTTGAGCCAGCGGAGTAAAATAGCTGTGCCGATGCATACGCCTGTACATTTGTTGATGCTGCCATTTGGGCATATCCAAGGACGTATATTGAAACGGCTATGCAAAATGCTTCGAATCGCCCGAATACATCTGCAACTTTCGCCATCGGAGGTTTAACAACAGCTGTAGGGCGTGTTAGTCCAAGATCCCGTAAATACTCCCAAAGCTGAAAGGGTTTTTACCGTTAACTACATTCTGGACAACCAAAACTGTTGATATTAAAGAATGCTTGCTGAAGGAACTCGTGGCATAGGCCGACAGAGATAAAACTGTCTGGCCTTCTAGGGAGGTTGAGAATGCCATCAAAAAGATCCTTAGCTATATTAGCGAGGTTTTATAAGAAGCAAGTGGGATGCTCGACAAGAAAGAGGATGACAAAGTAGGTGTCGTCGAAGAAGCGGCGCCTAGCCAGAAGAACCAAACATGCACCATCCAAGAATCAACAAATATAAAAGACTGAATGAACATACCCAATATATGCAATTATCAATGACTTCTGCGTCCACGTTTTGCTAATGGCCTCAATCTTGCGTACGCCCTCTTGTACAGAATCCGATGACGAGGAAGAATATCCCTCACCAGGACTTCGGCCACCATGGCCATCGCAATCGGTAGCATCCCCATCATCGTCGTCTTCTGGTACTTGCATAGGCTCTGCGTATAACAGACTCGCATCCTCGTCCTCTGTTTCCATTGTAGGTTGGGATTCGCATGCGCCGTAAGACTTGGCCGAGGTCAGCTGTTGACCCATAGAGCGGGGCATGGGATCCGTTGGGAGATAGCGGATTCCCTAATCGCGACGCCAGATTGGAAAGTAAGATGAGAGACAAAATGGGTTGTAGTTAGGAAGGGTGCGCAAGGTAGTATTCGTTATTTGCAGCGGGAGGGAGGGGTAGGAAGTTCGGGAGTCCGTTCGTTAATCCGTAACAACCATTTCAATCTGTTAAAGACCAGGGTATTGCGAAACAACGAGGATCGGTATGGAAGAGTGACCGTTGAGAAAAAATCTTAAATAGCCACGAGATGAAGACTTATGTTGCTGTTTATCAAGGCAATATCATCCGTTTTATAAGCTTGATGTTTTGGGGTGCCGTTGTTCCGAGCAAAATGCGGGAAAAAAGGGTGCTGCAGAATCACAGCAAAACGAGAACAGAATCAGAATAAAAGAGGCTGGAAAGAGAAAAAGAAAGAAGGAAAATATTTTCAAGCAGATCTCGCCGATCTAAACAAATTCATCAACAGAGCCGAATAGGCATGCGTAACAGCGTGCAAGGAGGGTGGCAGCAAGAATCAGTCGGACTCAAAATTGAGACCATGCCAGCCATTAGCAGGGTACGAGCTAGCCCGGCGTCTCTCAGCTGTGACGTGTAACTGGCTTGTGAGGTAACACGCTAGCCGGTCAATAGTGAGATAGACTGCGTGCGTAGAGACGGACACACAGGACAGGACATAGGCTGGATTTTGTTTGGGAGAGCGAGCAAACCGCAGCGTCAGCAAGCAGACAGGAGACCGTTCGGGAAGTCGGGAGGCGGCTAAAGCAAGCCATGGGCAGCCGATGCGACGCCAGATGATCAGATAAATGATAAGATCTGTCACAAGGGCCGGGAGCAGTCACCCGCACGATGCGCCATTCCTAATTAAGTAAGATGCCACCTGATTTTATTGGCTGATGGCCGCCACGACTCTTTTAGCCTTGTACGCTAGCCTAGTTAGGCCTAGCACTGATCTATTTTTCATCGTGTTCCGCAACCGGCCAGATTGATCTCGGTAAGACTCGGATCTGATAATCTAAGAGAAACAATCAGATAATCTGCTTTTCTCAACGCTATGATAGAAATGGAAATATGGAAGTTATGTAAATTTATCTAACCTACTGTCTCAGGCGGGTATCACATAAACCATCTCATACATAGCATTTTGGTCCCTCTCTTCATGCGAATTCATCTGCCTGTTACTGAACGAAATGTCTCCACTTCTCAGAGCCCCCTCTCCTCTGGACTATCTATCTACTAAGCTTGACAGCCGGTCGTCACACGCGGGGGATGGAGCATCATGGGCTTATCTATGGATCCACTGCTTCGTACCATATGTCATTATTATCCCTTAACGTCCGTTCCCGAGACCTTTGTGCCCGATGACGTAACAATTTATTATTAGGCCGTGGAGGTGGTTATTGTATTGACCTTGCGCGCCTCTAATGATGTTAGATATAAGAAATCAGAGCTCGCTCTCTAAGACAACTGATATATATAGTCAATCAGCCTACTTCAGAAGCATTGAGCTGCTGATAATCACTATCAGTTCTAACCCCTCAGTAACAGGGTAATATTCAGCCTGAGTCGATTATTCGTTGTGCCCGAGGAATTGCTATATCCGAGACTTCTACTACAAGGCACGAATTTGGTGAGCGTACTTGCTCTCCTTTCAGACCTACCAGTACATATGTCACAATGAACTGGGTGCCGTGAACTGTGTTGCCAATAAAGCCTCCACCTCAAGAAGTAGGTTGCAACGCGGTCCCCGGTGTAGGGGGATATGGGATATCATATGGACTACAGGTTAAACTATATATAACCTTGTCCCATTCCGCCATATATCACATCGTAAACCACGATAAAAAAAAATATAAAAAAAACAGATATCTAATAAAGCCCCATTTCCCCTATCCCTATATAGCAGAAAAGCCCATCCACATCAAAAAAAGAAATTCAACCCGAAAGCTCAATCTCCAGCTCCTTAAAAGCAACCGCAAGTTCCCCCCCTACCTTCGCCGGCCTCGCCGCATACACCCCAACCCAACACTCCTTGATCCCCTCATCCACAAACGCCCAATTAACCTGCCGAATCCGCCTCCTCTCCCCGCCCTCTACCAAATAAATCCACAAAGACACATCCTTCTCCCTAACCATCTCAATCCTCGCGCCAGCACCCGCCTCCTCATTCCCAGACGCCGGCAGCGGCATCAAACTCCAGTCCGCCCACTGATCCTTCCCCACGACACTGATATACGCTTTACCGTCGACATACTCGATGCCAGCCTTGATCCATTGCCGAGAGCCACTGGCACCATTCATGACCAGGATTAAGCCACCCTGGTCGTAGAGAGTGATCCATTCGCCATAGATGTGTACGCTGGCTCTTTGGAAGGAAGATAGGGGGCTTGTCTTGTGGAGGATGGGTCCGTTGAAGCGGTGGGTGGAGGGGGGTTTGGCCCAGATGTCGGTGGAGGGGTTGGCGATGACGACGAACTCGCCTTTCAGGTCTGCAGCGGAGGGGAGGGGTTGGGTTGAGTTTGTGAATTTGAAATCGGACATGCTTTTGCTTTTTAGTGAGTGGGCTGTGGTTGTATAGAGCGGGCGGGGCAGGAAACGATGATAAACGGTTTGGTTGAGTATTTAAGAAGGGGCTTCGGGCGAGCGTGGAAACAAAGTACTTCAAATATTCATGTAACCTCCAGCGCAGTATATTTGGTGATAACTGGAAATGTTTGGGGGATGGCTAGCTTTTTATATATCGACTAACTTCACTCCCTTTGCATATATATGTTGCATGTCTGGGCAGAGCTGGGTAGATCATGCATTCATGTGGGGTGGTGCTATTCGAGCTCTACGAGGAACAGTTTGAGCTAACTAAATCCTGCGAACCCCCAAGTTTTTTTTGTTTTAGACTTATCACGGTGACCATTCCTGAGACATTTAGCCGAGAAGGTAGTTTATGCATTTGTAATGTTCAGCGAAAATTTTGGCATTGAACAGTTGACTCAGTAAGTAATTGGATAAGAGGGGACCGACTCGACATACGAAATACGAAATAAGGAGTAGTTACGGCAGGGGGCCAGGATGAGAAAATGGAGTTTTAATGAAGATGTCAACGGAGAATTCCGCCTCATTCGCAAATTATCCACTGGTTTCAACGACATAGAATAGAAGAAAGAGAACTGTTGAATCTTGGGCGGGTTACTTGTTATACACAGTACGGAGTACGCTGGTCGGTCTGTCTTCGTTAAATATTTAAGAATGTTCCTTGGCAAACTAGTTAGTTAACTAAAGCTTGGAAGTTATTTAACTTATCGCACCTCATCCTCCCGCGCTGGCCGGAGCCCGCATTATTTCAGACCTTACCCCAAGCGCCATTTTCGCGTCCAGCAATGTCTTCCCGGCCTCTTCATCCAGATGAATATGAACTCCACAGCCGTTCGTCTTTTGATTCCCGAGATAGCTTCGATCTCGATGCTGCCGATTTCGAATCACACCATCCTACTACCAGCCGTAGCTACCGAAACACGCGCCCTCCTCTAATATCCCGCCTACTCTCCCTCCTCCCCTTTGTCGGACGGCGGCATCCCCCTCGAGGCCGTCGATTAGGACAGACTGCCTGGAAGAAAAACAAACATTCCGCATTTCGTCGTCGCCTTACGCTTCGCCGTCTGTGTTTCGTTTGCTTGGCATCCTCTGGAATAATTCTCACTCTCGCATTCCTTACCTCTATCATCCGCCCGTCTTATACCCATCCTCCCGCCCATTATAATATCCTCCGCCATACGGTGTTAAACTCAAAAGATCCAGGTAAAGGGAACTCTCGAAACGAAAAGGTGTTCATTGCGGCTAGTTTATATGATAGAGATGGCGAGCTTGCACGTGGTAGATGGGGAGAAAATGTCCTTGAGCTTATAAGGTTATTAGGGAATGATAATGTATTTTTAAAGCATATATGAAAGCAACAGCGGTCCGGAGGGTGAAGCCGCGCTCAAGGAATTTGAAGCGAAAGTCCAATGCAAGCGATCAATTGGGTATGAGGAGCGCATGGATATAGATGCAGTACCCATGTCACCCTTGCAGATGGCTCGGAGCGCATCAAACGGATAGCTTATCTAGCAGAGGCTCGAAACCGAGCACTCCGGCCCCTGGATGACCCAGCCAGCGATCGGTTCGATAAGCTACTATACCTTAACGATGTTGTTTTTGATCCCATTGACGCACTGCAATTGCTCTTCTCTACAAATATGGACGAAAGAGGCACACCACAATACCGTGCGGCCTGCGCTGTTGATTTCATTAACCCTTTTAAATTTTATGATACCTTCGCCACGAGGGATCTGGAAGGTTTCTCGATGGGCGTTCCTTTCTACCCGTGGTTTTCCAGCGCAGGGAAAGCTGAGAGCCGGCATGATGTGCTCGATCAAAAGGACGCGGTCCGAGTGAGGAGTTGCTGGGGAGGGATGGTTGCATTTGATGCGAAGTTTTTCCAGCAGGGGAAATCCGAACCAGCTGGGCAGCATCAAGCGCGGAGGCAGAGGGATGACGACGAAGTGGCTCCAACATCTCCAACCCCCAGCACCTCGTTACCGGCGAGATTCCGCGCAGAGCCAGACCTCTACTGGGACGCCTCCGAATGTTGCCTGATCCACGCAGATATCCAAAAACCACCATATGAATCCAAGGACGAACTCATCGTCGACACAGGCATATACATGAATCCGTACGTTCGAGTTGCATACGACACGCAAACTTTGGCATGGCTTGGTGTCACTCGAAGATTTGAAAGGCTTTATTCCCTGGTACATGCTATAGTAAACACAATTGCTGGTATGCCTAGGTTCAACCCTCGTCGGGCCGAAGTAGCGGGAACAGACGTGGAGGAAAAAGTCTGGGTTCCCAAGGGTGCGAACGGGGGCTCCTACGAAATGGTTAAGCGCAAGGCCGGGACTGGAGGCTTCTGTGGTCGCCGTGGACTGCAAGTCATGGTGGCTAATCCTGAGAAGGGGCAGAAGAACTGGGAATCGCTCCCTGTTCCTGCCGGGTATTGAATTTATTAACGGCTACCATTCCCCCCCCCCCCTTTTTTTTTTTCTTCATACCCTTCTCATTTTCGTTTTGTTTTCTCAATCCGTACTCTATACCACCACTCAAGCTTTATAAGTTGTTGTTGTTTCCCTCCCTGTTCCTGGGCTCTGATGATAATTGGAGAGATGCTATTGCCACTAGCATCTCGCATCTGGCATATGGCGTCTGGCATATACCATTAGGCGTTATTTCTCTTTTCCCTTCCATTCCTATATTTTTCCAATGATACCAGCCCCGCATCCCGTTCTTGGAGATATAGGTAATTAGATCTGTCCATGATATACCCTCCTTTTTAATGAGCAATTGTGCACTTTGGATTTTTGTCCTCTATGCTGTCAGAAAAAGGCTCCCTTTTTGCTTTACGAACAATGGCAAGTGGAAACAAGCTCTGGCCTTAACTTTATACCACAGCCAGCTATGCCCTATTATACACATATACATTTATACTCTTTCTCCCAATGCCAAGCCATGATCAAGGTTTTCTCTTAAGTCCCTTATGCATGGATTCTGTTTTGCGGCAGGCGTGAGCTCCAGAGCTATAGTAGACATCAAGGTTCATCTGCCAGCGTAGCTGGCTGGGTACCAAACATTCCTTGTCCGAAGGGGAAAAGGGACGTTCTGCTAAAGGCCAGCGATATTCTGGATTGCTACATGATATCTTACATATATATATCTATACTTTTGCGACACGTTTATCTGCAGCGGAAGGTAGTTCCCTCCATTTCCACGTTTTCCTCCCCCGCAACCGATTCCCCCGTATTATCCACCCGCCAAACCATTTCCATTCTCAATCAACTCTTCTCAACGTACTCACCCCCCAACACAGCAAAATCTCACCGAGAAGATCTCACAAAAATGGAGAACCAAAATCCGTACAAAGCTCCATCAGCACCAAGTGAGCAAGCCAGAGAGCGAGACATGAGAGAATCAACCATCACTGTGGCGCCCTCGTCCCAGCAACCTCTCCTCGACCAGGATACAAACGTCAACCTATGCCAGCTTCTAGTGGACACCTTTGAGAAAGTCGGCAAGGCTTCCGGTGCCGGCGGTTTGGACACGAGCAAATGGGCTGTTAAGGATGGGGAGAATCTGTCGCGTCACAGATATAGATCGAATCCAGCACAATATCATCATTCTCGTCGTCATCATCATCATCATCAACAACAACAAGAGGAGCTGATGCTACCGCAACAAAATCAGCTCAGCGTTAGTGGATCGCCGAGAATTGGTACATCTCATACCATTCCGCAAGACTACCAGCAGCGGAAGTTTTATTCTCCGCAGCACGACGAGAATATGCACAGTAAGAACCCGGCAGGAGCAAGGGGGGACAGTCCCAGATCTAGACAGCCTTCTTCGACAAGTTTCGAAGCTACTACTTCTACCCGAGAGGGAGACGCTACGCGAATCATCAGTATTAGAGACGTCGATATGGATGTTGATATAGGTTCACTTCGCGCGTTAGTCGGACAGTGTATTGATCCAGGGCTCGAGAGGATTGTAGATGTTTGGGAGGCGGGGGATGTAAGAATACCCATACCATTCCCATTCCCTTCCTTTTTCTGTTTTTCTACTACCCATATCCTTAGCCATAGGCAATCTATTGAACAAAGCTAACTACTTCTATCCAAAATATGTAGACATGCCGCACGCTAACGCTACATTTCACCACGGCCAGCAAAGCGATTATGTTCTCCTCTTTGCTTGGTCGGTTGCATAGCTGGTCCAAATATAAGGTTGACTACGCTCCTGCAAATAATCTCTGAGTGAGTGAGTGAGTGACTTACTTTATGTTGGCCCCTTGCTTCATTAGAATCCAACAGATGTGTTACTCAGAGGGATTGGAACCGCTGTCAATATCGACCGGGATTCACAAGGGGTAGTAGATAGAGGGGGCTTGCATGGTTGGGACTATAATGCTAGGATGGTGCCCTGGTGAGAGAAATGGAATGATAATGATAATGATAATAGTAATAGTAATACTAGGTAGGGAGGAGAGAGCCCGGGGGGGTGTATATAATAAATACACATACCCAATATCTATATGTAACAAAACTTGAAATGAAGAGATAAAACTTCATGTCAGGCAAGACAAACAATAGCATCCTCCATCCACCCAACACTCGGACCGAGCAAGGTACGGAGTATAGACCTCGACAAGAATACGCAAAATATCAAATTCTTTTAGAAATACCTTTCACCTCATATGCCCTTTTTAGTAAAAACACGACTCTTAATGTCTTCGTTGTGATTTTCAACTCCTTAGTTTTTGATTGTTCACATACATATACTATTGAGGTGGTGAGAAAGGGAGAAGTGTTGTTACAAATACAGCAAATTGAGCAATCAAAAAGGTTAAAATTAAATTGAAAAATGAAAGGAAGTAACTCTAACCTATGAAACTGTTAAACAAAGCCAATGAAGTTGAGGCAAAAAAGAGAATATTGAAGAAAAAACTGAGAAGATAATTATGAGTTGAGAGAGAAAAAGAACTGGAATTTTTCCATTCAAAAAGAGACCTGAAATTCGTTATAAGAGGCAAGCAATAAAAGAGCAAGCTACATACAGAAGAGCACTACAAACACGCAAAAGTACTTAAAACTGATAAGCTCTTTTATCTGCCGTATTGTGTTTCATACATATCATACAGGTTAGTGCTAGGCATGCCTGTCTGAAAATCCTCATGAACACACACACACAGATGATGCCACTAACCTGCTCTTACATACCCACTGGATATTGTTTAATCTGAGCCTAGAAAGGAATAAAAGAGGTGAAAACATAGAAATGTAGAATCAGTATGTATTAGAAACGTAATAAGAAGAAAGTTAAGCGGCCCCGAAGATAAAAAAAGAGAGAGAAAAGGTACAAGGAAAAAGAAAAAAGAAGTACCTTTTGAAACAAAGATCAGTTGTTTGTTGTTAACACAGATCTGACATGTAGAGAAGATAACTTTGTCTCAAGAGAGGACAAGGAAAATATGCAAAACAAAGTTAAATAAAGTAATAAATATATAAGCAGATACATAAAAATAGATAGAAGTAAACAACATCCTCTCTCTCCTCCTTCTACACACATACATACATGCACACACACACACACACAGAGCATGGGAAAAATAAGTAGAACGCGATATAATGGCAGAGACAGTACAGGAGTAAGTTTTGAGCCCATAACAAACAGGAAAAAGGGAAAGAAACGTTGCTGATGTAATTTGACAAGGAAACAGTCGTATCTTTTCAATAAGAGAAACTTCTGAGAAAAAAAGGTATTCTTCTGAGGATTTGGTAATTTGTGAGTTGGGTTTTAAGAATCAAAAACAGGGAAGAAGAAGGTAAGATAATAATATATTTAAGAAGAGAAGAGCGAAAAAGTAAAAGGAATACAAAAAGAAAGAAAAAAAACAGGAAACGATGCTTTGAAAGAAAAATAAAGAGAATACAAGCACAGTAACACCATACAAATATCTTTTTAGGGGAGACGAGGATGCGCAAATGGCAACTGTAGGGGGACCAACTGAAAGGAAAAAAACAGTTTCACCCTGCAGACCCGAGTCGTCATCTTACAGCCCTCAACGATCCAGCATTGAAGGGAAGGGTTGGCGAGAGATCTCATAGCTTTTTTTTCGTTTTTCTTTTGCAAGCCATCTCATATATCTCAAGGGAAAGAGGGTGATCTCTGGTACCAGAAAAATTTTACAGATGCACCAAAAAAAAAAAAAAAAAAAAAAAAAAAAAAAAAAAAAAAAAAAAAAGGTTGGGAGGAAGAGCAGGGGAAGATAAGGGAAAAGGGGAGATGAACTAAGAACTCCTCCAAAACAGAATCCCGACATATTCTTCATTCTTCCTTTTTGCACAATCTCTTTTGCTTCATCTCTATTAGAGCAAAAAAATCAAGTCAGTATAATCCATAATTCGGGAGAGGAAAAGAGGGAGAGAGAAATGCATGGTGCGCATTCGGGTCGAACGGCGACGGAAGGCCACTTACACGTCCACGGCGTCCGCCAGGCGGTGGAACCTGGGCGGCTTGGGATTGGTAGAACTGTTGGGGGTAGGATGGATACATCTGAGCATTATTCACAGCCTGGTTGAACGGAGGAGGAGCAAATGGGGGCTGATGAAGCATTGGACTTGCGCTTATCTGCGGAGGAGGCCCGGGGAGGGGCGACGAGTGCGACTGCATGGTTCGAAAGCTGTCCAGAGCAGCTGGAGCAGACGGGAAGCCATTGAAGCTCGCCCCTGCCATCTGAGGGGCATAAAATCCACCAGGAGACATACCACGGGGTTGCGAGGCGAGGAATGCGTGGTATTGGAGCTGTTGCTGATTGATGGGGAGGACTGATTCCTGGGGAAACGGGTGATTGTTGCTCATAGAAGACAAATTCACGAGTCCGTTGACACCATTCACTCCACCCATCCCGTAAATGTCATAAGGAGGAAGAGTCTGCTCCGATGAAATAGATCGTGCCATTGTAGTTGGGGAATCAAAGGACTGCTGAGGCTGTAGTCCTGTTGCAAACTGTCCACTGTATTGTCTCTCTGGTTGCGACTGAGAATTGTAACTGTTGGCGCTCGTTTGTCTAGATGATAAGGGTCGGTGTTGATTCTTTTCATTATTAGGATTTTGGGCGTTTTGGTTGTCCCTGGAATGATGATTATCCCGAGAGTTTCCTCCGCCCCGGGAGGACAGTCCAACCTCGTCCATAAGTCGTTTATAGCCTTGGCTTGGTGTAGTCTTCAATTTCGTTAGTACTTTTGCGACAGTCTTGACGACTTCGCCGCGCATGCTCTCGTCAAAGAAGGGTGTTGTAAGAACTTTAAATATTAATGTCGCGCCAGATGTCTGGTCGCTGAGGATTTTCTCCAAAGTTTCATCTCCAGAACTGTAGAACAGAGCTTTTAGTACTGTTTCGCGAGCTTCGGGTTCGTTCCTCTGGTTAATAACCTTGAGTACCGTCAAATACGCAACTTTGTGAGTGCAAAGATGGACAAGATGGGGAACAAGGCGCGGGGCGAGAACAGTTCGTCGACGTGGAAACGTGCATGTATCGAGGAACCAAGTAAGTAAGAGAGCACCGTTTGCATTTGTCGCCAACTGGACGCTATGTAGGGCGATAGCTGCGGCTAGCATTCGCTGTTGGTCCTTCGTTGCATGGTGACTCTCCAAACAAGCCCGCATAGCGCGGGCACCAAATCTGCCTTGGGCGATCTCCCACATCCGACTGAGCATAGATTCGAAAATAAAGTCGGTATAAGGAGGACCAAAGCGCAAACAACATTGCAGCACGTAGTTGCCATATTGATCTAAAAACAGCGGCACAGTGTATGGACGAAGACTTTCTACAATCATCTGTTTCTGCGTCGAGTCCTTGGCAACGTCGATAATCTTCTGTGCAGCCCAGGTTCCATTCTTGTGTACACCAATTTCAGCAAGGTGAGGAGCGATTTCAGCCAACATCTTTTCTTTGGTGGGTTCTGAGCAATATTCGAACAGCTTCTGGACAACCGTGTTGCCAAGATAATCGGAAGACAATTCAGCAATCTCAGGAAGCATCCCGATTGCTGTCTCCTCGATTTCATTCACTGCAAGAGTCCCATTGTCAATCCGCTTTCGAATATCCCGGAGTCTAGGGGCGTCATGGACCCGAGTTTGACTTGGTTCTGGAATCGGAGGAATTTCATCGACAAATGACTTGAAAACCACAGCTCGCTGAATGCTCGCTGTAATATTTTGACATTCTTCTTCGGATGCATCAAATTCGGCAACGATTTGGGTCATTTCTGGTTGCAATTCAACCAACTGTGGAATAGTTGGTGTGTTGGGAGCAGGTCCGTTTGCTTGGTCCGTTCCGGAAGTCCCATCTTGTCCACCTGAATTAGTTCCACCCCGACCTAAGCCGCTGGAAGTTGGGTCAGGAGTGGGCGATTGGTGGTCACCATTTTGGCCGGGAGTACCCGTACCAGATGTCCCTGGCACCTTCGCATAGCCGATCCGGACGGGTCCAGCACCTGGAAATATTTCTTTGCCATTCAGAAGGGAATTGGCTTGAATAGCACTTTCTACACGTTCGAAATTAACGAATCCGCAGTTCTTGTGGGTCAGAACCCTTGTCGACTCGATTTTGCCATACACATTGAAGATAGCGTCCAGAGAAGTCACTGTTGTTGAGACTGGAATGCTACCAATCCACAATGCTCTGGTAGGACCGTCTAGATTAGTTTCATCCACCATTTCCTGGCCTTGTCGCAAGCTTTGCATTCCGCCCAGTTGCAACACCTGAACTGCTTCTGGGAGATCGTCATATTCGGCAGTCTCCGAAATACGTAAGTCTGCAATGCTAAGGCTGTTATCAAGTCTAGACGGAGTCGCAAGGTAGTTGCGGATCGATGAGCGCTGAGGAGGAGTATCCAAAACGCCGGCAGTACGGGCACGTGGGCGTGGGCGGCTCACAGATGCATGGTTGGCAAATGCTTGCACGGCTAAGTTGTGTTGATGAATCTGTGCCTGGGTCGCAGCTAACTGGGCAGCAGTTGCAGCGGCTGAAGGTGTTATCGACCCCGATGGAACACCCGGATACGGAAGTTCATATTGATCCTCGTCGTCTTCGGCGTATTTCTCCTTGGCATTTACAGAGTAGGAGCGGAACCGATTGGAATTTTTATTTATCATTACTAGGTCAGCAAGAAGGGGAGGTAAGGATGATGTTTGTTGCTGCTGCTGCTGTTGTTGCTGTTGTTGTTGTTGCATGAGCTGGTCGACGGATGGGCGGACAAGTTGTACTCGGGCTTGCTGTGGAGTTTCAGCAAGCCCAAGGTAGTCCAAGGTCTTAACGTCCGCATCCGCGAGCCCATCTCTTGAAAACGACGACTGCGCTGGTGACGTGGGCCCCTCGGATGATCTGATGCTCGTTAAAGTAGTTGCTCTCTCCCTACCTGACGACCAGTTGGTGGAAAATAAAGAAGGCCCAAACGGATTCGAACCATCAAGCACACTTGTACGTTGTGGCATGGACCCGGCACGAAGGCGTGAAAGCAAGGCTGTATTGCTTCCGCTTCCAGGGGCAGGCGGTCTGCTAGAGGAGTCTATCCCTGCCACGGCATGAGGGCGGAACGGGCTTGTTGAAGGCGTGGGTCTGGATGTTTTTGAGGTGAACGACTGAGGGCCAACACCGTTCAGTGTGCCAACTGGAGAGAAACGGGAAGGAACTGTCCCCGCTCTCGTTCGACGGGCAGGGCTAGTGAGGCTGCTCTCGGGCGCAGGCGCCAAGTCCGGGAATTCATCCTGGCTTGGGGATTCCGGTATGTTCTCGCGAAGAGGCGTCGAGTTGCCACTGGTTGGAGGTCCCCAGATATTTGGAGCAAGACCTTCTTGAGCCTGAATCTCTCGAGCTCTATTATTAAACGAAGGGTGAAATAGGACCAATGTCAGCGAGAGCTCTGATAAGCACTAACATAAAATTAGATAGAGCCTTACCTCTTGGAGAACAAACGAGCGCCAAGATCATGAGAAGGGGAACCAGCCCCCATTCTGGCACTTCCAAGAGCTCCTCCAGTGCTGTTTAACCCATTTGAACCTCCAAAGGAAGACTTCATAGAACTTGAACCCGGTTGTTCATTTGGCGACGAGCTTCCCGTTGAAGTACCGGACATTGGTTGTGAAACAGGAAGATAGTTGAGGTTGAGGTGGCCATCAGGCCTCGATGAAGGAGTCATTATAGATTAAGATGTCTTATGCCAGGATAGAAGGTTACTTTCAAAATCTATAACTTCTCTCTGAGAAGAATAGGGCTGCCAAGGATTGGATAGAATAGAAACGGGAGGATCTCGAAGGGTGGAGAAGATCATAGACAATATATTAGGCCTGCAGATCTCGTTGAAATCCGAAACGGATCCTTCGATCCAAGTGTCTATTAAAGCTGGTATTGAAGAGGATGTAAATATCTCGATTATAAACCTCCAGCACTTGATGACGAGCAATTCAAACTGCGGCGGAAATAAGCTAAGGTTGTGTTGTGTCGGAAGGGCGAGTCGCAGGTATATTGGCAAATGGCCTTTCAAGGTGTTATAGAGAATTGTGAGAAATAAATGAACTGAATCAGATGTTAAGTTGAAGGAACGAACGAGTCGATATCGAATCGTCGTTTTCAACAAGTCGAACGGGAAGAGCACTAACGGAGGTCTGTGCAATGAGGTCGTAATTATACAGATTTCGTTTTAAGTAAGGAAGATTCGTAGCCGTGTAGTGTAATAAAAGTAGAGTAAGGGCGGAGAAATGGCGGAGAAATCTTCACAGAAACATATCCAGTTTATTAAAAATCTATCGAGAAAGACCAGGAGTTGGTGAAAAAGAGGAGATAAAGATGTCGTCGAGACACTGGGCGTGAAGGAACTCTAAAAGGGGGGTGGTGGTCTCAGGGACAAATAGAGTGAGGCTCGCTCGGGGGAGCAAAACAAGTATTTTAACTAGGCGTGGAAGATGTGAGACGAAGAAGAGAAGAACCAGTCAGGGGTGGTGGTGGAGGTCAAAGAAATGGGCTAACTTGGGAGGGCCCAATTACTAAGAAGGGAGACAAAAGGGAATGGAAAAGAAGAGGAGGCGTTGATATGAGGAGTAGGCTGAAGAGATGGGATAGGTGACAGCGGAGGGTGACGAAGGGGCGCCAGAGGCGGGGAGAGAAGCGATGAAGAAGAGACGAAGCTGAAGATGAAGTTGAAGATGAAGGACGGCGATGGAGAGAGAGGGAAGTGAAAGTGGATGCGGGCGACGGAGGATGAGGCTTGGGTGCAGCTGTTTGAACTGGCCACAAGCGGTTTAGCGCGGTTTAGCAGAGGACTGACCTTGGTTTGATATCAGACCTGTACATAATTACATGTACTCTTTAGGCTGGACATAAAACCACAATTCTCTTGTCCTTTGCATTGATTCCCATTTACGGCAGTTTGCTGTCTATAATAGCTAACTACGTCCAAGTGTCTTTGTGCCCTCGTGCCTAGCTCGACTAGAGAAAACAATGACTTAAATACACCACTCCACCCCCGAGAACGAACCAACATCCCGTGGGTCGTTCCTTTTTTTTCGACCAAAGGACAGCGTGCATCACATTTGATATTCCCGGCCTTGACGTCCCTGCAGCCATCAATCCAAGTTTTAAACATGTGCATTAGCCAGGTGTTTACCAGATCGCCCAACCCTATAGAAGGGAACTCCGCAGTTCGGAACACACAAGCGCAGTATCAACAATTGGACGAAAATCTATAATTCCGAGCCATGCCTCCTCCATCAATTAGCATATGTATATGCGCTGGCCATAGATTCGCGGACCCTAAATCACTTAAAATGAACAGCCAAAACGAAAAAAAAAAACCGGTGTCTCTGCTGTGAAACAAAAAGGACCACAAAAAGGTTGCATCCATTCGCATGCGTGAAAGAGGACAGCATCATCCAATAATCACACAGCTTTTTGGTGCATGAAACATGTTTTCTGCTCAAGACTATAGCAGTCCTTCGAAGTAGGCTAAAGTAAGCAGCGCCTACAAGGGAAGAAGGGAAATTAAATTCGTTCTCCCACCAACCCCTGTCAGCTCAACGCGAGAATGAGGAATCTACATGCACTAGGTATGGTCCAGAAATACCCGTTATTATTTACCGCTTACAAACTCAGCAGTCCAAAATCTGTAGCAAGCATAATCCGTACATAGAGTTGTCGATTTTGTTGGCCCGTGGCGGAGATACGGGTTGCAAATCACAGATCGTCGAGTGTATTTTTGAAACATGCCATTTTTCAGCGAGTCAAAACACATAGTATGCCTTGGAAAAGCGGCGACCATTTATGTGTTTTGTGGGATTCGTGGGAAGAAGTCTTGTGGAGAAATATGCCAACTTTGATTGATATTCCTGAGCGTGCGCAAGATACAAGAATACATATGCTGCCCCATACTGTGTTTTTCGGTGCATATTTCCATGCAATTGCCATGCCTCGAGGTAAATGTCCCCTGTGGATGTACTGTACATGTAGATACCTACAGATTAGTTATTTTTAGAGATCTGTTTGTTTCCCTCGCGGCCAAAAGGAACAGCCGTCCTGTAACCAACAACCCCGTTTCGTTCTTCTTTTCACAGGATCGACCTTCTGTGGCGCAAACTTTAAGTTAAGGTGGCGTGTATGAGCGCCACGAGCCACTCTTGGGAAATTGTTTACCTAAGCAAACCTTTCATTGCAAAGTCGCGGCAAGAAAGCTGCAACACTTCGCATGCCCGCTACACGTTTGTTGGCTGCTTTGGCCGAAAGAGAAAACACCTCATTCTTAGCGGTAGCTCCTAGATAGCTATTGGCGCAGTAGGAATGGCCTAGTAGAGTATTCCTCAACTCACACGTCGCTGCTCGAAGTGTCACCATCAGCTCGGAGTCTCCTCTCTCTCCTAGCATGTCATCGCCCCGATCGTAAAAGTGCCTGGGCATAGCATTCTTTCATAGGAAGTTATATTCCACTGTCGTTATATCTCTAGACGCCCTGCACCTCCCATTAAAACGTGCCGCGATCCATCGAACGGACTTGACTACCTACGATACACACTCGCCTCCAAACACAACCATGGCTACAGACGACTCACCAATGACGGGCACTAGCACTAGCTCTGATGATGAGCCTATCGAGACTCTTGTGGAGGGACGAGCCCGCCGAAGCACTGCGGGCAGAAACATGGGTGCTCTCCTCGACGCAGAAGCCGACGACGAACTCGCCCTCCTTTTCGCGGAAGATGAAGATGATGAGGAATTCACGAGTGGTGAGGAAGAAGGAGCCTCGGGGGAGGATGAACAAGGTGAAGGTGTCGAAGATGAAGCCGATGACATGCAGCTCGATTCTTCATCTGATGACGAAGATGACCGGGGCCCTAACGAGCCGGGGGATGAGTTGGAAGGCGAAAGGGAACTCGAAAGACAGGCTAGGGCAGAGCGGCTGGCAAGGAAGCGGAAGGAGCATGACAGTATGATGAAGTTTCCAGCGTCGCGGAAGAGAGTGAAAATTGGCCCGACCGCCGCTACGGAGTCGATAACTGGTCCAACAACGCCTACACCGCGCCCGAAGAAGAAATCAGAGCGGATATCGTGGCTGCCGACGCCGGAGGATGGCCCGACACGATCCTCATCCAGACGGCAGACGATGCAGAATAAGGAGCTTACTCACGCGCGGTTGAAGGATAGTGAGGAGAAGCGGGTGAGATTGATAGCGACGATGGAGGAGGCGGCGAGGCGCAAGCAGAAGTTGAAGCCAAAGGTGATGACACAGGAAGAGCGGTTGGCGGAGGCGGCAAAGACGGAGCGGCTGAATAGCAAGAGTCTTAATCGTTGGGAGGAGATGGAAAGAAAGCGGAGTGAGGAGCAAAAGGCGAAATTGGCCGCGTTGCAGAATCGCAGGCTGTCAGGGGCCGTTACGACTTGGTGGAGCGGGCTTGCGAAGTGGATTAATGGGAAACTGGCACAGGTGGGGGCGAAGGAAGTTAAGCAAGCGCCGGACGTCGAGAGGAAGAGGAAAGGGGCCAAGGATAGGGATGATTCGCCAAAGAGGGCGAAGTCCATGAAGACGGAGAGAGTTGCGGAAGGGGCAGATGAGAAAAAGAAAACTATTCCACCAGGTCACGATAAAAGTCCTGATAATCAGGCTGGGAAGACGGTAGTAGAGGGACAAACGCAGGAAACGATGAAGGATGCCCAACCGCAGGGTGTCATTTTTGACCCGCCACAAGCTCCAGGGAGCTTCTTGGACGGGATTCATATCTACGCTTCTATGAAGGATGATGTACCCCATGCCCCTGCAACGTCTAACCAGGCACCATCATCTATGCCGGCACAACCAGCATCAACACCAGCATCTATACCGTGTGCAGCTCAAGAACCTACCCCATCAACATCTACTACGGTACCTGAACATCCTTCACAGGCAAAACACTCTCAAGCAACACCACTTGAAGAAACAGGAATATCGACTAAAACGACCCCAGAGTCTTGTGAACCATCGCCGGAGGGATCGGAACCCATACTGCTGTCAGCGAAAACAGAGCATCAACAGTCCCAAAAGTCGTTCCCGGACATAGAAGTCCAGAAAACTGGATCTGAAGGAAGCCCAGCGGCCGCCCCACCATCACCGTCGTTATCACAGCAGCCACGGGATAAAAAGCCCGAATCACCAGCTGTAGCCATACACGTCGATGAGAATAATAAAAATCCCCAGGCCCAGCAGACACAGTCAAAATCAACATCAATATCACCGCCCACACAACCTCCGCTCACTCCCCAACAGGAACCTCAACTAGAAAAACCACCACCAGAACAGCCACAACCAGAAAAACAGCAGCCAGAACCACAGCCAGAACAACCACAACCATCCATACCTACCCCACCACCAACAATCGAACACTCATCCCGCAACCTACTAATCCTCGAAAATTTCGAAAACAAAACCCCACAAGAACGCGAAGAATTTAACATATCTTGTGGG